CCTAGAAACAGAGCGGAACACCATGTTAATCTCTTTTCCGCTCTCCGCGTTCCTCTCTCCGCTCTCCGCTTCCGCGCCTAGGAAAACCCAGCTTTATGCCTAGACTGGTTAGGGCTTCAGATAACTTCTTACTGTTTAAAATCAGAAGTGCATTTTAATTTGAACTATTAATTAACTGAATAAAATAAATTCTTGTATTTTTATTTTGGTAATCATACCTACTAGCATGCTACTACAGTACTGTAAGCGCACGACTTGTTTGCGAGCCGGGTGCGCGGGGGGAGAGCGGTACCAATCTCCCACCACGCAGCCAAAGTTTCTGTAGCATTGGTCGGACTACGCTTTCTAAAAACATTCGACTAGCGCTGTTCGCGTTGTTTTCCTTTTTTGCGTACATTTTTTTTAAAATTTAAATTTGAATTTGACAAATACCAAGGGTTCTATATTATTGTTTTGTTACTGTAGTAGAGTATTTTATTTTGATATAACTATTTTTTTACTTATTTAAATGTACACCAAACGGTAAAATCATATTAGGCCTATATTCCAATTTAATCGTAAAGTTTGACTTTTTAGGTGTAAATTTTTAACGTTTATAGGTGGTATCTTCAGATATAGATATAGATGTATGTAAAAACACATACAGATATATCTATAAACAGAAAACCACAAGGCTTAGTACATAAAATTATGGAAACTTTTGCTTATTTTCATATTATGTACAATAAATAACACCTTAAAATATCGGACAGGTTTTCCGAACACCCTTTAAAACGGTTAATGACTTGCAGTTATTTATTTTATATCCCTAAGTTGATAAAACGAAAGTCGGTCTCTTAATGTCGTACGTAAAGTATTTTATGACATTTTATGATTTTATTATCCTATTTTATGACCAGAAGAGTATTGTATTCTATCGTGTTCTATCAACTGTCAGTTTATTGGACTGTGCTGTTTAGATGAGTAGTGCGGTTGAGTAATTATTGAGTGATTGTTAAGCCGTGGGTTAAAAAAGTGTCAGGCTAGGCTAACATAGATTAATATTATGGCAACCACCCGTAAAAAGGGCAAACCATTCACAGAGAAGCGATGGAAATATTATAAGATCAACAGGTGCCATGTGTTGGTGTTACGCATCCGCTGGGAGTAGAAGCAGTATAGACAACATTTTTAGGGCGACTAGTAGCAGATTGGCCAAGAGCCGGGCAGTGGTGGGGGCCCCTCCTGGCTAAGGAGGCGGTGGAGGGGCCACGCGCAAACAAGTCGTGCGCTTAGAGTAGCCTATACTCGCACCTATACTGACAAGTAGTAGCGTCAGCTCTATTTATCAATCATAGGCCCTTCATAGCTATTATGCTATTATTTACATTTCCAGGTATAGGTGTTGAACTACAATGTATGTGGATTTATGGAAACTAGGCCTAAAGGTTACTGTGAATTAAGTTTAACTATTTTTTAACAATTTCAGATTTCTATTAACTCGCCCAAAGCTGTTGAAATCCTGGGAAAAGGCTGTCAAAAGAAAAAAATCTGAAAGAAACTGTTTAGTATTGATTCTTTGCAGTAAACATTTATCTGATGATGAAGTTTAAGTTAGATAAGACTTGGAGCACTTGTCAAGCTCCTTAAAGATGACGCTGAACTCACCGATTATGTAGGTACAGCAGTTCAGAAAAAAAAAAACACCGCCGTGGACAACTTTTCTATGGATAGCCTGATATTGTTGAGGTAAGATAAGTTATGCTTTTACATCTTAATTATATATTAAGTTAAGGTTTTATCATAATAACATAATGATCATAATAAACCTAACCTAACTCTGCAAAGCGCTGTACAGTGACATTTCAGGGGGTTACAGAAAAACTAAGGCCTAGGTTGTTTGACAGTGACTGACTGACCATTTGAAATGTAATCGTTTGCCAGTGGTCGTGCCCCCGTCTGGTATTACTCCACCAGAGAAGCAGTCCATCTTTAAAATACCGGTACAGTACCTTAAAATGAAAGTCTTCTGTGCCTTAGAAAAATGTTAAGGTTGTTTTCATGTATTATAAGATCGTAGGAATAGGCCTACTTAGTTTTAGGAAAAAATAAGCTGGCATAGCAAAATTTCACAGTCACAGAAATCGGTGTTTATCAGCTAACTTATAACTTATGATAATATTTTGGCCTTAAAACTCAAGCAGACATATAACCCTATCAGAACTACAATACTGTACTACCTACTATAATATTCAGAAATAATTAGGCTGTTGTCCTATTAAAGAATACAATTTAGCCTACAGTGTCAACATTTTCAGGTGCTAAGTGTCTTTATCGTTATTCATGCAATGTTTTAAAGTCCTCAGATTACCCTAAATTTTTCCTTCCGGATCGATATCTGCCATATGAATCTGGTGACAACCTTACTTAACATAGGCCTAACTGCCACAGTGAGAGTAATAGTGACACTAACTTATTACTCTCACTGTGGCAGTTAATAGTGGCTGTAATTTTAATGAAATCCCTGTAAAAAAAAAAAAAAAACAATAAATTGTATTAGCTAATTTTGGTTGCACTTCCATATAAGGCCTGTGGCACAGCTACATGGAAGTATTTAGTGTAAAGTAATTTTGTTATCTAACGGGGTAATTCTGAGCAATTACTTGGTCAACCCCAATTTTTTTCATATTTTACTACGGTCATCAGGAGGTTCTCAGAAAGCAAGAAACATATAATTCAAGGCCCGCAAGGCCATCGTACAGGTTGCCGAGCGATAAGAAGGTTCAAAGTCCAAGCGATAACAGTGGCTTGCGGGAGACGCGCGGAAGGCCAGTTGTGACAGTACCGTTATGGCTATGGCTAGTGGTTCCTCCGACAATCCTTTTCTATGTGACGGGTGTGAAAACACGTTACTTACTTATGTTTTTTTTTAGTCTCAAATACATCTCTAAGGCCAATTGTAACAGTACCGTTACGTTAGGTTAGGTTAGGTTAGGTTAATTAATAACCTAACTTAACCTAACCTAACTTAACCTTGCGGGGCTTGAATTATATGTTTCTTGCTTTCTGAGAACCTCCTGATGACCGTAGTAAAATATGAAAAAAATTGGGGTTGACCAAGTAATTGCTCAGAATTACCTCTAACGGAACTTTGAAACCTAACTATACCTGATTTAGTATTCTATTATTTTTACTTTTATTACTTTTACCTGGTGTCAGCGCAAGTGTAGCTTTGATTTTTTAATTTTTACAGCTCATTTCAGTAGAAGCGAATTATTATCTCACACTCACAGTTTTGTCTAGTTTGGTTTAATCTTGATTAAAGTAAGGACCACCTCTTACTTTTGTAATCGAGTAATGTTTTAAAAAAAACTAAGGCCTTATTTGTTTCAGACTCCAATTGAACCCATGGAGATTAAGACTCCAAGACAAAGCACAGGGAAAATCAAACGGAAATCAACCAAATCCACCACAGCAAACACACTCAAATTGATAGTTCAGTTTCTCCAATGAAAAAACTCCAAATGTAATGACCTAAGACTTGGACAAAAGAAGAATCACTTTGTTTTTGTGAAATGTTTAAATACACTGTATTTGGACTAATTAATTTTTTTTATTTACTAAACCTCAACTTCCTCATCAATAAAATTTCTATTGTGCCTATTGGGGTTTCAAAATTAGTTAAGTTACTCTTGCAAAATATATTTTGTTTTATTTCACAGTCATTGTTTTTTAATATTTTAATTCTTGTAATTTTGAACTTTAAGTTATTCAAAATACTTAACTGTCCTTCAGCATTGGAATTGTGCAATGTCAATGTTTCACAATAATTATAATTGCCTAATGAAGATCTCAACTTATAGCGAAGACAGTCAAATGGTAACAGTGGTAAAAAAATAACATTTTTTAGGACTCCAACATGGATTTTTACATAGCCTAACTTGAAAGAATCTAAGTTTCAGAGGTTTACTGTTTTCATGCGTCTTGTTAATAGCCTAAACTTAATATAATATAAGCTATTTTGAAATTTATTTAATTACCCTTAAAATGGTGATTCTAATCTAGTAAGGAATAATTTCTGGTATTGTGTCTTTAAAAGTATGATATAACAAATTCAAGAATTTTATAAATGTAGCCTATTAGTGAGTGAATCAGAATCATAGCCTACAGTAACAGGCCATAAATTGCATTCATGGTTCATGGTTCACCTTAAAAGGCGTTCATGGTCATGCCTTAATAAAAATAATATATTACTTTTATTTGCTTTTACATACAGTTCTGCAGTGCTAACAGATTGTTATAATCAAAATTATTTTAACTGTATTAAAAAAAAAAAAAAACTACATATCCTATTACTTTCAGGTCATTTATGATTAGTTAGAAACGTAAAAGTATGATTTTTAGCCAGGATATATACTCTCTAGTTATAAAACAAAGGAATGCTTGCCATACTAGAAGCTTGATTATAAATTTGTTTAGAATTTTATTTTGGGCCCCAAGAACTGAATATGCAATGAAAACCTACTCACAGTTCAGATGTTCAAATGCAATTTATCATGTAGATATATTACATGTATCTCTGAATTTTCGGCTATGTCAGGTAATTGTAAATAAGTAGTATTAACAGAAATGTTATCACCACAAAACGCATTTATTTAACTTTTTTCAAGTAAGAACTCGAGGGTTGAACATGCGCTAACAGCCCATTTATTAGCATGCAATTTTAAATTTCGCGCCAACTCCGGCCTCACGCAAATGACGGGCGTATGATTCGGTGGTGGGAGAAGGCGCTGATGGGTGGTGTTACGAGAGACAAGGGTTCGTGAAAATGAAACAAGGTAGGCAACCATATTTATTTCACTTCACTCTCGCTCGTAACGTAACTTACGATAACAACATCGGTTCGATTCTCTACGATTACGATTTCGACTTTCAGTTGATAACAATCGAAACACAACCGAATCATACGGTTGGTCTGTTGTGAACCCAGCACTATCCCCGTCGGATAACCTCAAACTTCTTGTAACATAACCTAAAAGTTTCATGACGATTCTCTGTCCATTGAAATGATTGGTATTAAATGTCAATCGTTATGTTTAGACTGAATTTGTCAATACTAAGAAACTTTTGAAAATTGTTCATTGCAAACTAAAACAACAGCAGTTTTCATTAAAATCAACAATGGAAAACAGCAATGAAGACAAGAGAAAACCTCATAGAGAACGACACTCAGGTAAGTTTAAGGCGTTCACTTATTCTGAAGTCATCATCAATTTATTGTTAATCATATAATCAAATTTACTGACGATCTAAGTTTTATATTGATATGACAACGTTCAATGCTTAAACTGGTAAAAGAATGTTTTTGATATTAGGTTAGGCCTATTTTAACTTATTTTCGAATTTAACTTAGCCTTGGGCCTTTATCAGAATAAGTTATGTACAGTACTTCACATCACATTATGAATTGGAGTAGGATAAAATATCTCTGAATATCATATTACAGTATAAATTTTAAGCTATAGCATAAAATTGGTTTTGATTACAGTGACACATAAAATTTGCATGAAATAGTAGACAATACGAGGCTGGGAAGTAAGGTGCGGTAGGTATGTTTACGGTGTGAGAATGATAGTTGTCATTTGAGTAGGCTACCTTTAAAAACTCCTCAGGCGAGTCGCATAATATAGGCTAGCCTAGCTACTTATTTCCACACTAACAGGGAAAAAATACAGTTGAAATACTGTAAAATACAATCCATACAAACAATCACAACACTGTTGGTAACATACACTAACTTAAAACCACAACAATGTCAACGGGTACAGTGTGTATGTCAGGCCTGTTTGACGTAACTTTTGTATTTTTTGTTAAAAGTTAGCTTAGTTTATGCTACGTATTTAAACTGTGACGACCCTGCTTCAACTGAAGCTTCAGTGTTACTGATGATGGTTATTGTAATGCCAAAACGGCCATAATCTTACTCAGTTGGCCTACAAGACATTGAGCTGGATTGACAAAGAAAAAATCAACTTTTTAATAATAAGTTATCACAGCTCAAGGATTAAAACATGGATTTTAAAACTTTATTAGGTAACTTTTTTTTACAAGCAAATGTTTTGAACCCATCCTAATGTGGCTGATGAAACCCATAATATGTCTCGTTATGATGTAGCATTGTGTAGAGCCTGCTGAAGAAACTCCTATGAGCTTAACTTATGCGTTTTTGAAATAGTGCGCTCTAAGAATAACTTAGTCAGTAAATCTCTTGATTTTCAGCTGTCTTTACTGATTCTTTCTGTAAACACAATAACTTTCCAAACCAGCTAATTACTGTGTAGTAGGGTGAAAATAGTTGTTGTCTATTAAGTTAAATTGTATCCCTAGTAAATTTATCAGATATTTACAAACTTACGGTTTGATTGATATCATATCATCAGTAAACAATTTGTAGTATTGCATCAACTCTTATTTTTCACCATTGGTTCAACCTTTTTTTTCTAGGTCGAAAGGCAGAAAAGAAAAAATTGAAAAATGAACATGTCCAAGAGAAGACCGACAAGCAACGCAACCCTAAAGCTTTTACGTTTAATTCTGCTGTTCGTGCAGAACGACGCTTCAGGAGGTAACTTGTTCCATCAATCTTTTTCATAAGTGTATTTGCAAATTCGCTCCAAAACCCAACTAACTCATATTGTGTGTAAACAATTTGATTGAACAACTTTGGTTATGTGCGAAGACTTGAAATGACTTGACTGACATAATAATAAGTTTCTATGGTTTGAAGACCATTTTTACAGAATCTGAATGCTTACACCCTTACTTTTGTAATCTTAAATACTTAAATAGTTTAAAATAGTGCTTAACATTCCCTATTATCTACGCCTTTAATTATCGGAAAATGGAAATAGAGCTTCAAATAGAAATAACAAATGAAAATAATTAATATATATCCTAATTCAGCATTGTGTCTCTTTCAAGTTAATATGAACCTAGAGTATTTTTGGTCATATAATGTCATCAAAATGGTTTGGTTAGGAACTAAGCTTACCATGAACCCACCTTTTCAATAGGTAGGCCTACTGCACAGCTAGTAGGCCTACACCCTGTACAACTTAAATTAAACTACACAATCTTGCTAATTTTTTCTATTTCAAGTGCCAACATATTTAGTACTATTATGTCCATGGATATAAGCAACTGAATATCTTTTATGTAAAATTAAGCTCATTGTATTAAAACTAATATCTGCCCAGGACTCAAGACATACAGACCAAGAAGCAGCATGTTCCTGTGGTGGATCGCACTCCGTTGGAACCCCCTCCGATCATGGTGGCAGTGGTGGGTCCGCCCAAGGTGGGAAAGTCCTCTCTCATACAATGCTTGATCAAGAGCTTCACGAGACAACCTCTTACTACCATCAAGGGACCTGTGACTGTTGTCTCAGGTTTGTCAAATTAGTTTTTTTTTACACTTTTGCTTCTAAGAATTCACGGTGGTAAGAGATAATATTGTAGACTCACAGTTTTAGATGTTAATTAGACATAAAATTAAAGTTTTATTGTTGGGTGCTGAATTTTAAAAGTGATTTTGCTCAAAAAAGACCTATTTCCCATTCAACGCACTTTCAACAACTCCGCCAGCTGTCACGCTTGCAGCTTCCATTGGTCACAGCTGCTTCTCTGCTCTAGCTCTTCTCTGTTCACCCTGGTTTTTGTACTGTCGCTCTGATGGTGTGTTACAAAGAACCTCCAGACATCTTATAATTGCTGTAGTAATATTTTCAGTTTCGAGTTTTTCATGTAGTTTTAGACATTGTCAACGATGAGGCCTCAAAGCAAAACCAAACCTACAAATCTCATTCTTCTTATTAAAATTAGCAGTGTCACTGTAAAAAATCCCAAATTAGCGTGTTTGGATATGGTTGCCAATAAGGTAATTCAACCTAAATCATTTCCATTATCAATATTACCTTGCTAATCTTTTGTATCTAGTTCAAATGTATTACAGGTCCGTTAATGTTTGAACTATTCAAATTTTGCTGGAAATTTATTTATAAATAAGATTAGGCTGCTACAAAATTTGGGGCTATAGTGGTATACACTCAAACTTGTATAAAATCTATACTTATTTAATACGCAAGCACGATTTTTGTGACAATTACTCCTCCGAAACTACTGAACCGATTGACATGTTTCTGGTGTCATTGGAAAGAGCGTAACGTGAAGTTGTGCAGGAAACTTTCTTTTTAGTTAAATAATTAAAGAGTGCGGCCCTGGGGCCCTTTAAAGTTTCGCATTTCTCCTTAAGATTAACATGGGAAACAAACATTGTTTTGAAACTCCAGCTGTTGTCAGAAATTAAATATTAAATAATTGGTCTCCATGGAAGCATGAGAAAATTCACAATGTTTACATTTGCTTTGACATTTTTTTGTAAACAATCAGAACTGTCAAATGTCTATTTCACAAATTCCGACAGCTGATCCAAAAAATGTATTTTCCTTCCACCATGTAAAACAACTATGTGGTAGGTTTATTTAATCTTAAACTTTATGATAGATTATTTATTATAAATCTATTTCAATGATTATGAAACAGATTTTTCCCGTTGCGAAGCAAAAATTAATTGTGAGAAGAAGAACATAATGTAAAACAGTCAATGTGTAAATTATCTATGTTGTATTAAAAATATGTTTAGTTTTGGATGTTGGTTTGTGTTAAATGATATCGGTTATTAGTTATTGCATTTTTATTCTAAGGATTTGGCATATGAGTAAGCCTATGATAAATAACACCATTTCAGAGTTCTGCCAGTTTTTGCCTAACTCTATCCTGTAGAGATTAGTAGCCTACACCTTATTGTCTAGATATTGGCTAAACAACTTAGGTACGGTAATTTATAAAAGCTGACGGCCTTTTTACGTTGACTTAAATTGTAAGCTTATCTTTTCCCGTACATGGGCAGATTGATTGTTAAAAATTAACCCTTTAAACTAGAATAGGACTGTCATGTAAATTGTGAGTATTTCCTTTAGTTAATAATCTTTTAGTTGACTCTTTTAAAATCATCATAAATTATGACTGTTATTAGTTTTTAAACAAGTTATTTGTTTATAAATAACTCCTGTACTTCTTTGCAATTGCTCGATTTCGAGCAACATGTACACTAGTATGTTTTTAAAACCCTTTCACATAACTATATTTTTCATTGATCACTTAGGCTATTCTTTTTAGCTATCCCGTTATGCTCTATTTTTAATCAAAATTCATGTTTTCGGCCCCTGGACTATATTGTTAAGACAATAATAGGTTTTTTACATACCTCAGTCAAATAGTCCAAAAATGGTATTGCTCAACAGCTTACATGTTTCGTTGCGAAGACAACATTATCAAAGCTTGCAACTCGTCAAAAACACATTTAAAACACGAACACGAACACAGAAGACATTAATACGGTACGAATACACAATTGACATTTAGATAGCGCTATCATAATACTGATTTGGTCCGGCGCGGCGCGGGGCTGGTAGCAGACTGGAGGTCACGTCACATCGTCTCCTCTACTGTTATCACTGATGTTATCAGATCTTCGATCAGCTGTTCCTGAGTTTAATATTGTATTAAAAATCGAGTGAGACTGGAACTGTAATTTTTCGTTAAGGATGTGGTCCTTACACTGTTCGTCATTATAAATTTTATAAATCTCGAACTCCTCCAAGGTGTCAAGTTTGCTACCTTTCCCACAGACATGTAGAATTTTTAAACCATCGTCAATGCTACTCATTGAGTGATTTGAATCAACCAGGTGTTGTGCGAAGGCTGATTTTTGTTTGACCATTTTTGGAGTAGGCCTATGTTCTCTGTAGTGGGTTTCAAATGCCCGACCCGTCTGGCCTATATACTTGCATGGGCAATCTGGGCAACTGATCTGGTAAACACCGGTGTTATTTAATTTGTTGCTAGACCCTTTATTATGCAAGATGTTCCTAGTGCGGTTGGTGGTTCGAAACGTTAAGTCGATGCCTTGCCTATTTAGTTCTTTTTTAAGGCTGTTTTCTACAGAGTGGCTGTACTCCACGCAAACATATTTTCTCTCACTCTTATCTGGTTTAATATCTTGTTTTCTTTTGTTCTTACATTTGCTAATTAATCTGTCTACCAAATCGTGTTTGTACCCATTGGCTGATGCGATATACTTTATTAATGAGCATTCTTTGTTATAATTATCGGGGCTTAATGGAACAGTTAACATTCTGTGGATCATGGAGTTGTAGGCTGCTATTTTTTGCGAAAACGGATGGTAAGAACAAAAGAAAACAAGATATTAAACCAGAGAACATAGGCCTACTCCAAAAATGCCTACAAACAAAAATCAGCCTTCGCACAACACCTGGTTGATTCAAATCACTCAATGAGTAGCATTGACGATGGTTTAAAAATTCTACATGTCTGTGGGAAAGGTAGCAAACTTGACACCTTGGAGGAGTTCGAGATTTATAAAATTTATAATGACGAACAGTGTAAGGACCACATCCTTAACGAAAAATTACAGTTCCAGTCTCACTCGATTTTTAATACAATATTAAACTCAGGAACAGCTGATCGAAGATCTGATAACATCAGTGATAACAGTAGAGGAGACGATGTGACGTGACCTCCAGTCTGCTACCAGCCCCGCGCCGCGCCGGACCAAATCAGTATTATGATAGCGCTATCTAAATTTCAATTGTGTATTCGTACCGTATTAATGTCTTCTGTGTTCGTGTTCGTGTTTTAAATGTGTTTTTGACGAGTTGCAAGCTTTGATAATGTTGTCTTCGCAACGAAACATGTAAGCTGTTGAGCAATACCATTTTTGGACTATTTGACTGAGGTATGTAAAAAACCTATTATTGTCTATTTTTAATTGTTTACAGCTTTACAGCTAATTAGGTTTATTAACCATATTAGTTTCATAGCAGTACTATTTACTACTTCCCACTATTGTTTACAGGCAAGAAACGCAGAATTACCCTGGTGGAATGTAACAACGACATCAACAGTATGATAGACCTGGCAAAAGTTGCAGACTTGGTTTTACTCTTAATAGACGCCAGTTTTGGTTTTGAAATGGAGATATTTGAGTTTTTGAACATCTGCCAGGTATTTGACCACTTTATACAAAATAATCACTGTAAATATTTTAGGCTTAACAAAGACGTACGTATTTGGACATAAATGTGTGGTTTTCACCTTACAGTAGACTCCCTCTTATCCGGACTTCTCGGGACCGAGGCCAGTCCGGATAATGGGTTTTCCGATTAAGCTGACGTCCCCAAAAACTCTTTAAAACGGTCTGTTTAAATGTTCAAATAGTACTGTATTTGACTAAAATTTAGGAGAGCATTGTATTTAGATACGTGATCACTGGTCTCAAATCTTTCCCACGAGAACGGTCGTTTCAGTACTGCCCACTTCCTGCCGATCTAGTCGGGTTAAACCGATGTGCTGATAAAAATTGTCCGGTTAAAGAGATGTAATTTCTGCCGAGTGTAGTCCAGTTAAACCGATGTATCTATTTGATATAGGTAGCCACTTTTATCATAGTAAAATTTTCCTGCATAAAGAAGTTTTTATTAATATGGAACGTTGTAATGTGGTTTCTTGTAACATTAGAAACGTTTCTGTTGCATATACTTCAACTTTCCTACTTATAAGCAATAACTTAAGTGATCTTTTAGCCTAATTTAAGTACTAGGCCTAACTTAAATTGTGTCAGCCTAGTTGATGAACTAAATCTATAGAACACCTAAAGGTATTATATAGAATTAAAGAATAAAAGTCTTAGGCAAACAAAATATTTTGAGGTTTTCATGGAAAAGACACTCTGAAATGTCAAAATCCGCATTATTTAAATTTATTTGTTAACTTTCAGGTCCATGGTATGCCTAAAGTTATGGGTGTTTTGACTCATCTGGATATGTTGAAGAACGCCAAAACACTAAAACGTACAAAGAAAGTACTGAAACACAGGTTCTGGACAGAAGTTTATGCAGGAGCTAAGCTTTTCTATCTTTCTGGACTACTTCATGGTGAATATCTGCGGAATGAGGTCAAAAACCTTGGCCGCTTTATATCGGTGATGAAATTCCGACCGTTGACATGGCAGACGACTCACTCATATTTGCTCGGTGAGAACATTTACTTGGTCTTAACATATTTTGGATTTTTAAGAATATTTTCTAGGAATTTTTTTAAGACACAAACAAACGTTCCTGGAAATGCAATCAATAGCCTATAGCTTGAAATAAAGTAAACATGTGAAATAAATCTTTCGGAAAGATAAAAATAAGAATTGTGAAGAGTTTTTCAGTTTCAGTCCCTAGCTACTACTACCAGTGGCCGCTCCTATGTGGGTAATTCCCCCTTCCATCTTAAAAGTTAAAGAAAAATTTAGACAGGGAGGAGATTACTGGAACTCAGAGCACATGTTCATTCTAAAACTGTCATCATACCAAATTTCAACCGAATCCGACCAGTAGTTAATGTGTGATTGAACTTCAAACAAAGAAACTTTCACATTTATAATATTATAGTATAGTATGATTAAATGAAATAAGTACATTCCACAAATAAATACACAGTAACGTGTTTTTCTAGCTGATAGATTAGAAGATCTTACTCCACCTGAAATGATTCGACAGAACCCGAAGGTAGATAGAACAGTCAGTCTTTACGGTTACGTCCGTGGGATTCCCCTTAACAAGGCCTGCAGTGTTCATATACCTGGTAAGTATACATGCATTTGATGCATTGTTTAGCCTTGTTTGTTTTTACTATGTACAACATAGGTATGGAGGGGAGCGAGCTGGTTTCGTGGTAAAGCCTGAGGCTATGGTCCTCAAAGATCCCGAGTTCAAATCCTACTAATCCCCAATGGAAAGACATTTAGTATGATATAGCTAACTTATTTAAAGAACTGTACATGATACTAGACCCAGCCTCATGTAATGTATTAAACGCTTCCGAAATAGACCCTACCATCTCAGCATGTAGGTGTGGGGAATAGAGTAAACAATGTGATTTATGGTGTACACTGGGTGTGAGTAGACATATTTATTTAGTCTCTGATCCACGATTTCCAAATTATTTAACAAAGCTGAGATCTATATGATGGTATAATTAACAATGCTTGGTTTCTATGAAATATGTTATTTGATCTGAAGTACAAAATGTTTCTCCATCGCAATCCTTTCCATTTCTCTCTCCTTCCCAAGGACCATAGTAGTCTACACTTTTTCATAGGGATGGACGGGATTGAATTTTTACTTCGGGACGGGACGGGACGGGATTTTTATTTCCTTCCCGATTTTCGGGACGAGACGGGACGGGATTTTTTTCTGTGCATAAAAAGAAAGTCTTGAGTATTGCAGTTACCAAAAAAAGGATACAAAATCAATCTTTACCGTTTGTGGCACTGATCTATAAAAACCAAAAAATTGGTAACAATTTTTCAGGTACCTATAGAAACTTGTGACTCACGGTCACGGTGCGATCGTCAAAATGACGGCGGTAACGGGGTGATCGTCGGTATGACTCCGCGGTCAAGTCGTGATCGTTGGTATGACTCCGCGGTCACGGGGTGATCGTCGGTATGACTCTGCGGTCAAAGGGTGATCGTCGGTATGACTCGCGGTCACGGCGCCTTTCGTCGGTATGACTCCGCGATCACGGCGTGATTGTCAGTATGCCTCCGCGGTCACGGGGTGATCGTCGGTATGACTCCCCGGTCACGGCGCGATCGTCGGTATGACTCCGCGGTCACTGCGTGATCGTCGGTATGACTCCGCGGTCACTGCGTGATCGTCGGTATGACTCCGCGGTCACTGCGTGATCGTCGGTATGACTCAGCGGTCACGGGGTGATCGTCGGTATGACTCGCGGTCACGGCGCGATCGTCGGTATGACTCCCCGGTCACGGCGCGATCGTCGGTATGACTCACGGTCACGGCGCGATCGTCGGTATGACTCCGCGGTCACGGGGTGATCTTCGGTATGACTCGCGTTCACGGCGCGATCGTCGGTATGACTCCCCGGTCACGGCGCGATCGACGGTATGACCCTGCGATCACTGCGTGATCGTCGGTATGACTTAGCGGTCACTGCGTGATCGTCGGTATGACTCCGCGGTCACGGGGTGATCGTCGGTATGACTCACGGTCACGGGGTGATCGTCGGTATGACTCACGGTCACGGCTCGATCGTTGGTATGACTCCGCGATCACGGGGTGATCTTCGGTATGACTCGCGTTCACGGCGCGATCGTCGGTATGACTCTCCGGTCACGGCGCGATCGTCGGTATGACCCTGCGATCACTGCGTGATCGTCGGTATGACTTCGCGGTCACTGCGTGATCGTCGGTATGACTCCGCGGTCACGGGGTGATCGTCGGTATGACTCGCGGTCACGGCTCGATCGTTGGTATGACTCCGCGGTCACGGGGTGATCTTCGGTATGACTCGCGTTCACGGCGCGATCGTCGGTATGACTCCCCGGTCACGGCGCGATCGTCGGTATGACCCTGCGATCACTGCGTGATCGTCGGTATGACTTAGCGGTCACTGCGTGATCGTCGGTATGACTCCGCGGTCACGGGGTGATCGTCGGTATGACTCACGGTCACGGGGTGATCGTCGGTATGACTCACGGTCACGGCTCGATCGTTGGTATGACTCCGCGATCACGGGGTGATCTTCGGTATGACTCGCGTTCACGGCGCGATCGTCGGTATGACTCTCCGGTCACGGCGCGATCGTCGGTATGACCCTGCGATCACTGCGTGATCGTCGGTATGACTTCGCGGTCACTGCGTGATCGTCGGTATGACTCCGCGGTCACGGGGTGATCGTCGGTATGACTCACGGTCACGGCGCGATCGTCGGTATGACTCCGCGGTCACGGGGTGATCTTCGGTATGACTCGCGTTCACGGCGCGATCGTCGTTATGACCCTGCGATCACTGCGTGATCGTCGGTATGACTTCGCGGTCACTGCGTGATCGTCGGTATGACTCCGCGGTCACGGGGTGATCGTCGGTATGACTCCGCGGTCACGGGGTGATCTTCGGTATGACTCGCGTTCACGGCGCGATCGTCGGTATGACCCTGCGATCACTGCGTGATCGTCGGTATGACTTCGCGGTCACTGCGTGATCGTCGGTATGACTCCGCGGTCACGGGGTGATCGTCGGTATGACTCACGGTCACGGCGCGATCGTCGGTATGACTCCGCGGTCACGGGGTGATCTTCGGTATGACTCGCGTTCACGGCGCGATCGTCGTTATGACTCCCCGGTCACGGCGCGATCGTCGGTATGACTCCGCGGTCACTGCGTGATCGTCGGTATGACTCAGCGGTCACGGGGTGATCGTCGGTATGACTCGCGGTCACGGCGCGATCGTCGGTATGACTCCGCGGTCAATGCGTGATCGTCGGTATGACTCGCGGTCACGGCGCGATCGTCGGTATGACTCCGCGGTCACGGGGTGATCGTCGGTATGACTCGCGGTCACGGCGCGATCGTCGGTATGACTCCCCGGTCACGGCGCGATCGTCGGTATGACTCCGTGGTCACGGCACGATCGTCGTTATGACTCCGCGGTCACGGCGCAATCGTCGGTATGACTCCCCGGTCACGGCGCGATCGTCGGTATGACTCCGTGGTCACGGCACGATCGTCGTTATGACTCCGCGGTCACGGCGCAATCGTCGTTATGACTCCGCGGTCATGGCGCAATCGTCGAAACGACTTCGTCTCCTTCGTTCGCGGACCTATCGCTCGCAATAGCGGCGTCATCGGCACTCGCGAAGCGGCAAAATCGCCGGCGATCGGACTAAATCCCGTCCCGAAAAATTCCCGAATCAAATGTAATCCCGTCCCGATAATCGGGAATATTTTTTTCCCGAAAAATTCCCGAAATTTCGGGACCCGTCCATCCCTACTTTTTCATTCCTCATCGTTTACCTGGATCATCTTCAAATGGTCCAAAGTCGTTTGGTCCACAGTTTATATTGCCGTTCGTTTGGTCCAAAATCGTTTGGTCCAACAGTTAAAAACTCGTTCGTTTGGTCCAAAATCGTTTTATCCAATTTCATTTGGTCCAAAGTCGTTTGGTCCACAGTTTATATTGCCGTTCGTTTGGTCCAAAATCGTTTGGTCCAACAGTTAAAAACTCGTTCGTTTGGTCCAAAATCGTTTGGTCCAACAGTTAAAAACACGTTCGTTTGGTCCAAAATCGTTTGGTCCAAAAGTACAGGCCAAACTAGAAGTAAAATGTTGCATTGTAGAGTAAACTTATGAAATATACTGTACGTTTATATTGCCGTTCATTTGGTCCAACAGTTGTAAAACAGTTCGTTTGGTCCAAAATCGTTTGGTCCAACACATTAATACGAGTTCGTTTGGTCCAAAGTATAAACTATTGCGTCCCTCACATTGAAGGCGTTCAAATATCCGCCGTCGTATACAATAATAATATTAATACAATTTTTGCTTTAAACTTAAACATGTTGACTTTCTATGTTTTTAACGTTAAAGACGCCATGTTTTGTTGTATTCAAACCACTAAAGCGTACATAAACAAACTTAAAGCTCAATAGTGTATCATACGGTTGGAAATCTTATAAATTAACAGTTTTTATCACATTTGGCGACCTTCTAATATACAGAGTGTTCAGTGGACCAACGTGTTTTAAATGTTTATCATACACCTTAATTTGTATTGTTGTACCGGTACCTATTTACAATGGAGTGTTTACTATTGATCATGGTTGTCTATAATTCTTAATCAAAAGGTTAAAATAGAACATGAAAATTACATTTATTAGCCTAATCATATTTTCTGGACGTCCACAATTTCCTGGTAAAAATTTTGTCTTACAGAATTATATATAAGGATCTTATTTTCTTATTTTAAAATTGATGTTCTTCTGTATAATGTCATGTTTAGCAATATAACGTTCCATTACGAACAGTTATATAATCTTAATATTACAGTAACTCTTTCAATCATTTCTTATTGCATTATGTTATATCTATTGTACTGGTTGGTGTCTGCCTTTTTGACTACTTTTGCCCATATTTTGTCTTATTATTCAATACTGACAGATCATCACGAGATTATTGTTATACATGTGTATTTAATCATTGGACAATTTCCCATTATGTAATACGATACAGAATAATAAAAGTGCAGAAGGCTTTTACAGTCTATGAAAATGAATGTTAAATAGGCTACTTTTATTTATCATAGACATATCATTAAGGTACATCAATTATAGGTCTACTCTTTGTGATATGCATAATTGTCTGAGACAAACATTCAGGCACGTTGCCCATATTTTTTTAAAAATAATAGTGGTTTTCAGTAACTGGATTAAATTGTTAATAATTTTATGAATAAATGCATGATAAGTTATAGAAAGTTATTAATCCTAAATTCCAGTTTATTACATACTTTTAGAGAGTTTACTTTGATGCATTCATTCAGCTTAGTGAAAGAATACACAATGGAGTCAGTGAATGTTATTCAACTAAAGATGTGATGGTCGAACAACGGATCTAAACCTCACTATACACAAACAATTCGGAAACACAACAGTGTCATCACATCTCATCGCATTTGCATAATTTTTTACCAAGGCTGGACTAGGTTATGGATTTGGTTCAGCAAATGTTCAAGATTTGTGGTCAAACTTCCTACAATTATGGTTCATTCCATCCACGAAATACATGCACAGCTTTATGTGATCGATATGGCCAAGGCAAAACTACCCCATAAATAAACGAATTATCAAGTAAGAACAGGATGATTAAATACATGGGTCAATATGGCAAGAGAAGGAATAAAACCAACTATCACAATTGCTTATTGGTAATTGCTTAGATCGAAGTAAGAATGTTACTGCTTTCTGGAGAATCAGATATTTTTATCAAATAAAAAAAAACTAATTTAATATGCTGATAAAATTCTGTATTTTTATGACCAAAGATGAAAATTTACTTATAAATCCGGATACAATCTGAATGATTTTCCTAAAGCAGATGGAATTAGTTGTTAGTAATAAATATTGACTCTTTCCGTAACATGATAGACCAATTATATGAACTCATTCTCCCATCTAGTGAAAGTGGCTTTGACATGAAACAAACTCATGAACAAACAATTATAAGACTCCTAAAAAACCTTTTGGGCAACCAGCCGATAAAAAGGTAGGAAATATTGTGTTAAACGAATTCATCAATCACGTTTTTTAGGGAACACAATCGTCACCCTTACTATTGCTTATCCTCCCTTCATTTAACTAAGATTTTAATGACCACTCTATCTATCACAGGAAGCTGAATTTACATAAAACCTCAAGATTAACCGTCGATTTCGACGGGGTTCCACTAGCATATATTATTTAGAAACATATCACAAAACAACAAATAATAGGCCTCGGAAGGCAGGCGGTTGGGTTGACGACGTGACGGCGATTATTTGAACGCCTTCTATGTGAGGGACGCAATAGTTCATACTTTTGGACCAAACGAACTCGTAATAGAGTGTTGAATAAAACGACCCGATCGAATGGTCCACAGTGAAACGTACAGTCTATTTCATAAGTTTACTCCACAATACACAATCGTAATTCTGGTTTTGCCTGTACTTTTGGACCAAACGATTTTGGACCAAACGAACTGTTTTAAAACTTGTGGACCAAACGATTTTGGACCAAACGAACTGTTTTACAACTTGTGGACCAAACGATTTTGGACCAAACGAACTGTTTTACATCTTGTGGACCAAACGATTTTGGACCAAATGAAATACTCCCCAACTGGATCATAAAACGATTTTGGACCAAACGAACTGTTTTAAAACTTGTGGACCAAACGATTTTGGACCAAACGAACTGTTTTACAACTTGTGGACCAAACGATTTTGGACCAAATGAAATACTCCCGTTTACCTCTTCAACAATCAACTTGTTCATCTATTTTTTTCCTTTGTTAAGCCTTGATACAACAGTTATCCTATAAATCAAGATATGCCTTGTTTTATATTTTTCTCTCAATACTCTCTTGTAGGATGTGGTGATTCTGTGATCAGCGATGTCTGTTTTCTGCCCGACCCTTGCCCTCTGCCTGATCGACTCAAGAAGCGTTGTCTTGTAGACAAGGAGCGACTCATCTACGCTCCGTTTTCCGGTGTGGGCGGCATCGTTTACGACAAAGACGCTGTTTACATAGAACTTGCCGGTAGCCACTCTCATCACAACCAGGTGATTAAAAGCCTGACTTGTTGTAAATTAGAAAAAACTTGATTACAAGAAAAATGATTAGTAAGTTCTCCATAACAATTAACAATAGTCTCAAGGGGATAATGTATTTAGACTTGTCACAAAGATGCACTTAATATTGTCATTATAAATTATAAACGTAATTGTTGCTGATCGTTAATAGTAGTAAGCAGGGTGTGCTAGCACACATGAACCCCTCCTCTACCTCTGTCACTTTTGTTTTTTTGACAGTCATCTCAACAATTAATTGCCATTGCACTAATGTAATACTATTGTCATCTAGTGGTGTGCCTCTTAGTGTTGTTGGGAGTCTCTCCCTCATCCCTGTTGATCCTAATTGATTATTGTCAACTACTGCCATAGATATCTAGAAATTAGAAATGAAACTTTTGAAATATTTTTTTTTTTACAAAACTGCTAATCTAGGTGCAATAATCTAAAGTTAAGGAAGTATGTTTTTGGTATGAATGAGTAACATGAGCCAGCCAGTGGTTACTGGCTTCAGTATACCCTTACTGAAGGGATAAGAATGTGCCTAAGGCTGATCTCATACTTTACCTATGTCTTTCTTATCAGCCTACGACACCACTGATTTAATGTGTGCGTTCTATGTATCCTCTTTCAATAAAATGTCATTAATTTTGTGTTAAAATAACTTCTACTACACGGTAAATATATTAAAAAATTGTACAAAGACATATTTGCTCTTTGAAGCTGATATCACCAATTTTCATGTTTTAGGTCACAGGAAGAGATGAGTCAGAGAGAGGTTTAGTTTCCTCCCTGCTAGATACCAAGGAGACACTGGACGCTAAAATTGCAAAGAGTCAAATGCAGATATTTTCCAACACTGCGCCTATCACTGCGGATGATTTCCAATCGTATGTCAATCAAATTATTATGAACCATTGGAAAGGGAATGCAACACAGGTTTAGCTGAGTGGTCATAGTGCTCGCTTCGTAATCACTCACCAATTTGATCTAAAAAAAAAGACAGTTCTCAGCTTTTTGATAGTTCTAAACTGGATCAAGTCCTTGATCACTGGGCTTTTAATAAGTGATTCTGCCTAAATAAATCGCTGTTCTTACTTAGTCAGAACACAAAGCATCTCACTGAACGATCATGCTTCTCTCATAGTTAAGGGTTTAAATAATAAAAAAAGCCAGTAGGGTATCATTTGTCATAATAATTACAATAATGGTATAACCTGTGTGGTCATAGTTTTTTTATTTAACTTGACTAATTTACATTTATTTGTTTCTGTTTCTTCTGTCAAGTGTATTGATTTTTTATTAATAAAATTTTATAAACATTTACTGTAGATATATTGATATATTTTTGCCTGTTGAATTAACTTTTACGTAATTGTTTCAGGAACTCAGTTAAAAAGGTAAAAAACACAATCACAGAATTGAAAATACCTGATCCAGAAAGTGGGCGTGATAGGAGAAAAGCTGTTTTTGAAACAGAAGATGATGATTTGGATATTAAATCTGAGGACGAAGAAGAAAGTGACGAAGAAGATGCTGTCGTGGAACAGTCTGAAGATGAATCAGATGAGGAGGAAAATAATCAAGAAGAGGAAGATAGTGAAGACAGTGATGAAAACGAGAGTTCAGATGATGAAAATATGATTAATAGTAAAATGAAGAAGAATGGCGGTACCAGTAACCGAGTTGAGGAGGATAGTGAAGACGAGAGTTCAGAAGATGACAGTGTGATCCATAACACAAAAACGAAAAACTCCAGTACTCTTAAAATAAAAAGTGGAAAGATAAGTCTAGGAGCTAAAAGTGCAAGTGTTGGTTATTCATCAAATACCAAAGAAAAACATAAAAAAGATGAGACCGAAGATAAATCAAATAGAAATGGGAAGAAACGTAAATCCGTAAAGAACTTGGGTGCGGAAGATGATTCTTCTGGCAGTGATGATGTACAAGAAAGCTTAGTCAGTAAAAGAAAGAAAGTTACCGAAGAAGAAAAGAAAGAAGAAGTAAGGTGAGATAAGCAAAAGTTTAATTGTAAAACAACATTATCCTAATTAGATCTTGTATTCATTTACAGCCAAAATGTCCACCCTTTAACTAAAACTTTTTTATTCCAAATGTTCAAGGTTTTTTTACTGACACAGGCCAAAACATTCCTATTTCAAAAACGAAACCCATGTGATGTTTTGACTTCTTGAAAATAATGTACTAGACTCTAGAAGTTGGAGGTATTTTAACATTTGAAACTCATTTTAGAATAAACTAATTCTGTCCAGTAGTAATTTGATATTTCTTAAAAAGCTATATTATATTGACTTCTAGTCACCACTAACTTAAGTTTAAAAATTTTTTAGGTACCATGCAACACAGTCTGACAGAGACAAAGAAATCAAGACTAAAATTGCTGAAGCGCTGCAAAAGCTTCAAAATCCTAAAAAGAAGGATTCCCAGTCTGGGTTGACTGATAGTGCATTTTCTGACGATGGAAGTTCAGAAGCTTCAGGAAATATCTCACAACCTGAGAGTAGTGAAGATTCTGATGAAGAATCTGGAACAGAAATGAAGAATGTAGGTAGTTCTGATGAAGATGAAATGTCCATCAAATCAGAGCCAAGTAGTGACGATGATGAAGATACAACAGCTTTTAGTTGGAAGGCAAATCTTGCACAAAAAGCTGCAGATGCATTTGTTGAGAGACAAAACAGCACAGCAAACCTTTGGAAATTGGTTTATGGTGAGATTCAATAGAATTACTTAAGATCTTCACCTTATTTCATCTACATATTTTTTTCTTAGTTTATACCGTGTTAACTTTCAGTAAGATATTATCTCCAGGATTGCTATTGTAAGTAGATTTATCCATACAAGTCAATTTTTGGGGTCTGACTTAGGGGAGGTACGAATGAGGCATTAGTTCAAAATTCCTCCGTGAACAGCGCTGTAGTAGAGAGCACTTTGGCAATGAAGATTTACTAATCGGAAAAATAGTTCTGTTCATAAAGTAAAATTATAAATGCCTCAAATTCAATTTCATTATTTTTTAATTATAAAATTAAACTATCATAACCTAACCGAACTAACCAAACTTGCTGATAATTAAATAATATAGGTAACAAAAGTTTAGTAATAGAAAAAATAATTCTGTTTATTAAATAAAACTAGAAATTGCTCAATTAAAATTTTACAATGACTTAATAATAAAATTAAACTCTCATAACCGAACCAAACCAACCAAACTTGCTGATAATAAAAAAAATCTTGGACAAAAAGTGAATGCCACCAGCGGGATTCGAACCCGGGACCTTCAGCATACCAGTCCAGCATGCTAACCATTAGACCACCCAGCCTGATGGCTACAGAACGTTTTGTTACAGTAATGGCGTTCCCTCAGCTAATAAGAAGCCCACAGCTGTCATCGTAGCCTCTTCTATACCTCCCCTGAGTAAATACCCAATTTTTGCTGTACAAGTACATACTAATGCCTCATCAATGGAAGATAGTGAACCTTGCAAAAAATATACCTTTAAATGATAAACCACTTAGGCTCACGATTATACTATTTTTCAAAAGCAACAAATTGAAGTACAAGAACCGCCATGGTAAATTGAGTAGTAGTACTTTAAAGTCAATTCAATCATGGTACCGACATGAATAGAAATTAAGGATTTGGTATATACATGCATATAAGGTGGTACCAAAAAAACATGCAATTAATTTTTCAGGTCAAGATGAAAATGAGCAACCTCAAGAAAACAAAGAAGAAGAGGATGAAGAAGTTGCTGGGCTTTTCAGAGTTGTTGGGAAGAAACAAGAAAAGAAAATCCAGGAGAAGGATTCGATGAATGCGCCCGACTCTTCTAAATTTGTTCAATCTCAGCTGAGGGATTGGTCAGCCGAGGCAGTGAGTTTTGTCTTACATTTTAACAAATTTGTTTTTTTTGTCGTTTTTTTTTTTGCAAAATAACTAACAAGTATCATAAACTGTCTTTGTATAGCCAACACCGTCATTGTTTTTCATGATCGCAGCCAAATCTTAATATAAATATATCCTGCGTTCATGTAGACATGATCATCGTCTCCCGCTGTCATGGAAACTCGTTATCGTTTTCCTTGATTGCAGCAACATCTTGTACATCATCCACGGTCTTGAAGACATCATCATCGTCTCCCGTGGTCACGGGAACAACGTCAACTTTTTCCACAACAGTGCGAACATCTTGGATAGGCCTATCTTCTTTGGTCTTGTAGACATCATGTTCGTCTCCCGCGGTTGCGACATCTTTTTCTGAGACAGCGACAAAATCATGAATATCTTCTTGGTTCTTGTAGAAATCATGTTCGTCTCCCCCAGTCACGGAAACGACGTAATTTTTTTTTACGTGATTGTGGCAAAATCATAAATAACTTCATCGGTCTTGTAGACATCATCTTCCTCTTCTGTGGTGACATTCGGACCTCAGTGCCCCCCCCACCCCCCGAGTTGTTATTGCCACTGTGTATAGCAATTCCTCAAACCATGCAACCCTTTTATTTTGGCCAAAGTTATATTAATTGTGATATTAGGAAAGTTTGATTCATATCCGTAAGTTTTTAAAACTATAAATTGTTTCAGGTGAGGGAAATGATCAAGGATTGTTTTGTGACTGGGAAGTGGAAGAGTACCGAGGATGCTGGAGAATTGCTCCGTTTGGATGATATGTCTGATGAAGAGATGTACGGGGATTTTGAAGATCTGGAGACAGGGGAAAAGCACACGTCTAAGGGTAAAGGGAAGGATGTGGCTGAAAGCGATGGTGATGATGATGATGAAGAAAGTGAAGGTGAATGGAAATAATTTTAGCTTTCTTACTGTAATTATAATTTGATCACCTAAGTAGATTTTTTTACCAACTCTCTGTATGGGTACATGATTACCTACCACCATAAACATTTGGGTTTAACTGTATTGCAATTTACAATCCCTTTTATAATGTTACAATATTCTCAAATCAGGCATAGGGGTTGTTAAATTCTCTGTGAAACCTGCACCGAATAGTGAATATTTGAGCTGTATTTGTTTTCAGACATAGTGTAAAGCAAAGTGGCAACTTTCATGCAGCCTAACTTTCTTATCTTAACGAAAAATTGAGCTGGGGCAAAACTTATTTTTTTAATACATTTAAATGAGTCTAGTTTTTTTTTTAAATTTTTGTTAGAAAAATGATATTTTAAGTTTGCAATTTTGTTTTAAATTTATGTTCCACTCTGCTTTGTAGAAAAGCCTAATGAGAAACCAATGACAAAAGCTGAGTTAATAGAAAAGAAGAAGAAGTTAAAAGAGAGGTTTGATGCTGAATATGATGAAAAGGACGGGGGAGAGACGTCATTTTACGATGACTTGAAAAAAGAAGCTTCTCAACAATCTGAGGTATGTACTGGAGAATTTTGTCAATTGATAAGTTTTACAAAATTAAGACAAATTAAACAAAAAAAAAACACTTTTTTTGTTGCCAAAATTGTGGATAGACACATATTATATGAAACATTATAGGTATCATCCCAAACCATCGTAGTCTTTCTTTCAATCATCGTTTGGTTCAATTGTCAGATTAATATAACCCAAGATGAACTGTTTTCCAGTTGAACCGTAGCCAGTTCGAAGGACTGGATGACGCAGTGAGGGTGCAGCTAGAGGGGTTCAGAGCTGGTATGTACGTACGTGTCGAGCTGCAGCAGATGCCTTGTGAGCTGGTGACCAACTTTGACCCGACCTATCCCCTCATAGTTGGTGGGCTGCAGCCTGGCGAAGAGAACATTGGATATCTCAAGGTTTGTACTGATTGTTCGTAGTGTTTGACGTTTTGATCTAGCTTGATGAGTTGTATCATTCACTTGACCAAAATTTTTAGTTTGTAAAGGATTTAGATTTCTTTGTTCGACCTGAAATCCTAATTCATCAGAATCGATGAGTTTGAAACAAATATTTAGCTTTATACAGTCCAACCTCAGTATAACGAATCTGAAGGGACCGAACTGAATATTCGTTATACCAAGGGTTTCGTTAAAACGAGGTTCGTTATATAGAGGTTATGTTTGCAGGAATTTCGCTAAGTCGAGGTTCAGAACCAGCGTCGGTCAATTTAGGTCGGGATTAGACATCATTAAAACACAGTTAAAGTAGCATAGGCTACAATACTTTACAGTACAGTGTTTACATTGTACAGTAGAACCTAAATTATCCGGCATAATAAAGGGGAGGGATCTTGAATATTGCGCAATCATGACAATGGCATTGACCTTGCTTGGTACAGGTTAAAAAACTGTAAGTTTAAAATCACAGCTTGTTCTAACCCTCCTAAAACCTAGCCAAACACTGTATTGCGTAGTCATTAGTCATAAACCATGTAAAGAACAAAACAAAACAGTAGTAGAAAGTTTTGTAAGCTACTGCTCGTGATAGGCCGGTAGGCTACTTACAAGGGTGGCGTCGTTATGCTTTCCCTGAAGGGTTTGAAGTGGAAGCGGGTGGATGTTCCAAATTGGTTGTCTGGTAGTTTACTTCAAGATAAGCAATTCGAATTTTGTGCCTGTAGCTATATAATTAATGGATTTAAAATTTTGGCAATTGGAGTGTATAGGTCACCTAGCTCAGATTGTGAAATATTTTTAGATAGATTAAGCATGTTAATTTCCCACTTTTCCAAAAAGTTTGTTAATATAATTTTAGGAGGGGATATAAACATTGATGTTCTAAAAAATAACCCTAATCATAAATTACTAAAAAGAACACTAAAAGTTCATAAAATGTGGTATCTGGTCAATTTCCCAACTAGAGTTACTGAGGAATCTGAATCGGCAATTGATAACTTTATAATTAAAAACTGTCATGATTGCAAAGTGACTGTTGAGGGAATTGTAACTTGTCTATCAGATCATGATGGGCAATTGCTCCTTATAAAAAATAAAAACCTAAATAATACAAAAGAGGTTCAATCAACTATAAAACGTACAACTCGTAACTTCAATATTCAAAATTTGAATTTATTTAAAAACCTCTTGGAAAATGAGATTTGGGAGAGTGTTTACATGGCTCCTGTTGAAAGAAAATATGATGAATTTTATAGTACATTTAAGCATTTTTTTGACATTTCGTTTCCCAAAATTACTGTAACAGAAAAGAAACGCAAACAAAATTGGATCTCAGAAGACCTGAAAAATGAAAAAAAAGAACTACTACAATTGGCCTTAAAACTTCGTAGAAACAAAAATCCTGCCTTGAAATACGAGTTAAAACAAAACAAACTGAAATATAAGGCAAAACTAGTCAGAGCTAAAACAAATTATTTTGAAAATAGAATACAAAAATCAGCCAATATACAAAAAACAGTATGGCAGATTATAAATTCTGAAGTTGGGAAAGGAAAGGGAACAAGAAATAAAAATATTACTTTGAAAGAGGGAAATTGTAGCTTAAGTGATCCTAGAACTATTGCTAACATGTTCAACAAATATTTTACTAATGTTGATCAGGATGTCAGTGGCAACCAATGTGAGAGCAAGATTGAAAATCAAAGTCTTATTGAAAATGAGCAATGTATTAAAAGAGGTTTTGATTTAAAATTTATTGATGCGGGGGAGGTGGAAAAAGTAATTAACTCTTTAAAAAACAAACATTCTGTTGGACACGATGATGTCCCTATTAAAGTTATAAAGCATGCCAAAAAATGTCTGAGCCATATTTTAAGTCATTTAATAAATTCATCTTTTGTATCAGGAATTTTTCCAAATCAATTAAAAAAATCTAAAATAATACCAATTTATGAGAAAGACGACCTAGAAACTGTGTCAAATTACCGTCCTATTTCTCTCCTACCAGTAATATCAAAAATTTATGAAAAAATTGTTAACAGTCAGTTATTAAATTATTTAGAAGAATTTAAACTATTAAACAATACTCAGCATGGATTTAGGCCTGGAAAATCTGTAATTACAGCAGCAGTGTCATTCATAGAATCTATAATTGAATCGGTTGATAAAGGGGAGTTCATAATTGGAATTTTCATGGACCTAACTAAGGCATTTGATAGTGTCAACCACACCCAACTGATAGATAAATTACTCATTTTAGGGGTTACAAAAAATCAATAAAATGGTTTCAGTCATACCTAAATAATCGTTGTCAGTTTGTAGAAATCACACATAATCATGATAACAGAATTACGACATTTTCTTCTGAAACTGAAAGGGTTAAATGTGGGGTACCCCAGGGGTCAATCCTTGGCCCCCTGTTGTTTTTATGTTATATAAATGATGCTGGTGGTGCACTCTCATGTTTGCCTCAGAACAATCTTTGTTTTTATGCGGATGATACAAATCTCAAAGTATCGGCTGAGTCAGTGCAACAAGTTGAAATTTTGAGTTTTGTTGAATTGGCAAACATTGGAAACTTTCTAGAGCAAAACAAATTGAAGCTTAATCCCAAAAAAACTAACTTTTTAACTTTTAAAACAAATCAAAACAAAAAGTTAATTAAACCAAATATCATGTATAATGCAGAAGAAATTGAACATAAACAAAGTACACAGTTTCTAGGTCTAATTGTAGACCAAAATTTAAACTGGGATGAACATGTTGATAAACTCCTTTCAAAATTATGTTCAGGACTATATTCACTCTCTAGAATGTCTTATTTTTGTAACCATAAAACATTAAAAAACATATATTATGCTAATGTCCATTCGCATTTATCCTATGGTTTGTGCCTTTATGGTTCAACTACAATAGCAAATTTGGATAGGATACTTAAACTTCAAAAAATAGCAATAAGAATAATTTTGAAATTAGAACACAACGAAAAACAAAAAAAAAAAAAAACCAAAAACAAATTCAAAGAACTGAAAATTTTAACGGTATATGGCCAATTCATTTACGACACAATTATTCTAGCAAAAAACTCCTTGAGCACCTCTGAGACAAATTATCACCCATACAACACTCGGCATAAAAAATTCCTTATTTCTAGTAAACACAAATTAAAATTCTATGAAAAAAAACCATCCTATATAGGATTAAAATTTTTTAAGCATCTTCCTAATGAAATCAGAAATGAACAAAGCAGGAAGAATTTCATGAGAAAACTAAAACTTTATTTAGTAGAGAAAGCGTTATATCCCTGGAAGAGTATTTTTCCACCTCCCTTCTTAGCATTAGTAATTAATTCAGTTTTGATTATTTTCATTTCCTGGTTCTTGGTTTTTAATGTACATAATGATCCAAGATATGCAAATTTTTAAATTATTAATTAAGATAGATTTAAGTTTGTTGACGCCATTCAATGTACAAAACTGTACTTTATGAATAAAGCATATTTGATTTGATTTGATTTGATTTGAGTACAGTTCTGATTTATCACAACAGAGGTATGTCAATAATAATCATTAACTATAGCATTGGTGTTGCTAGTTGAAACAAATCGTATTGAAAACAATACAGTAAATTATTAGATAAGACATTATAAAAGTGTATAATCATAGCCAACTTAAAGATAATAAAAAAAAAACTCGAAAAACACTCGAAAAAGGAATGTTAAAATAACGATGTTGCTATTCTTTCTCTTTGGTTTTTGTTTTTATATTCTTTCTTAGGTTTCTCTTCATCCAAAAATTGTACAATTCACCATAGTTACTTATCGCCCAATGACAGCTTACTAAACATTACATCGTCATCTCAGTCCTCAGTGAATGAAATCAGTTCTCAGTTGCAACATAGCGCGCGCAGCGAAAGCAGACAGAGATGTGTAAAACCACGTAAAACGGAGCAGACGAATGTTAGCGCAAGCGATGACGTCACCTTTCCATTTCATTTGATAAAGAAACAAATTTTTCAAAAACAATAATGGGGTGGGGGATTTGTTATATCGAGGGAAAGACGTAGACAATTCGTTATGCAGAGGTTAAATTCGCAATGTAGAGGTTCTGACAATGATAAATTCGCTATATTGAGGTGTCTTATTTTAGCCGAAATCACGAAAAATTCGTTAAATCAAGGTCATTGTTATGGTTTGTTCGTTATGTAGAGGTAAAATATACATTGTGTCTTATGGAGAGTTCTAGGGGATTTAAAAAAATTCGTTATATCAATGAATTCGTTGTATCGAGGTTCGTTATATCAAGGTTAGACTGTACATACACTAATTGATGCTAGGTTTATGGGCAGAGTGTTTTAGCTAGATAAGTACATTTTAAATTCTGTACATCAAGAAGTTTTGAAATGTTATTTTTCTGCCTCTACTTTCATGGTTGTTTGAGGTTTTTTTCTTCCTTTCCTTCCTGATCTCACTATTTATACCAGATTCATTTTTTCAAATCCATTTTCAGTCTTTTTGTTAATTGAATAAAGCTATAATCGATTTATTCCATTCTCTAACATGAATGCAAAACCTTAGAGCACCCAGTTGATTTTGTGATTAGTTCACCAAGATAATAAATGCTACCTAAAATTAAAATTGTTACCTCTTATTGGTTCCTGAGTATTGGGTAATGTATAATTTTATCAGCTCAAGTCCTAACTCAATTGTGGTTCATGGAATGATGAATTTAATTTTAATAATTCTCGCTTGTTATAGGTCAGAATAAAAAAACACAGATGGTACAAAAAAATCTTGAAAACCAGAGATCCTTTGATAATTTCTTTGGGATGGAGAAGATTTCAGACGTTAGCGATATATTCTAAACTTGAAGATAATCTCAGGCACAGGTAAATAAATATATTTGTAGACACAAATTATGTGGTCTAATATTTATTTATTTTATTTGTTAAGTTTATTTAGACTTTTATAAGTTTATATTTAGTTGTTCTTAAAAATGACGGGTTTGTTTTTAGGAGAGCGATGTCGATGACCTTGAAATTTAACAAACGTAGGTTTACTACTACTGCTATTGGAATACTATTTATTTAGTTTGAATGGTAGTTGTATAACATCTGTTTATAACAAATTACGGAAAGTAAATAAAAGAAACGTCTTATAACACTTAAAACATATATTTACGCTTATACTGTTACTCACAAGACGGTAAATATACAAAAAAGATGGTAAGTGGTTACCAATAATATATGTTAAAAGTGTTAAATTAAATAGTGTTAAGTGTTAAGTTAAATATATGTTTTAAGTGTTATAAGACGTTTCTTTTATTTACTTTCCGTAAATTTAATAACACGTACAATGCTGATCAAGAAGTTATTTATAACAAATTGTAAAAGATGTTCACAAGGATGCATTTATGCAAAGTAATTGTTATCAAGGATAGTGAGATGAATTATCAGATTCAGTACTCCAGGTAGAATTGTACTGTCATGTTTTCTTAGGTTAGGCTTGTCTTGTCACATAGTTTGAATTTCTCGTAGTTTTCAGTAAAATTGATATGGAATAATATTTTATTATTTTAAGGATTTTACTAAATTTAATATTTTAATTGTCCTCAGAATGCTGAAATACACTCCTGAACACGTGGTTTGCATGGCTCATATGTGGGGACCGATCACCAGGCCTAACACTGGGTTTCTGGCTGTGCAAGATGTGGCCAGTAAACAGGTTAGTTACAAAAAAATCCCATGTAGATTGATTACTGGTACAAGTGGGTAGCATATTTCATCAAAAGAGTGGCTTGAATAGATAAGCAAGTTTGACAACCACCTTTGGAAAAAATGAATGTGCGTATAATTTCAATAACTCAAAAATTTAGCTGTCTATTATATAAAAAATTAATAAAATTCAATAAAAACAACAAAATAAATAAACAAAAATAATAACAATAATAAAAAATATTTTGATAATGCCTATTTTTCTTGCTGTTTTGCCTTAATGGTTCGAGTCGTTTAATTCTTCTTTCTCACCATGCCCCTATTTCAAATTGTTAGTTTTACCTAACTGTACAAAATTTTTGTTACTAATAAATACTTACCCCGCCAAAAAAACTGAATACACTTAATACAGAGGGAAACAGACAAACCCCGCCAAAAAAACTGAATACACTTAATACAGAGGGAAACAGACAAACCCCGCCAAAAAAACTGCATACACCGAACACAGAGGGAAACAGACAAACCCCGCCCAAAAAACTGAATACACCTAATACAGAGGAAAACAGACAAACCCCGCCAAAAAAACTGATTGAAAACACAACAATCAATTCCACACTGGACCTGGGCCAAACAGCCTCTCTTATTCCACTCAGTGACGATGAAGATGCTGAATCCACCGAAACAAGAGCACATCCAGGGAAATTCATTAGGAGTAAATCTGTGAACACAAACAGCGGCAGAGTATCTATGATTACAGAGGAAGACCATCGTAGCCTCGAAGGACAAAAGATTTTTGCATTTCCACCAGAAGATACCCCGCTGATAAGCACACAATTAATGACAGATGAGGATCTACAGCACACATGCCGCATCCACCTTATTGACACACAACACCCAACATCATGTGAATACAAAACACTGCCACCCGAAGCTAGACCTACTATAATCAGGAGACTACAAAATAGAAACCTATCCTTTAACAACTTTATTACAGCTCAAGACAACGAGGACAACACTCACATTGTCATATGCTCAACAGGAATAAATGGCAATTGGAAGAGGAAACTGTTCCGGTTCCTTGAATTGGCAAACGATTGTATAAAATTCCCAGTACTTTTCTCTATCAGACTCGAAGAATTCATAGAAACTGCCAGCCTCAGCAAACTACACATCAGAGAAATAATACAAATACTACTACAATATTCATGTAATGCCTACCTACATCGTTTCCGGATTTATACACAAACAAAAGACTACAAAAAAATTATTGATGATCTCATTGACCACACTACAGACAGGGTACAAAGGAAAATAGCAAAAATATTCCCAGGAAAAGAAAAAACCTCGTACTACAGTACTTGGAGAACAACTCGGGGAACGTACACAGGAATTAACACCTATCAACCTCCATGTCTACCATCCAACAGTGAGGAAAGCTTCGCTCAAGCAGCGATGCTTGAGCAAAGAGAACTTTGGAAGTCAAAGGAATCGATGTTGCTACACCACCTTAACACCATATACAAGGAGTACAATATAAGCAGCCTCCAAAAAGACGACCCTAAACTCCAAGACTTCTGCAATAGAACCAAAAACAAATACGCCATCATAAACCTGAACACTGGAAACTTCCTCACCCAACAAGAAACAACACACCCAACACCTTACCAATTCGGTTTCGATGGAGCACGTCTAGTGCAACTACTGAGGAAAGGTAATGGAAATTATGCAACTGCCCCAAACAACATAGCAATTAATCAAAACATCTTAGTATCAGACGAGACAATACTCCTAAACGAACTACATCTCTATAATAGCACAAAACACATTGACATTAAAAACTCATACAACACTAAACTGAACTTAGTCCAAGGTGTGCCAGGATGTGGGAAAACAACTTTCCTACTCAACAACTATGCTACAGGGGACCTCATCCTGTTTCCTACAAGAGATGCGGCAATGGACTTCCGACAGAGATACAAAACCAACCACCCAGACCATAGCCAGGCAAAATGCAATGACACCTTCCGAACCGTGCATTCATTCATAATAAACTCCACCCAACATCTTAAGAGAGGAAACACCTATAACAGGCTCTTCATCGACGAAGCCCTAATGATGCATGCCGGAGAAATACTCTTTGCAGCCATTTTATCAACTGCTAAAGAAGTATTGCTTATTGGCGACATTAACCAAATACCATATATAAACAGAGCAGAGAACCTAGAAGTTAAATACCACAACATTACAGAAATAGCCACAACAACAAAAATACTAAACACCACATACAGATGCACAAAGAGCACCACAGCCATCCTCTCAAAATTCTACAGCCAAGGAATGCAAACCACCAACCAGACGGAGAAAGAACTGGCGACACAGCAGTATCAGGGACTAGAAAGCCTGAACCTCACTCTCAACAAAAATAAATACAAATGCTTGGTCTTCAAACAAGCTGAGAAAAGAGAACTAAACAAGCTAGGTTTCAACGCATCTACGATACATGAATTTCAAGGACGGCAAGCAGAAAACATAGCTGTCATACGAACATCTGCTAAAAGAGAAGAAATTTATGAATCGCAGCACCACTGCATCGTTGCTATCTCAAGGCACACACACTCATTCCTTTACATAACACCCAGCAGTAATGATAAACTAGGCCGTTGGATACAACAAGCAAACTTGCTTAGCTCCCAGGAACTTTCCAAATACCACATCAACATTGAGAAAATCGCAGAACCACCCCTCCCAAAGTATAAAAACACACTACAAACTAACAAAAACCAAAGTTGCACACAAGAACCCCTAAACACTCCCACCTCCCAACATCATTTTTTAGAAGAACACCCTCATCCCAGAGAAAAGCACAAAAACCAGCTCAAAGATGTAACACATCCCCTCCGACACTCCGTACAGTAAAATTCCAAACACCTAATAGCCAACAAGGACTTAAAATTCTACACCAAAACATAAATTGGTTATCTAAAAAAACTGATAGACTAGCACACTTCCTCCAAGATGAAGACCCGGACCTGATCATAATAACAGAGCACGGCGTAGCACAACAAAACTTGCAAAACACGTGGGTAGAAAATTACTCACTTATTGGAGGCTTCTCAAGGAAATCCCATGTCAAAGGAGGAGTGGTCGCTTATGTAAGAAGTGGCTGGGAAAAGCATGTATCACTCATATGCACAAGTAGCGAGGAAACAGAACTAATTTGCGAAACTGTGCTCTTTGAACTGAAGCTAAACAGGAATCCACTGCTGGTCCTCGGAGTATACAGGCCACCAAGTGCAAACCTAGACCAAGCCATCGATATACTCTCTGAACTATATAGTGGTTTAAATTACCTTGTTACTGTCAAAACGATCCTTTGTAGTTAGTAGACTACAGCTGTTTCATGCTACGAATGGAGCACATCATCAGGTCAGAAGAATGTCAAGTAGTCATCATATTCCTCGCAGTGGAGTTCGTCAAAAGTTTAATAATAAATAGAGAACAAAACACATAACACACGGAAACACGAAACATTTAATATTGGTCGACCAGACGACGGTAACAACACACGTGATACGGCGCCGGTAGAGGGTGAGTCGCGACTGTCACGTGCCGTCGGCGTTGACCCCTACTCCTACTCCACTGTTATCCTTATCTCGTTCCTTTGTTTTCTGTTTATTGTGTATATGAATAGCGGTATTGTAGATGATGTTTGATTCGAATGATAATTGTTCATTTAATATATTCTCTGAACAACTGGAAACAGTGCTCACTACGGATAAGCAAATATTAATAATGGGAGACATCAATGTAAACAACCTAGTTGATGACAATGAAAACGAAAAAATTGAAGAACTCCTAACCTCCTTCAATATCTCAAGACTGAGGCTACCTCCCACTCGAATTACAAGTGACTCAGAAACATCAATAGACTGGATATGCTCAAACATTGATAATCAACAAATAGAAACCTCAGTTATAACATCAGGACTATCTGACCATACCGCACAAATCGCAAAAATCATCACTAGAAAACCGATCATCAACAACATCAAAGAAAATAAACGAATCTTCAACAGAACAACAATAGATAACTTTAAGACACAGCTACAAGAACAAGACTGGGAAACTATAATACAAACTCATGACGTAGATGAAGCCTACAACAATTTCAGCAACATCATCCAGACAACACTAAACCACGCCTACCCTCTTAAAACGTCAAGAGTTAAACAACATAAAAGGAGACAGTGTTGGAATCAAGAATCGGCTAGACTTAAAAATGAATATATAAAGGCCTTAGAAAAGGAGCAAACAACCGGACTTATGGAAGACAAAGCCAGAACAACTATTAAAAAAAGGGAGTACGACCAGCATTTGAAAATGCTTCGGAAAGAAAACAACACAGCTCACATAAACCAGGCTGAAAACAAGTCCAAAGCACTGTGGCAAACAATAAACCGAGAAAGGGAAGCGAGATCAAATACTGAAAACCAAATCCATCTTCAAGTCAACAATAAAACAATAGACGACCCAATAGAAGTTTCAAACTGTTTTAATGATTTTTTCTCATCAATAGCCGACCGAACACTCCAAAATAACAATAACTCTAGAACCAATGCCTTAACAGACCACTTACCAGCAACACATCACACACTCCAGTTCAGACGGGTCACACAAGAAGAAGTGCAAAAGGCCATTCAATCTCTAAAGATGAAAAATTCATCCGGAACTGATGAGGTATCAGCTAAACTTCTAAAAAACTGTAAAAATGAAATAGTAATACCCCTGACAGACCTCATAAATAAATCACTCTCACAAGGAAAATTCCCAGATAAATTAAAAATAGCTAAAGTCTACCCAAAATACAAAAATGGACCAACGATAGAAAGAAACAGCTACAGGCCAATCTCCCTAATATCAACATTTTCAAAAATAATCGAAAAGATAGTACTAGCCCAACTCCTACACCATCTTCAAGAACACAACCTTCTCAATAGTCAACAGCATGGATTTATCAAAGGCAGATCGACAGCCACAGCCTTAATACAACTGACGGAGCACATACTAGACCAACTAGAAGAAGGCAGCACTTCAACAAGCCTCTTCCTAGATTTTAGTAAAGCTTTCGACTGCCTAAACCACGAACTTCTTCTACTCAAGCTGGAAACACTAGGCGTGAGAGGAAGAGCAGCAGAATGGTTTAAAAGCTACATTAGTAACCGGAAACAGCTTGTGGAAATAGCCTACATAAAGAACAACACTAAGTATAAGGCCCAATCCAAAGCTGTAGACGTGCAAAGAGGAGTACCCCAAGGATCAGTACTTGGCCCAGTCCTTTTCCTCCTTCTCACGAATGACCTACCTAGTTGGATTGGGGAAGATGGACACACCACCATGTACGCAGATGACACGGTTCTCACATTTGCGGACAAAACAATGGAAAATCTGGAAGAGAAAACCAACACACAACTCCAGAGAACAAAGCAATACTGTACCTCCAACGACCTAGTTCTAAACGAAAGCAAAACCGTTCAAATGACTTTCACCACCAAACGCAACAACACAGACATTACAATACCGGGACTACAAACACAAAACACCACAAAATACCTAGGCATCATAATTGACTCCAAGCTATCATGGAAACCCCACATAGACCAGCTCTGCAAAAAGCTAAGTTCAAGTCTCTACGTTATACGTAGGATCAAGCAAGCTTGCAGCCCAGAAGTAGCCAAAGTTGCATATTTTGCTCTATTCGAGTCCCACCTCAGATATGGCATTGCGACTTGGGGTGGAACATCAAAAGGCAACCTGGAAAGAGTACTCCTAAAGCAAAAAAGAGCAATTAGATGCCTTGCCGACCTGAACTACAGAGACAGTTGCCGAGAAGCCTTCAAGAACCTTAAAATTCTCACATCAATTTCACTCTACATAAGAGAAGTCATTATCCACACCACTAAAACAGCCCAGCCAAGACACAGAGACATACACCAGCACAACACACGACATGCCGCCAATTTTTCCCTCCCACAACACCATCTGAGTCTGTACGAGAAGAAACCATCCTACAAAGGTGCTCTGTACTTTAACAACCTACCAGAGCACCTCAAGAGAGAACAACCCAATCTGCTCAAGAAGCACCTGACAACATGGCTTATGGACCGGCCGTTCTACTCTGAGGATGAATTCTTAAACAATAAGCTACCATGAAAAAAAGAAGAAAAAAATTATAATTGTAATTGCAAATTACTGTAATAGTTTACGTACATACTGTACATTTTATGTACCTGACGCATGAATGTTCTCTAGGAATATTTCAATAAAGATTTTGTCTATTGTCTATTGTCTAATATGTCTTTCTAGCGACGCTTTGACAACAAATTTGTTAACCTTCATAACCTTACATAAAATAAAGTTATTTATCATGCAATCTGTTTCTCCAGGCAGGTTTCCGCATAGTTGCCACTGGGTCTGTGGTAGATTGTAACAAGTCTACCGATGTTACAAAGAAACTGAAGTTAACAGGAGTTCCGTTGAAGATTTATAAGAAAACTGCCTTCATCAAGGGAATGTTCAATTCTGCGTTGGAAGTCGCCAAGTTTGAAGGAGCTCGAATAAAAACGGTTTCAGGCATCAGAGGAATCATAAAAAAAGCTGTCAACAAACCCGAGGGAGCTTTTCGAGCTACTTTTGAGGACAAAATTCAACTTAGTGGTTAGTAGAAGATTGTAATATACAATTGTCAAATTTAGTAAAACCTGATCCAGCATCAGATTGAGAATGTTTTACACTGAATAAGTCTTTGAGGCATGCTTTGCAGAGTTTGCAAGTCATTGGCTGAGGTCATGGGTACATAGCACTTAGCTTAGCAGTAATTTTTTCCCTTTTCCCATACTTTTTTTTATCTAGCTTCTACTCATCAATGCTATGGTACGGTGCTGCTTTGTCATGGAACTGTATCAAAATATTTTACAAAACCACTTAGGTAAAATTGCTATTATTATTGTTTTTCTCAATACCGAAATTACAATAGGACATGAAAAAGTGATCTGTAACCTATCAATAGCCCGTGTACCCTCTATTAGTGATATTTATGCTATTCTTGCATTACCACTTTTTAGGGTGATCAGTTTGAACTTCCTTTTCAATTATTTTTGAAAATAATCATAAACAAGTAAAATTATTTGACAGACATAGTGTTTTGCCGAACATGGTACCAAGTGGACATCCCGAAGTTGTACAACCCTGTGACATCGTTGCTGTTACCTCCGGATCAGAAGAATCTGTGGCGAGGGATGAAGACTGTTGGTCAGCTCAAGAGGGAACGAGGACTGCGAAGCGAGCCTCAGAACGACAGCTTGTACACGGTGAGTATTGCAGACTATACTAACTTATTCTTACTCCCATGCCCATGTGATACCACCAAGATAATACTTGGCCTTACAAACCATATGCTAAAGCAGTTTATACGCATTAAATGTTTGATAGATTTATATAGACTCCAGCCTATCCCTAGGACGTATGAAAGTATGATTTGAAACAATATTTTACTTCAGGCCTGAATTTTGAACTCTTTTCCATTCAGGTAAAATCAAAAAAATCTAGGCCCTTATGCTCTATGATGTTACATCCTCAGTTTGAGGTTAGGAGTATTTCTGGAGCGTGCACAATTTCCTTGTTACTTAAACATTGCTGTCTTTCACAGCCTGTTGAGAGAGAACCGGTTGCCTTCAAACCACTGGTGATACCTAAGAAACTCCAGAGGGCTCTCCCTTACAAGGACAAGCCCAAGGTTTTGGCCCCTGTGAAGACCAAAGAGAAGGTGGCTGTGATCAGAGATGTGCAGGAGGCCAAGGTAAATATCTTGTTTATTCATGTAGTTTTTACAAAGTACTAGAGTATGGTAGAAGTTATGGAATAATAATTATTTTGCTGTAAAAGAAAACCAACTAACTTAAATAAATAAGTTGTCTCCATTATCTGCCATTTTGTCTCATCCCTGTGACAATTGAGTAATCCTGTGCTATTCCATATATTACAACTGTACAATAAAGCAATTACATTGAGCCAACACCGTTTGTCGCTCCTGTCCTTACTTGGAAAATATGGGCTTCGCTTTCTGAACCTTAACCTTTGACTATGGATAAAGCTAACCTTTCTATTCCCATGTTAAATTTGTTATCAATTACTGACAATGTAAATGTTAGTTCTGTTGAGTACACCTACTTTTTAACTACCCCGAACCGAAGACATATTATTGTAAACTCTAGAATTTTTAAATAACATCAACATTTTTTATCATGTTTACTCACAGTAATAAAAACTAAGGGTGAAAATAGAACTTAAGACTTAAGTACACCCTATGAGTTTTACTCAACTGTGTACTTTTTAATAAGAAAATGGCCACAGCTGGTGTATTTTGATGGGATGTCTACTTTTTTACTTTAGTATCCAAAAGTCAACACCTCAACTTGACTGTACCATCTTATTGTTTTCGTGCGCTGCATGACAAATTGTTTATCTAGCCCTCATATGTGCAATGTGCATACCACGTAGTCAAAGTGCAAAAGTAGATCTGTGGATTAGGATCCCAGACCATTTACCCTAGCATCAACACAAAGCTCCACTGATTTCCCTTGCTTCGTTTGCTCTAAACCTGGACACAAAGTATATTCCTGTACTTTATTCAAAGAAAAATCTCCTCAAGAACGGCATGAACTAATCAAATCCAAGCAACGTTGTTTCTCTTGTCTTGGAAATCACAAAGTCAGTATCTGCAAATCGAAAAACTCTTGTTTTAAATGTCATAAAAATCACCACACCCTGTTACATTTAGAACCATCGAAAAACCTCACATCAAGAAACTCAGTATCAAACCCTTCTCTCACCTCCATGTTAACTGTCTGTGATTATGAACATCATTCCTCCTTTCCACGGTTTATCAAACAAGAAGAAACTTCCTCATTTTCTAAACAAACTGAAGACAACATTTTGAGAAAAAGACATTTTGTGAAGACTTATTCTAGACAACATTCTAGTATACACCACGATAAGCTACCATTCAAGCGTTGTCACCCTCCTCCTGAAGACTATTACACCACTAAAACAAGATTTTTCCCACTAGAAAAGAAATTCAAACCTCGACTGTCTTATAAAGAAGCAATCCAGAACTCTCAATTTCTAGCTCCTCTCTCAGCAGATCCATCAGACCTATCTTCACCAACACCTGAACACTTTCTGCATAGTACACCTCATGCGATAAAAGTCAAAAGATGGCATCGATGGAGACTACCTTCATACTTTGAAAGAACGCAACAAGTGGAACAAGCAAACACCAAACTTGAAAGTTGGTGATCTCGTTGTGATTCAAGACATCCTTACACCTCCGATGTGTTGGCCACTGGCTAGAATTGTTGAAACTCACCCTGGTTCAGATGACATTACAAGAGTTGTCACAGTGCGTACGAAGAGTGGCCTTCTCACAAGACCGGCAATCAAGGTTTCCCCACTGCCTGTACTTGAAGACTAAATTTTATTACAGTTCCGCCCCTTTTGTTGCTTTAACTTTCTCTGTTTTAATTAGGCCTACTGTTTCTGTACTCACTTGTTAAATTAATTCATTGAACCTGCGGTTCAAGGGGCCCGGCATGTTTAGTATTCTATGGTTTATTTTATTTCAGTCTGGCTTCAACACATGTTTTGGGGGTTTTCAATTTTACTACATGTGATTATTGTTTTGATAATATCAATGTTGTTAGAAATGGTCAAGAAATACATCACAGTTTTTTCCTAATTCATTTTGCATTTATTTGTTGGCGATTTTCTCTATAGATTATGTAATTGTATTTTAAAGTTATATAAAGGACTTTCTCATTCTTCGACAATATTAACCTCAAGACTAAATTCAAGATTGGTAAGATATAATTACTTATTCATGGTAATCTCTATTCAGTTCCATTACATCAAGCCTAAAATTATATTTTACAGTGCCAGGAACAATGTTTTACTGTATGGGGTTTTTTTTTGTGATGTTGGCTTCAAAGCAGGAAAATAAATGTTTCAATGGATAATATTCTTTAGGCCCTAAGCCTTGACTAAGTTGGATAAAAGAGAGACATTTACTAATTTAAAAACATTTACACCATTCTTTTTTTAGGTTGCATCAATGATGAAAAGACTGAAGACAATATACAACCAAAAACAAGAAGATGAAAGAAAAGCTAAAGTAAAACGGCTGAGAGAATTGAAGAAGAAAATCGAAGCAGAAGAAACTAGAAAGCTACAGAAGCAGAGGACAATGAAAAAAGAAGTGTTCAGGACCTTAAGTAAAGCAGACGCTAAAAAAACTAAATTCTGAATGTAGCTTTTGTGAGTTCCTCTTTTCACACTCAAGGTGTAAGATAAGCACATATTTTTATCGTCTTGAGGTATTTAATTTTATAATTTGTTGACAGATCAGAACAACCACTTAAGTGCCAACAAAATTAGAAAAGTGAACATTAATAATACCGTTAGAAAGTGTTATGTTAATGAATGATGTATCATAAGACACAAGGACCTAGGTTTTAATTTATAATGATTTCCGTTTTGTTAGCAGACTTACTTGAGGGAAAAACATCAAATACCAAAAATTAACGCAAATAGGTACACCAAAATACACGAGAATACAACATAAGCAGAGACACAGAATTTATTGCACTGTATGAGGGGGCAGACTCAGGTTCCCGGCCGTCAACTGAAGCTTATTGCGCATTTTGTTTGTATCAGTTTGTTTTGTACTCTTTCCTACTCAGATAAGCCTGATCCCAACTTAACCCCTTATAAATATTAAATCTGAAGGGAAGATATTAAAATTGCTTGTATTTTAAAATTTTTGCTTCATACAATTCAGCTTCAGTAATATTGAACCACATCATTTAACTATATTTATTGTACCTACTAATTATTTTGAAAGACAATAGACCACAAGATTTGTCATACCTTGTACAAAGGCCAAAAAATACAACTGTTGTTTTTTATCATTGAAGTTACACGTGAAAGTGACTGTTATTTTTTTATAAATGGTTGAAACTGTTTTGTAAATACAATATTTTAAAAGTAACCAGTTTTTTACATGTTAATTCCTGACCCAGTGTAATCTGTAAGAATATTTACAGATTTTTTTAATTTGCCAGGGCACCATTTGCAAAGATGAAGTCTTTCACACTAGCCAGGAAGGGTTTTATGTGCCACCAATTTTTGTACCGACCACTTAAAAAGTATGTGCCCAGTGGTAACTATTTCTTGTTGTTGAGCATGTCACATTTCCATGAGGTAGGCGTCTTTAACAATGTCGATCAGTCTTGCTTTTTTCCTGAGGATGAACAAATAAGGCGATCTTTTCCAACAAACCTTTCACTCTGAAGGGGGTGCTGGTGGAACCCACTGGAAGTGAGACAACGACTTGTGTAATCAGCTGATTTCCTGTAATTATGTGTTCGTAAAACTTCGTTAAAAACGTGACTTTTTCAAGGAATAGGGTCTGCTAGCAGCATTCTTAATATAAATACTGTATCAGGTACAATTAGGCAAATATTGCATACTTTTTTGGACAACTGAATAATATATTGAAACAGTTAATTTACGGTTAGATTTCATCATTGAATATATGGTCCACAACGAGTTGGGTGTAAAAGTGGACAAGAGGTTTTCAAAATAAACCAAAAGCACATTTTCATTTATAAATTTAAATTTGACCTTATTTTGTTTCGTCCATTTAATAAATTGCTGGTATGTTATTTCATACCTTTGTTTCGATTATGGTGGCAAAAGATTAGCACAAACAGTTTGTGCTCTCATTTCCATCCCGTCAACCTCACTTTCACGATCAGACATTTTTAAATCTGTGTAATCTACCTTCCTTAAACTTCCACTAACTTAGGTTAAGAATACGAGAGTATCAACAGGAACAAGTCGGATCAACGATTAAATTGGTCAACTGATCAGCTGATAGTTGACGTTCAAAACAGTACCATTTTACTTTTTTCCTCTCAATCCTTGAACCTAATTAGTCTGTTACCCATGTTGTTATGAGAAAAGATATGCTGTTATGAAAGTAAACAGCTGTTAAGTGATACTTTTCAATTCTAAGAACTGAACTGAAAAGACTACTTAAAAAAAAAACGGTCGTAGTTAATACAAGGCGAGTGCCTTAAAAACTTCTATGAGTGACGTTAACACTATTTACACAAGTTGAGTACACTACTTTACCTACGACAGTGTTTTAATTGATAAAAACCACTACTCATAACTTCTAAGAGTGGTTGTGTTTATGTTTGTAACCTCTCATTGCCACTGACAGTGATGCGACGAAACATCGTACCAAACACTAATTGCACCACTCAACAATTAAATTGGCCTGAACGGCTGATTAGTTGAAGTTCGAATAGTTACAATTATATTTCTTCTCTCTCAATCCTATACCTGATTCAAGTATGAGTCTATGGTGTTATGAAAGTAAACAATGCTGTTATGAGACACTTCAATTCTAAGAACTGTACTGAAACGGCTACTTTAAAAAACGGTCGTAGGTAAAGATATTTAGACAATGCAAAAGGAGTATTAGCATTGTTTAGATAAAATATAGAAAAGTGGTCATACATTACAAAAAAAATACATTATTTATCTGTTGTTATTTATCCAATCTTAACAAATAAGGTTTCATAGAAAACTACATAAAATTTACAAACTTTTGTCTTTTGCAACTTTTGTGTCATGTTAAAGGTTTTAGTGAAATTTGGCATCAAATACTTTAAATAGTCGCCATTTTAAAATGGTTTACGATTTTTTCGTGTAGTTTTAAACAAAAATAGGTACTAATAATGTTACATAACAATTTTGCAAAATATCTACGCTGTATCTCAAGCCCTTTAGGTGTTATTAAATCGCTTGTAAAAACATTAATACTGACTGTCGGAAAACAAGGCACCACAGACCCATGTTCCTATGGTGAAATGTGTTTGTATTGGCCTAAGTAATAACGACTATGGGAAACCCGTCTAAATCGAAAGTTACTCTTGAGGTGTAAATTCATCTAACTACGATGGATAGAGTGAAGTTATTAAAATCTTAGTTAAATGAAGGGAGGATAAGCACAATAATGAGTATGGCGATTGTGCACCTTAAAAAACATGATTGATGATTTAGTTCCTGTCATTTATCGGCTTTTGTTTAAGTTGTCCTAAACATTTTTTGAGGGGTCTTATAATTCTATAATTGTTCATGTTAAAGCCACTTTCACTGTATGGGAAAAGGAGTTCATATAATTGGTCTGTCATCTTACGGAAAGAGTCTATATTACTAATAACTGATGGTTACATCAACTTTAGGAAAATCTTTCAGGCCGTATTTGGATTGCTAAGTGAATCGCCATCTTTGGTCATAAAAATACAGAATTTCATCACCATATTAAAATGTTTTTTTTTTAGCGAATTTCCCTATAGGGAAGTAGCTATTACCGTAGGTGGCACGGTAAGACCTAGACCCGGGACCGATTTACTTTTTCATTTTGATGTCCCCAGAGGCCAAAAACACTATTCGTTCAAATTTTTATATATGTATATATATATATATATAGACTTATATATATATATATATATATATATATACGTCCGTGAACGCGATAACTTGAGTAATTTTTGTCCGATTTTGATGAAATTTGGTTTAAAGGTGTAAAGCGGGATAAACTTGAATGAGTTCGCAAACCAGCACGATCGGACCATGGGAACGGGGCTTTACGGGGGGTTTTATGGGGTAAAAATTGGTTTTTCTCACTTTTGACCCTCAAAACACAAAATTTCCCAATTTCTCTTTAGACCTTTTTAAAGAGCTTAAAAAAACAAATAATTTAGTATATAAAAGTATTTTTGTTCGATTATTAGTAACGGAGAAAATTAAAAAAATTGTAAATTTAAAATTCCCATGTTATTCTTATGGAGAATATTGTCAAATGTTGTAGTTTGCTTGTTTATGAATATATTTTGATCAAACTTGGCAAATTTATTTATTTTGTACTAAGCTATCAATATTTTACTCAAAAACACACTTTATTAGTTTCCTTGTAGCAGCAAACCTAGGTACTCGTTAAACCTAATGTTATTAAAATATATTTAACTGAAAATCAATTCAGACAAATGGAAATTCGCTTAGTCGGCAGGTTTGCTGCGGCGGGGGTATTTTTTTTTTGTATTTGATAAAAATATCTAACTACATTCATAACCTAGTCCGGCTTTGTTGGCAACAAATCATGCAAACGAGATGAAATGTTATGGCACTGTTGTATTTCCGCATGTTTGTATGTAGAGAGGCTTAGATGCATTGTTCGCCCTAGCAACATAGTACATGTAGTATATGTACATCAAAATAAAAACCCTGTACACATTATTTTAATACAGTAGAGTCCCGCAAACTCGGCGTAATGTGGACTGGAAGGGCGCCGAGTTTGTGAAATGCCGGGTTATCAGGAACTAGGGTTAAGAATAAGCTTTTTAATCGCCTTTTTTATTCATATTTATTTTACAAGTCAGTAACAAGTCATCAGATGTAGTACAACAAATCCTTGGTACGAGTTGTGAATGATTTGACTTGAGCTGGCTTGAGTCCATGTTTAACTGGGACTAAAAAAATCACTAATTTTCTGAGCCAGGTGATGGCCGAGTTATCCAGACTGCCGGGTTATCGAGTGCCGAGTTTGCGGGACTCTACTGTACTTGATTTGACATTAATTCACCGACTTCACTAAACCCATATAGATAGTGTGAACTTTTGGAAACAATATGATTTGGACAGATCCTTCTTGAAAATTATTATTCATGAAACATTAAGAGGTTCATTGACCATAATGAGAAATCATCTATATGGCAAACATCAAAATTAATCAGTATTATAGCTGTATAATCCTTTGATATTTTATGTGTACTATTTTTCTGTGTCATTGGCAACCTTATTTTTTAAGGCAGAGGTATTTATTTTTATAAATAAATTCTTTTCTCTCATACTCCCATGGTTAGTCTATTCCAAAACTTGGAACACAGCTCACATCTTCAATGTACTAATTTACAATGTTGAAAGTAGACCAAAAAAGGCAAGTACCTACCAACCCCACAATAAATATAATCTAACGCGATAAGGAATAGTTATATGTTCCTTTGACATTGATAAATCCAACTTATTTAATAATATAACATTGTCTAAGTGCATTAAATTCATGATTTTGATCAAACTATAGAAGACTTGCCATGCAGTGGAGAATAAATTTGAAAAATTAAAAATAACAAGTCAAGATTCATCATTATGAGACAAAATTATATTAAACAGAGGTTTGTTACCATAGATACAAGACTTCCTTCCTTAAATTTTCTATGAAAGCGAAGAATTTTTATTTAGCTTGAACAAAACTAAATTGCACTGTGAAAATGAGCTTGATCCATCGAGTGTTTTACACTGTGACTGTGGCAGCTGTGGTTCTCAAGACTGCTCACTCTATAAAAAATGTCTACGAGTACCAAAAGGAGGAGGCCTTGTACAAAAGAATAAACAGGATACCCGAAAAACCCAAGAATGCTAAAAAACCCCCTACTGATCCTGCTCGTTAAAATTGGGGCAAGATGTTCAAATTCCTGTTGAAATGGAATTTAAGAGTGGAACCAGTTTTTTTTTTTCAATGCAAGCAAAATTTATGTAGTTTGCCACTAATTTCCAGACTGATGATTTGGCTTGCGGAACTGGATGAATGAATACATTTTACAAATTTGACTTCAAGTGGCCATTTCAAGAGTTGTTTTGTGAATTCGCAACTTGATTGTTTGGCAGATCCTGCTAGAAATCTTCAGCAATGCTGGAATCTGAGGAGAATCTTTTCCCAAGAAGTTCATCATTCGATTGAGGTTTTCTTTCATCAGTTTCCTAGGAAGATTCACAAGTGTTCTTTCGTATCATGGAGGAAACAGCCTGATTCGATCACAGAAGATTTCCCCAGAACACTATGTTGATATTCTTCATCGACTCCTAAGGCCAACTGTAAAGTATTTTTTCATGATAGAGTAAACATCCAGGATTCAATCAGAGGAATGTGCCACAACCTCTAATCACATTATCTTAACATCCTGGATTCCATACTAAGAAATCAATGTGGAAAAGCTACGCAGAAGAAGATGAAGTCGGAGGTCTACGAACTTCTCAAGTAAGTTCTCAGAAGAGGAGTCACAAGGCAAGATGCAATCCACATTGATTTCTTGGTATGGAATCCAGGATGTTAAGATAATGTGATTAGAGGTTGTGGCACATTCCTCTGATTGAATCCTGGATGTTTACTCTATCATGGAAAAATACTTTACAGTTGGCCTTAGGAGTCGATGAAGAATATCAACATAGTGTTCTGGGGAAATCTTCTGTGATCGAATCAGGCTGTTTCCTCCATGATACGAAAGAACACTTGTGAATCTTCCTAGGAAACTGATGAAAGAAAACCTCAATCGAATGATGAACTTCTTGGGAAAAGATTCTCCTCAGATTCCAGCATTGCTGAAGATTTCTAGCAGGATCTGCCAAACAATCAAGTTGCGAATTCACAAAACAACTCATGAAATGGCCACTTGAAGTCAAATTTGTAAAATGTATTCATTCATCCAGTACCGCAAGCCAAATCATCAGTCTGGAAATTATTGGCAAACTACTTATGTTAAATTCCTCAATTTTTTGTTTCATTAAATTAATTGCATTTTTTTAAAAAGGTCTCGTTTCTGTGAATTCATCTAACAAATCCTTTTTATGCATGAAGAAAACACAATGGTGTTCTACAGTGACAAACTTTTAATAGTATTGAAACTTTTATAGATGTAACTTATCAAATAACTGTATCACAAATACTAAGGATAGAGTTAACTCCAATCGTAGAATTTGACTAAATTTGAAAACACATATTTTAATATTTGTAGAAAAACAATGATATTGTGATCTTCAATACTGTACCATATAATCTGTGCCCGTTCTACGTACGGGGATCTTAGTAAGTTGAAACCTTCTTATATTCAGAACAGGAGTTGTTTGTGTATTTTATGTGCATTTTCCTTTCCAGATATGCTGGCAAAACTAACTATTTTGTCAGTCATATAAAAAAACAAATAACTTTAGATTAACTGAATACCGTGTTGTTGGGAGCCTTTCCAACAACCAAACCTTTGAAACAGCTGACATTCAGGTCAACAACCTGGCCAGTTTGACTGGTCAACTAAACTGTTACTATCCTGACTAGTGAACAAACAGAGTTAATTGTCGGTTGAGAGATAACCAAAAAAACTAGTGGCTACTTGTGTAGTCAATTCTTATTGATACTGTAGCATTAAGTGAAGGTTAAAATAACAACCCATGTATATATCATTATTAGTTTATTTACAAATAATATATTTACACTCATGTTTGTATCAATCAATTCCAACACAATTTATCACATTTTCTAACGATTAACTGTAAGCATTAAGTACATGTATTATCACGAACTGTGCTACTAACATAAACTTAATCTGACACTGGTGCTATGCAATTCTGCGTCCACAAGTACACAAAAGTTTTTGTGTATCGGTGAATTGATAAGAACACCTACAGGTAGACATTAAACATAGAGGTTCCAAACGTTTAGTGAACATAATAAACGGGTTTCCTACACTGACGGATAGAGAAAATAATAATGTTCGCTTCCGATCCAAGACTTTAGGAACTATACAACTTTTACTATGGTAATATCACAATCACAACAACACCTGCGTTGATTCATTACGAAATAAGGCTTGTTATTTTTTGAAAAATTTATTACAATTCGCATACAACTATTTCAGTCTCATTCTTTGACTTAGTTGGAAAAAACATTTAGTGAGAAAGGGAAAGAAAAGGTCTGCGCTGTTTTAAAACTAAAATAGAAGAATCACAAAATGAGATTGAACTTTTTTTAATTCACTAAAACAAATTTAACAGTAAATGAAAAAAATTGGTTTTATGAAAAAAATTGGTTTTATGAACAAAAAAGAAATTAGAAAAACAAAATACTCATTGCTACCCGAAGAATTAATTCAAACTAATTGAAAAGGTTGCACAAGAGCTGACAAATAAAAATAAGTAGTGGAATTTTCAAAGAAATATTAAGTAGACACTTCTATTCACTTAGATGACCTATTTTATTCTTAGCACTGAATAGTAAAAACAGCCCTTGCTTTAAGGTCCCAGCTTAAAGGTTATTAAAATTAAATGAGATGGTAAAATAATACTGTAATTTTTTTCAAAGATTTTAAGAGTCATAAATTTCAAGTTAATGAAAGGCAGAAGCCTCATTTCTGTAAGATGGTATAATAAATTGTTTATTATGGCAGTGGTGTTAAGTTTTAGCTTTGACTATTAATACAGCAATCTGTATCCAATAGTCAATGGTTTTAGTCACAGAATCGTCAGTATAACTTCAGCGGATCATAAATCACATAATAGCAAAGACTGGAGCAAAGATCTGTAGCATAAAAAAAAGTAATCGGTGAAACTCTGCCGATAAGGTTTCAGTCATAAGCTATGACCATTAATTTAATCTGCTGTTATAAATTGTTATCCTACCATGAAACATTAAATTTGATTTATACTGTACCTGATAGGAAAATGAAAACCAACTCTTTCAATATACGTTAGTTTACAGTAATTAAATAAAGACAACATTTCATTAACATTGCTAGAATTCCTCTTATTTATTTCTGATAAACAAAGGTTGAAATGTTTGGATAGTTATTTACTTTTTTCCAAAGTAATAGTGACACAACAACCTATTCAATATTGGTTCAACACATAATACAGACGGAAAATTCTAAACACATAAAAAACATAAATGGAAAATTCTAAACAATTAACTACTTTTTGAATGGTACATCAAACACAAACAACATGGAAAAGCTTCCTACAAAAAACAAATTAGTTTTCTTACTAAAGTTGTAACCGAAATACAATTTGACTCGTATACAATCTACTCTCTAATGAATCTGTAACTATTACTCAACTTCTAACCTACTTGAGCGATCTTAAAATTACTTCATGAAAAATTTGCATGTAGGAAGAAAACAGATTATATAGTGTTTAGTGTTAAAGATCAACACTCATTTGTTTTAAGCTTTTTACCATGCATACTTACTAACAGTTCTTAATAAAAATGTGATTTGTACATTATTAAAAATCTTTCCTGTCAAACGGGTTTTGTTTGTAAGGTAGACAATAAATTGTAAGTGACGCTTAAACTTTGAACGTTTGAAAATTTAAAAAAAGAAACACCAGATCATTTGGTATGTAACACTTGCTTCTATGTTAATTTAGCAATGTAAAAAAAAATAAAACAAACAAAAGTTGAGCTAACTTACTATGAGAGAACATAAATCATGTTTAAATTGTGAAACTATGAACTGTCTGACAATAAAATTTAAATATAAGTAAATGTTAATTAATCAGCAATAATCATAATCAAAACCCCCAATAGACTTATTAAATCTATTAACATTTATGCAAACATTATTTACCTTTTGAATGAACATCAGGAAATGTTCAAATTTGAAAAAAAACTAAAGCTACAACTTTATTACTAACAGTGATTATTGATTTGTATTCTGTATCACAACAGTTGCTATATTGTTATTATCTGGTTATATGAGAGCAAAAAATGCTTTGTCAACATTTTATTTTGTGCAAAAATGTCCGGTTTGAAAAGTATAAAATGGTATGATCAATCCTTAAGGGTAAAAGGATAGAATTTGATCAAATTGTTTGAAAAGAAGATAAATTTACAGTCACAAACACTAAAAACTAAAAGAACTCACAAAGCTGACAAGAAATCAAAGTTTCTTTAAAATGTTTATAAGGAAACAGACTGGGTGGGCAAGTCTTGTTTGTTTGCCAAGAGAGGGGATTGCGAGCCAGATCCGGGCTCGGAACTTGGAAAATTCTCCGTATCCCTCTCCAACAAAGCCTCACAGACAGCTTCTTTGCCTGAATCATCACAGCCTTCAATCTGTCTGTCTTCGCAATCTTTTCGGAAATCCACGCGAATCTGAACTGGATTTTGCGAATCGCTTTGTTCACTTGCAGGTTTCATTTGATCATAGCTGTTCTGGACTAAGTCGATAACTATCGGGTCACTCATGTCTTTTTCTCTGCTGTCAATCTGAATATTGAGCGATGTGTCATTGTTTCTATCGTCAATCTGTTTATCGTCCAAAGCTGCTAAGTCGGTGCCACTGGATTTCTGACCAAATTTGATAACTATTTCTGCTTTCTTGATCTGCAACTTCAACACAGGAGATTCGTTCATTCCGTTGGCTGTGTCGTTGTTTTTGACAGCCAATAGCTTTTCGTTTCTCCTGGCGACTTCTCCAACTTCTGAAGGAACGATTGCTCCGTAATTATCGTCGCGGTTGTTCGCTATAACCTCGTTACTTTTTCCGTTTGGTTCTTTGCTCTTGCCGATCTTGATGTGCCAAGATGTTCCATGGTCGGCCTCGTTTGACTGGGAAGAACAGCCTTCACCAGCGTCGATGTTTTCCAAATCAACAGTGCATGATTGCACGTTATCTTTTTGTACCCTGATTCGGTTTTCCTCATTGAAGAAAATGTGTAAGTTGCGTACACCTTTGAGATCAATGCTGGTTTCGTCTCTGCTGCCGTCCTGGTAGGGTTTGAAGTGGTTGTCAGAGGATGTAGGGAAGCTAGCTGCAGGTTCACTAAGCTGCGGAGGATACACTGCAGCTTGTGATTTTACCACTGTCTGCGCCGCAGGGGCTGGCAAGGTCGGCTTCTCAGGAGCATTTTGAACATATATCACTCTGGAAAAAAACTTCCTATTTGTTATTTAATCAAAATTCACAAGGTAAACTGTCTGACATGCAATGGCTTGCTGTAAGAATGTTAGTACATTACTACTTAATGAAACTGACAATTGGCATATTGGACAATCGTACAATAATTGACAAAGCTTGCTGTGATATTGAAATATTCCAATTTCTTTTGTTTATAGTCTTTGACTATTGATACAACTGGACATTAAATACCCATGTTGTTATCGAACCCAGTTTTAAAATCAAATTCGTCATAGTTGATGTGTGCCAGCCGACAGATTTCGCTGATCTAAATTGCTAATTTCTATCGAATACACTATGGTTTTTTATACCAAGTAAAACTGATGGAACGACTTATTATGTTCTAGAGCAACTGTTATGATCTATAAACTATGTCAGCAACAAAAATAAGGTATAAAATAGAATTTTAGACACTAGCACATTCTGTGACTGGCTCACACAACCACATTTTTTAAAATAAAAAATTGGTTACAGCTGGTCCATATAGATTGGATGTCTACTTCAGAATCCATTAGTCAATGTGTATAGTGTATAGGTAGTATAGTGTATAATAGTAGAATAGTATTACTATACTAGTAGTAGAATAGTATAGTGTATATGTATAGTGTAGTAGGGTTTGGTATTTGTTGTTCAGGCAAAAAAAAAAAAAAACTGAAAAATCTTATTGAGAAGAATTGCAGGATAACTTACTATTTATAATTAAAAAGATCAATAAATAGTATTTTATAACCACCAGCAATGATGTCAAGGCCGAATGGCAATGAAAAAACTGAAAAATCTTATTGAGAAGAATTGCAGGATAACTTACTATTTATAATTAAAAAGATCAATAAATAGTATTTTATAACCACCAGCAATGATGTCAAGGGCCGAATGGCAATGAAAAAACTGAAAAATCTTATTGAGAAGAATTGCAGGATAACTTACTATTTATAATTAAAAAGATCAATAAATAATAACCACCAGGAATGATGTCAAGGCCTAAATAATAGTCAGTCAAATTTCACTTTCACTATCATTATTCACTAACCTGTTGAATGCCTTCCACCGCTGACATATCTGGAGATATGCCTTGCACTGGATGTACATGAACACTGCACCTCCAGTGAAACCGATGGCCACCACAATCAGTTTAGTCCAGAACGGCCACTCCAACATTCCGTTCTGTATCTCCTCAGCCGTGCGGTCGATGAGAACGTACAACGACCAGACTACACAAGTCAGCGCGACCGCGTGGAACATGACGGCGCAGAGTAGCTTGCGCCTCTCGAACCCAGACATCTCCAAGTGTTCCCACTAAAACAGTATAAGAATTTTTTGCCATTTGCTTTATTAATATTAAGAAATTATTTTAATACTCTGTTATTTTACTTCAGAAAGATGGTATGAGATGCCCAGATATTTGTTCAAATATGACTGGAAGAAGGTATTAGATGCCTCCTGTAGCTTTGTACCGACTAAGAACTTAGCTATATAGCTGGACCATTAATTTAAATCGTATGGGTCAAAGACAGCTTGGCTTTGTTTTAAATTTAAAAAAAGCTGCAACATCACCTACAACATCACAACATCACTAGTACAATAGACAACATCAGAAAAACAACGGTGAAATATTCTAGAAATTTTCCAACAGAGTAAAAACCATGTCATGAATATTGGTAAAGTTTTACATATTACAATACAGGTGATTTACTAAGAAGTTGTATTTGGCTAAATTTACAGATTTAATCGTTCCAACCAACTTTACGATAAAAATGTCTAACTAAATTATATTTGAATCCTCTTGATGTTGTAACTGTGTAAATCCTTACGGTCAACAAACAAGGATTTATTTTCTATAACAGACCAGTAAGTTGTGAAATATAACATGGCTCTGATCAACAGTGCGACTAACCACTTGGATGATGAAACATTCTAGTGATACATACTCAGAAGGAACAAAAAAACAATATTTTAGTTTTTCAGAGACAGTTTAGTGGCCTTGTTGTAATGAAGAAAAAGAATATAAATTTTAAACAAATTACCTCGCTAAAAGGCTTGGTCTTGGTCTGCATGATGAACTGGAACTTGCAGAGTTCACAGCATCGTATGTTGGACGACTTGATCCATTGCTGCAGGCAAGCCTGGTGGACGTAGCGTAGTGAGCCGGCACAGTAGCACGGAGCAATGAGAGGCACCTCACTGTCTCCTTCACAGTGACAGATCCTGTCACACAACATACATATCATAACATTTTAACAGGTGTAACGACTACCTTACAGGTAATCTACCTTACCTGCAAAAGTAATCCAAGTTCCTTGAATGGTCTACCAATTTCACATGGAATCTTCTTCAGGCAAACGCAAGTGGCCAAGTTTAGAGAACATTGAGTTATACCACAAAGGGAGAGAAAGACTTGTACACTCACAAATTATATGTAAAAAACATTTTACCAAAAATATTGGCAAAAAGGACACCACTCAATGGCCGTCTAGACTCAACTTTTGGGCTGTAAATCCGCCCACATCGACACTGTGAGAGTTGTGAAAATGAAGCAACTAAGTCATCATCAAAGTTAAACCAATCACCCTGAGTTGAATTATCAATAAGTTCCACTGTATTAAGAATCAAAATAACTAGGCATGCATTTTACAGTGAGATGTGAGATTGAATGGCAAGATAAATCAAACATGAATTAGGAAAACTGACCTGCAAATGTCATAGTTATTAGAGGATAGGCTGGAAGACTGGGAATCACATCGTCTTGAGAGTTCTTGATTTATATATCTCCCTGGCACCTAAAAATGAAGATTGTTTAGAAAATAAATAGGCTACTTATAAAATTAATATTTACAAAGTCTGAGCACAAAATTCTTTGATAGCCTAATATGCAAGTTAAACCAGAAAGTAGATTTTAGCGGAATGAATATTTCTCATATATATGCAAATCCTCTGTTTAAATTTGAGGTCAAAAATGAAGAAATAGTCAAATAATTTTGTCAGAAATGCTGCAGCATCGACTTTGTAAAATAATCAAAAATTATAGACCCCTAGTCCAAATAATACAAAACTTTTGACTATTTGGTTATTTTTACAAACTAGTTCTCTTTTACAAAATTTCCCCAAAGGGAAGAAGATATTAGCATAAGTGGACCTAAACGTGGAACCGATATGATTTGTCATTATGGTGTCCCTAGAGGCCAAAAATACTAGGCCTATTTGGTATTGTACCTAAAAATGATGTAAATAAATTTACAAACTATTCCAACATGTATTCATTCTAGTAACTAACAGCATTGTTTTAGCTAATAACTTAGGTTAGTAACTGTTTTTTTAATCATATCATATTTTTATTTCAAGTTAACTTATAATTGACATAAAGTAAACAACAACCAATGACCAAGGTAGAATTACAGGAAAGTACAATTTTTTAAACATTATGTCCCTTTGTAAACTAAACCACAATTATCATCATATTATCTTTTAACTGTGCAATGTAGTTCTTCCTTCCTTGTTATTGTGCAGTTTTCCTTTTAAGTTATAGTTTTCTTAATTTTGAAACCCTGTATGAATTCCTGAAGGAAAAAAAAAACAATTATTGTTCTATTTCATACAAGTAGTTTCATTACAAGCTGATTTGATTCAAAATACAGTACAATAAAATGAATCCCAGCCAAACTAGAAAAGTTAGAAGTACCTTAGAAATAATCTACAATAATAATTGAATCTTAATGAAATTATACCCTACATTTGTTCCTATTCCAAATTAATTACAGTTTGCCTCAATGGGCTGATTACCTGATGATGTGTAACTGTGCCAGAGTTTTCGATTTCGTCAGATTTCCATTCAATTGGCGATACGTTTATTGTCTGCAGGGGCATTATTAGGACACAGGTCAATTGAATTCATGCATTTTGTCTGAAACAAACAGTCAATTCAGTTTATTCAACAGGTATAAACCATATATGATAGTATAAATCACTATCTACCCTAAGAAATTTTGTGGTGTGCCCCTAAACATGTATTTTATGTCTGGTGTTCAGGGACATTCTCATATTATTGCTTCTCTAAGGGTATAAATGAAAATGTTACCTCATAAGCATATAGAAAATGTATTACAGCTGCTATAATTCAACAAGATAAATTTGAATTTAATTTAACAGAAAATTTTTCTAAAATTATTACAAAGGAGGGGAGCACAAACACCAAGAGATCCCAAACCCCCATAAAAATCTATTGGGCTTGTGGGGCATTATCTTTGAGGGTTCACAAAATAAATGTCCGTCAGTGATCCTATAAACCATTTACTTCAATAAGTGATCCTGGGCCACTAAGCATAATTAAATTACTTTGACTTAGAATACAGTACCTTTTCATCTGTAATATACCACATACTCTTTCAATAGCCTACAGTAGAAAATAACAATTTGATTTCTATAATTTTTCAAAGGAAAATAAACGTATAGTTTGATACCAACCATTTCAATTTGGAACTTCACTTAAGATGTCAAAACCAATTTATTGGAGCAAACAGTCTACTTTATCCTGTCTCCTTTATCAAAGAGCCGGATTGGTTTTGTAAAAGCAATCAAATACATAAATTTTGTTTTATTTGTTTGAGACAAATTAAATGGTTTTAGGTAGATAAAATTGTTGTTTCTGTAACATAGATTTTGGTAAAAACATAATTAAATACTTATTTGAAAAAAATATAAATTAATCATGATGGGTTTGGTTAAAAATCCTACATGATTATTTTTATTTTCCTCGACTCAGAGAATCCGCAGGAATGAAGCTATCCAATAAGCAAGAAGGGTGGCAATCAATCCAACGCCTTGTCAATAATGTTTTGTTGCACACAAATCAACATTCAATGAATATTTCACGCAGTGAATCTGGAAATGGATAGTCTACTACAACGTATCTGGTTCTTCGTCAACAAAAATATAAGTTTTGTTTTCGTAAAGTTATGTTCTGTAACATAAAGCCTTGTAGGCACAATAAACCTCAAATATATCTAATAAAAATTTTAAGTAGGCCCTACTCTTGAGGTTTACAAATAATTATTTGCACATAATATGTGTTCAAAATTACAGCCTATATAAGAGTTAGAAATATTATCAGGGATTAAATTCAATTAGATTACGGTAAACCTAAACTGGCACTAGGATTTATTTTAGCCCTGAAATAAGTAGTTGGCTGGTCAGTGTTTTATTTCTATGAATTTTACTACAACTATGAATCTTACAACTAATGGTCTATGAATTCAATGCAAGAAAAATAAATTCAATACATAATTCTTCTGAATTACAATGGTAGTTCTGTGTTATTAAATCTGTATATTCAGCTACATAGCATATTATATTATCATCAGACTTATTTAATGTAGCTATCCCTAATCCCTCTAAAGAAGACAAAACCACTGTATATAAGTCAAGTGTATGCCTATATATTACTGTACCTATATATAAGGGCCCCTACGGCCCTACTCAAACTTGGAAATGCAATTCACAGTTTTTTCTCACAGTAATATATCTGTACTAGATACTTTAACTATTTTATGTTTAGTTTTTTATCAAGCAATTCTGGGAAAATATCAGTAGTTCAGTCCATCATCTATTATTCATTTACAAATGTTTTCACTACATTTAACTAGAAACCACTAAACTCAACCAACAAAGGTCCTATATTAATTGTCATGTATTATGGTTATCTTGTTTTACAAAAGCATACATCTAACCTAGTGAAAGGAACAAGATTAACCTAGAAACTAGATAAACTTGCCTTGCGTCACACAAACTAAACAAAAACAAAAACATATTCACACAAATAATTAAATTGATTAATAACGATAGGCGTCAAATCATTCACATTCAATATAAATATCACAGAATGACCATGTATGATTCAAACATTATAGTGTAAAAATAGCTAAGTAATCTTACTATTACAACTATTTTGAAAACAATTTTATCTGAAGGGCAAAGTTGATTGAAAATTTATCTTTCAACACAGATAACGTGGTATGTCAATGAACTAGTAAAACAAACTACAAAAGAAAATAGCTTATGTATAACATATTTAACATTATGACTGGCCTTTATTTTAAACACAACAGGAAAACAATAATATGAATTGATAACAAAACCGACCATGTGAATAAATGTTTATAGGACCAAGTACGGCCTATGTTAGAGGTCAAGGTGCTTGGTACAATGATGTTTATATGCATTTAACATTTACATAAACACTATTGTGAGTTGAGAATTTTTTCCAGGACAAGTAGGTTAAATTTTTGATAACCGTAGAATGCAAGCAGACAATTTAAGTAGCAAAAACCTAATATTTGCTTAATTTATTTCAAATTACTGCAGCAAAAACAAATTCAAAACAGTACTTTTCAGCTAAAAAGACGATGCATTACTTGATTAGTTAATTGTTCATTAAAATAAACATGTGTCTTTATACTCTTAAAATCAAATCCCTTATAACAGCCAAATATTTGTCAAAACAACAAAATAATTTTACAACGCAATACTTAACTTAAGAAATACAAATACAACACATTAGCCTATATACTTTACCAGCGTTTCACAAGATTCATTAAACATTTTTACCAAATGCCTACATCAAGGTCATTAGATGAGGGACTGTAACTTAACTTTTTACCTAAATGACAAGTTAAGCTTTAACAAGACAAAACACTCACTATATTGTGCTATCCAATATTCTTAGATAATAGCTATTTATTATCATCTAACCTAAACTGTTCTGCAATATCAGGAAAGAAAAATAGTGGTAGAGTAAACTACTGTAAAATAGTTGGTAAAAATAGAATCGAAAAAAGCTAGGCTACTAACAATTTTACACAAAAATCTTCACCCCTATTTTGTTATATAAATTTGACAACATTGATAATTTCTTGGATTATTTTCACAAAGACTACTTTAACCCTAGCAGTATTTACAAGAGGACAGTTAGGCAGGAAGGTTACCTGACTCAGTTAATGTATTTTAAGTTACCTTGCCTGTCTACTGGATTCTAGTAAACACGGCTTATGAGCCCCAGGACTAATATCAGGCATAGTTTTCCGCTGTTTTGTTTAGTTGGGCTTGCACTAACGGTTGCAGATTATTTTAGATTTACAGCTTCACACAAAGGTGCATATTTTAAGGTAAATATGTGATTTAACTAAGGGCATTTCAATTTTGTATTAATGTTTTACTGGTTAAGTTTAAGTAAGATGGTTTTTTATTTTTTTTGTTACATTACACAATTGTTTTCTGTGATCCAACCATAGGCAAACTGAAAAATGTGACTTTCCTTTTTGTACACTGATGGTCATGCAAATTACAATTATTGTTTGAAGACTGAATAAATGATTATTCACTTACAAGTGAAGGATGATTACCTAATGAACGAATTAATATCATAGCTTCATTATTGACCATCATCATTTTATTAGCTGGTTTTTAGCCAAAACCATTAATCAAAAGCTCATGGATCAAGAGCTTATTTTATTAGAATTTCAACCAGAAACAAAAACTTATCAATACCAAAATGAAACTTAAAACAGACAACACTGGAAATCCCAAATTACTGAGAACGCATCATAGGAAACATTTCAGTTACGGCAGAGATAATCAGGTTACGTCGGTTATGACTCTTATTGAATCCATCACGACTCGGTTGTAAGGTTTCCGAAGCCTTATCACTTCACTCTTTGATTGCTTACAACTACTCGGAGTGAATATAATGAAAAATGTTTGTATGGCTTTGTAAAATGACCCATCTATATTCAGAAATAGAGATGGACATTTACTAAATCTACATAATATATTTTATCTTCTTTGCCATTACCTAAAAAAAAAAAAAAAAAAAAAAAAAAAAATTTGATCCAAACATACTTTATACTTTTAGTCAAGGCTCGATTGAAGGATGGCACATTTGAAAAGCGTTCAAGGAAGGCTAATTTTGTGTACAATTTTACTGCTAAAATACAATAGTACAGGGGAAACGGAATGAGAAGGTTAGTTGAGGGATCCTAGGACCCAAAATAAAGTTTACCTAAAGATTGAAATACCGAAGTAATAAAGACAGAATAAAACATTCAAGATGTGTCAACTTTTTAGAGACAAAAATTCATTAAAGGCTGATAAATAATTTACACTACAGATCAATCGCATAAATATTGGACAGCAATTTAAAGTGCCGTCAGTAAAAACAAACAACAAACAAGTCAGTTCAATACAGAATACATACTCAGATAACATAAGACAGTGACTGCTTGTTCTGCAATGTTTATAAAATGATGTTAGGTTGGATAAACACTTAACATTGATATTTTGGAAAGTGAATGCTCATAAATAGTTTATTAAACATTATGGTTATGAAACATAGCTTGAGGAAGTTGTATATAATTATTTCTTTGTTTAAAATAATTTAGAATTAGATTTAGGTTCATTAAATGTTTTTTAGGTAAAAAATGTCATGACTTTTGAACTCTTTGGTGCAGAAAAAAATTTACAAAAGGTGTGGCGTGCAAATTCAATCCACGGATGATGACCAATAAGGATTTTATTATTATTTTATTTTTAAGGTTTCTAGAGAGCACAAGAGTAAAAAAGTTTTTGCTAGCCTAAGCCTAAATGTTGTTGTAGGTACTGCATATTTTATAATCTGTGGATTAAAGAAGCACGAAACTGGAAACTGCAAAAATATGAACGAATAAAAGGAAAAATTCCTAACTTACGTCTAGGGAACAATTTTATTTTGGAATGTCTAGATATTAAAATTTGAATCAACTGTGCTGGGTGGATTAAATTTTAAGCTTAACACACACTGGCGTGTCTTGAGTAATATTTGTCTGTGACCTACAGAAATATATGCACTTTGATCTGTACAACAACCATGAGTTAATGTAGGGAAAACTCAAATAAATAGTGAAAGGCACACACTGATGTCATATATACATCGTCTACAGCTTTTGTGTCCAAGGCACGTGAAACCGACTTGTTTTTATCTGAGCTCCTTGCAACACAAGTTTGTGAAATCATCTGTATAAGTTATCGGACATGACTGTGTCGAGCGAGGCCAATTAGGCAGTGTTTGGTGAGACAATTCGTACAACATCAGGCCTGGCGCTCATCCCTCGAGAAACAAGGCTATTCAACTGCATACAAAGTAGGTTTTGATTAGGTACCTAAAGATAATTAATTATCACATAGCTTAGTGATATTTCATTGTGAAATATTCTTGAAACATGTGTGATGGTTCAGTTGTCGGACGTAATAAATTGGTTTGTATTATAGAATGGGTTAACCATATTTAAAACCCTGCACCATCGACGGCAAGGATAATTTACCACTTTCTTGTCAAATTCTGACAACATAACTTATCGTGTTTCATTGATTACACAGATACAGTAGGCCTTTAGGCCAAGTACTGAAATACTTTTATCTCAAATGGCAACTATACAAAGGTAGGCATTAATGGCCAAGTATGAATGGAGATGAGTGTAGGATGAGTGGCATGATCTTGTAGTCTTGTTACTGTCTAGGCCGACATCTTCCTTAGACAGGACTGTTAATTAATAGCCCATACAGCCAATAAACCAGAAACTACAGCCAACCACGGGACAGTAGCCTACAACCTAGTAGGAGAAATGTCTCATACAAGCAAAAGACATGAATGTTTCTTGCAATTTTATCAGACACGGCAGCAGTCCAGATTTGTGACTGTTTGCAGTTTACAGATAGACAGCCAGCTTGACACATTATCTGAGCTCAAATCATATATTTGTAGGCCTATACTGAAATAGATAACTAAAATATTAAGTAATTTAATCAAGTCTTCAGACTTTTAATTTATTGAAATGTGATGACTTTGTTTTACTCATGGCCTGTTTTAATGTGATAGACCTATAGTAGGCCTATTCTAGAACCAATTTAACATTCAGATAGGTTTATTAAAAAAGAGGTATAGACCAATTAGGCCAAGTTGGTTGATTTGAGATATATATTCAAGATTAATAAGTTAAGCCCAAATTAAAATTTAACACTCGCTAACAGTAAATTATACTTAAGTTACATGAGCTTAAGCCTGACTCATTAGTTTTAGCATCTAAATCTAATCGGCCTACAAGATTAACATACTTACAGTCTATTAATTTGTAATGTATTCTGTTAATATAAACAGCCTAATTTTAGCTAAGTTAAACTTATCTTAAATAGTTCCTTTTACATTTGGAAATACCTGAGTAAAAATGGGCCTAAGCTTAGAATACCCTATATTTTTTATAAGTTACTTTACCAATGCATTTGTTGAAGTACAATTTATACTTTAACAGCTCCTTAGCTCAATACCACTGAAGGTTTTAAAATAATGCCTAAACTTCAGTAAGTTAGTGAATTAAAGTTATAACCTTTAAAGTTTTTTATGTACTTACACAGCCCCAATAAGTTAGCAAAACTTGTAAGAGGCTATTAAAAAGGAAGACAACGTTTATTTGGCAATCAAAGGGAATCCGGCTTTCATGAAACAAACTACACCATGTCGCCCCTTATTGTTTCATAAATAGACCATATTCTTATGCACACCAACCTCTGTGGGAACAAAGAGTCGTCGATGAAATGAAGCAAAATTAGAACTACTGCACCAACACCAACCAATCGTGTAATTTCAGAGCAATTAATGTTTGCTAAATGAAATAAAATAGTATACACACACACAGAAGCAATTAGCTTAGTAAGTAAAATGAAAATAGAATAACTACATTAACTACTTAACTTACTTTGTCAACTTTGGTTTCTTCCTTACCTTACCTTTTTGTTCACACTTCTCGGCTCGCCGTTTGGTGGCTGGTGCTGTAGTAAACATCACTCAGCTCAGCTGAGGAACAGCTGCTAAAACATGTGAAGCAGTGTTCAGTTGCATGGACACCAACTGAGAAAATGAAATACAATTCTTGAAAGATAGAGATTTTAATTTATTTAGCCTATTAAATTTTGATGGATGGAATTTACTTAAATTACTGAATTAAATCATTAAATTTGTGTATTTTGTTATCCATTGAAAATACTAAATAGTTAATTACAATTTTGAGGAACATTTAAATTGAATTTATTTGTTTTGTTCTGTTGGTACAGGATATCAATACCAACTAACCCCCCTCCTCATGGTCTATTGTGGTTGGTTGATTTGATGCAAATTTTGAGCTGTCTGCTGTCTGCTAGTGTAAGGCAAGAGTTTGTATGTAATTTGATTAATGCGTCGGTCCATACGACGGGGATGACGGAGCATAAACAAAAACAAAGTGTTTTTCATCTTTAAATCAATCTATGTTTATAACTGTGTAATTAGTCTGAACATTTGTTAACAGTTATGGCGGATTTACGCAAAAGGAAAGTGGACACTGAAGAAGAAAAGTTATTAGAAAAGCAAACTGCCTCAGGAACAGAAAGTGACCATGTAAGTTCTAGGACGAATATCAATAATGTATACTAACAACTTAATTGTTGTAAATAAAGTTGGGCGTATTAAGTTATTTAGTTACTATAAATAATGGCTTCGATTATTATGATACAATGATAGGCTAACTAAAGAGAATATATAAAAAATGATATTGTATTTCAGCAGACATAACACAACTACATTAAAATTAAATGGATTTTCCATGGAACTTACGATTTAAAATCATCCTAATCTTAGGTACAGCCAACTAGCAACTTATAGGTACCTTTAAGTTTTAAAATAGTTTCAACTTGAAAGTGTTGTGAATGTCAAATTTTTCCTGTCGTTTATTGAAGTCAACTATATTAGCCTTTAAACACGTAAGTTATACCTATGGTTTCTTTAATCATAGGATAAATTAAAGAGCTTAAAATTATTGTCAACAACGTTCATATAGGAAACCTGCCCATTCAAAAAATTCATTTTAAGTATTGGCATGATTTTTGGCAGTTAAGCGGACAATTAACAGCTGATCGAAAGAATGTTAAAAACTTACCAACAATTTTAAACTCCTGACCTATGAAACCTTTAGATTAACTGGGGTCTATCAGTGACAGGTCTAGGACCTCGTCAAGGGGAGGGCTACTGGAGGATTTGGGGGGTGTAGACCAAAAGGATGGGGGCCTGGGGTTCCCACTTTATGAAAAGTTTGTGTTTTTAAAGCCGTTTGGTGATTTTCCTAAGTAACTTTATTCCCAAGAAACTTTATCCAAAAACCGCCGTTACATTTGTAGGCCCAAATTAACGTTTAAAAACCTATTTTTCCAGGATCCAATGGGGGAAGGTTAGCCCCTGTAACCCCCCCCCCTTACATCCACAAAGCTGGGGACTTTAATAATCCTACCTTATTAGGTACCGGTAACTTAAAACCCTTTATTGAACTTTTATTGAAGTAGCTTAATGGGCCCTATTTGAGGTGTTGGTGTGTGTGTTATTCAGAAGTAAGGTTGCATAGGCCTATTGTTACTTGGGTTGTGGTGGCTGTTTTCAGCTTTATTGAGTTAAATGTCTTTTTTCACTATGGTTTAGGTGTTGATTTCCCTTGGTCTGATTGTCCATGATCCTATCAATGTTTAAATGAAGCTTTCCAATGCTACCTCCGCAGAGTAATGATTTGTTCCGCAGGAACCTAGTCTCTTTCAGAAATGTTTAACTGGTGATCAAGTTCATAGTGGGAAAAATAAATTTTAAGTTACACTGCTGCTAATAATTTGAGTTGCTAATGATTTGTTGCATAGCCTATTTATTTAATTTTTGCCATGTTTAACTTTTCTCTGAAAACATCATCACTTTAGTTATTGTAGTGTTACCTGCTTAGTGATGATGGAAATAGTTATTTGTGCAACTAGTGAGAAAAGTGAGCAATTGACTCACTCGAGAGAAATCCTTACTCATGAGCCGTAGGCGAGTGAGGAATGGTTTCTCGAGTGAGGCAAAGTACTTTGCACTCGAGTTGCACACTATACTTTTCCTACAGTTACCATAAAACAAATAAATTGGTAAAGAAACATAACCTATTTTTACACAGAAGTGAACTTTTAATATAACATTTAATGTGAAGTGACAAATACAACAGCTGACCAGCTGATTTACAGCCAGTGCTGCCAACGTATTTCGCGCGCATACGACGTTGCCTGCATGCTATGCGCTCATTATTTCGTGCCTTCACGTTGCAAATCTGGAGTGAGACAAAGTAATTAGAGTGAGACAATGTTAACATTGTCTCTCTGATGAGCGAATTGGCCACTTTGCTTTCTCAAATCAGTGAGAGAACATGTACATTGTTAGGTAACTGTAGGAAAAGATAATTACTTGTCACACAGAGTATTATTTTGCTTAACTGTTGTTATTATATGTATTTATCATATAGGTTACAATAAAACACTTATAAAGAGCAGATTTCAGGAAAATTTTAAACTTCCCTGGTAACTTTACGGGTAGGTAACCTTTTATACAACACTATTGTATTATTGGCATTGCCGTTGTTAAATGAATTAATAAAGAAATAAAATAGTGTTGATATAGTTATTAATCAATCATTGAGATGGGGACGCTACCTAGGTGTGTATTTTAACCAACATATAAGTGGAGGATGAATGTAGAATGGTGTGAGATTATCGTTTGGCTTTTTACTGACTAAGATCAGATGTTTTATCAGTCAGGATCATTTATTTAAAGCCCAATGATCAGGAACAGCCGGGTCCAGTTTCAATCCATCAAAAAGCTACTGACTTTTACCTATTAATTTGATCCTATTATTTTGACATTTTTTGTCTCTGATTTCACTTCAACCCTAGAGGTTTTTAAACTGCTTTTGAAACCAGTTAATGGATTCAATTTGTTAATTAAGAATCTGACCCTCTCCTTTCTCTAAATTGCCAGACAATGGTAAACCAACTGTCCAATGGAGGAGATCAAGCTGCATAAGCTGTTCACTTATTCTGGTGGCTTTTGGTTCCACATGGTTTTATTTTGAGTAATTTATAACACATGTTCTTTGGTGTAAACAGCTGGTATTATTTGACCTATTCAAAAGTTTTCATTTCATTGAAAAGTTTTTGTATTGTTTAGTAGGGGCGGGTTTGATTCCTGGCAAATCCCCAACTCATGGTTTTGGAGCGTTTTCCCACAAAGCATCAAGTGAACACTGTACATTGTTTTTGTCTTAAAAGGCCATTGGTGTTGAAATGAAAAAAAATCCAGGGATTAGGTTCACTTCAAATTGAGCACTGTTTACTTTGTTTTGAAAGAATTTTGATTTTTGGCCCATTAGCGTTTGGGAGAACTTAATATCAGTAAGAGTGGCTGGGAAGATAAATGGTTATAGTGCTTTCTTGACAATTAAAAGGTCACTGGTTGGATCCTGAGAAAAGTAAAATATTCACGTCTCAGTTACGGTATATTGCTTTCTAATTTTTTTTCCAACTTTCTTCAACACATTCAATACCAGATATCGTTAGACTACACATACAGAGGAGTGTTGACGTCTAGGTGAGAAATTTTTACCTAATCAATTTTACCAGCTGTTTCTTATAATTGGGCTAAAAAATAAATGGACCTGGTAAATGAAACAGATTATCTTATTTAGTTACAAAGCTACACAGATCATCTCACACCATTCTACACTCATCTGTCACTCATATTTGGGTTTAAATACACACCTAAGAGACGTCCCCATCTCAGTTGATAGTTGATAATTAATTAATTCATAATAAAGTCTCTAAAAAAACCCTAGACTTAAAGTTTTTTTTTTATTCATAGAAAGAGGAAATTAGTTAATTTGGTGAATTATGAAAAGGTTTCAAGCTTCTTAAATCTAACAATCTGATATTACGTCTCTGACCTGTAAAAGCTCAGCCGATTTAGACCTATCTTTCTATGTTATCAGGCGAGATAAGATACAAACTGGTTACATACCACAGATGTCCTTGATCATTGCGCTTGCAATAAAGTGATCTGCTATAAAATGTTAGCTGGTTTTAATTTGCGAATCTATTGTGTTGTTTATTCTATATTCATCTTCACATAAAGTACACACCATAATTGTTATTTTTGTAATCCAGTAGTTTATTATATTAAGAGTTATTGGTCCTTCTGTTAATTGGAAATAAAGTAGACAGTCGTTGGATTTGTTTATGTTACGGTACAGTGAAATTAATTAAATGTTGAACATATTCCATCCATAATACGTATGACAGGCCTATAGGCTTACCTATATTAGAATTTATAAACCTTATTTTCTGTTACTGAAATACCTTTAAGTCAACAATTTTTAGAATAGGCCTACATAAAATTTAGGAAGATCAATTCTCTTCACATTCTTTGTAGGCCTACTCTATTGTGTCAGGGTGGCAATTTTAACTAATCAATCAAGAGCTTAGCATGAGAAGGGGTTGAAATCCCCCTCCCTTCCACCCATTGAGTCACATAAGAAGATTCCATAAGGGGTGGACTTATGTGACTCATAAGTTCTTCCGCTAAGATCAAGAGCGAACAAAATACCCCCGCCGCAGCAAACCTGCCGACTAAGCGAATTTCCATTTGTCTGAATTGATTTTCAGTTAAATATATTTTAATAACATTAGGTTTAACGAGTACCTAGGTTTGCTGCTACAAGGAAACTAATAAAGTATGTTTTTCAGTAAAATATTGATAGCTTAGTACAAAATAAATAAATTTGCCAAGTTTGATCAAAATATATCCATAAACAAGCAAACTACAACATTTGACAATATTCCCCATAAGAATAACATGGGAATTTTCAATTTACAATTTTTTTAATTTTCTCCGTTACTAATAATCGAACAAAAATACTTTTATATACTAAATTATTTGTTTTTTAAGCTCTTTAAAAAGGTCTAAAGAGAATTTGGGAAATTTTGTGTTTTGAGGGTCAAAAGTGAGAAAAACCAATTTTTACCCCATAAAACCCCCCGTAAAGCCCCGTTCCCATGATCCGATCGTGCTGGTTCGCGAACTCATTCAAGTTTATCCCGCTTTACACCTTTAAACCAAATTTCATCAAAATCGGACAAAAATTACTCAAGTTATCGCGTTCACGGACGTATATATATATATATATATACATATATAAAAATTTGAACGAATGACGTTTTTGGCCCCTGGGGACATCAAAATGAAAAAGTAAATCGGTCCCGGGTCTAGGTCTTACCGTGCCACCTACGGTAATAGCTACTTCCCAATAGGGAAATTCGCTAAAAGACAACTATTACACAATAAAATATTTTAACTTTGCTGAGTCCAATTGGCATTCTGTATAAGTGTATCTTAACAAAATAGTAAACCAAATTAGGATTAGTTTACTCTCTAATTAGAATATATTACAATATTTTTATAAAATTAGAAGCAAGTATTTTCGTGAGACATTGTAGCTTTTTGTCAGTAGCTCTGTGATGGTTTAAAACTGGACCCAGCTGTTCCTGCCTGATCATTGGGCTTTAAATAAATTATACTGGCTAATGTAACAGCTGATCTTAGTCAGTAACAAAGCCACACAGATCATCTCACACCATTCTTCACTCATATTTGGGTTGAAATACACACATAGGTGGCGTCCCCATCTCAACGATTAATAGTTGATTTAAAAATTTTCCCCAGTCCACCCTCCCACTATGACAGGTATATCTGAATGTTGGTCATAGAAAAAAATCCTTAAACTTAAACCAAAATTTCCTTTGGAACGTTGCAAAAATGTAAAGTCATTAGGCATCTTGAATAATCTTTTAGCCCATCCTTCTTGCACTGAGTTACTAAACACTAACCTGTGAATTATTTAAACAAACATTTGTAGTTTGATCTTTAATTTTTTGTTTGATTTGAAAATGATTACTCAGGTTAATTTAGAAACAAAATATCCACCTATAGTACTTGCATACCACTATATTAATGTGTAACTGACAATTAAATTGTAAATCGTAATTTCCATCATTGTTAGATATGTTCAATTTATTTATTTCAGCAGACTCTTTATTTTTCTCTTCTTACTGCCTTTATCAAAGAGTAGTCTAGCCCTGGTTTGCTTGATGTTATCAGCCAATAATTATAACATTGTCATCACCCCTTCTATGCAGATAAGAATAATGACACTAGAACTATTTGATTACTCAGAAGTCTTGTGTAGTGTTCAAATGTGCCCATTATTGGATGAGGTTTGTGTTTTTTGATTGGTTGCGAATAGCAATTGCCTTTGTCACCTTCATATATGGTTGAAATTTCTGTTGTGATAACATATTTATAATTCCACACATTAAATGCATTTAAGTAATTTGTTTTTGAAAAAGCAGCATGTTTTACAATTATTCTTCAAACAATTGATCTTTAGCATGATATTATTTGAGATAATTATAAACGTGAGGTATACATACTTTCCCTGTAAGTGTAGACCATTTGTTTACACTATGCCAACCTGGCAGTGATTTTCCATCGTGTGTTGTGGTTGTGTTCACTTAAATCCTTACTGTTTTTTTAGGTTTGTGAAATTGGTTTAGACAAGGCATACAATGATACAATTGGTAGTAACAAGGACATAGTATGCTGAAATGCATGTATGAAGTTATTTATGTTTTGAGTTTGTCAAAATTTTATGTCGTTAGGGAATTTCAGGCATACAAAACTCAGTTCTGTGTGAAATACATAGGCCTACATAGATTCTAACAGAATAAACATAGGAAACATAATTAAACACATACCATCTATTAAACTTTTCCAACTATATGTTTGTCAACTTACCAGGATAACCAGAAATAAACTCAAATCATTGGGAAATGCATGTTCAATAACAGTTAAATGTATAATATTCAAGAAAATGTAACCATGTTCTCTATACATTTTGTGGTACACTTTAGGCTGATCAATAAAACAGCGATTTACTAATGAACATTAAAAATTAAATGCAAACATTAACTATAATACTAAATTTGCTATCTATCTTCATTAAATTTACACTAATGTATGTAGACATCTGCTCTATATTGTTCAGACAAAAATTATTCGGCTACAATCAAAAAGTAATTTTTTTTTTGCAAAACATTTTTTTCTAGATAGCTATAAGCCTATAGGAAACATAAGCAAGAATAGTTTCTGGAAAGTTGTTAGATAAATTTTATCAAGAGTAGTTAATATGTCCTATTCATGACTTACTGTTTATCATAATTATTTCACAATTTACCTAATATGAAACCGACCAGAAGAGGTTGGTTTCCAGTCACCGACACACTGAAAAGTTATGTCTGGATTTCTTATAATTTGCCCTGAAATTTCTTAATCTCGTTGAAACCCGTATGAAATCCAAAATTAGCATTGTGTGTTTTTCCATTTTAGGAACTATTGTTGATGATAGATACGCTCACTGGTACTGTTGAAAAATCGTTAATCGATGAATACAACTACCCTCAACTCTAAAAAATGTAATTAATAATAAATATTTTAAAAGCAGCCTTGCTGATTTTCTGATTAGCAAAACGTATTACAGTGTTAATGATTACCTCAATGAAACTAACCAATCAATATGACTCTATTTTGTATGACATAGAAACTAATTTTTTTTTCTGTCATCGTTTAACTAATTTTGCCAACTTGTTTACAAACATTTTTTATGCATAAGACATATTGTTGTACATTAGGTTAAGTTAGTAATAATTTTGACAATGTCATCTGTTTTTTAGCTGTGCTATGATTTAAAACGTTGATGTGACAATAAAGAATTATTTATTTATTTATTTATTTATTTACAATATTTTTTAAAAATGGAAAAGAATATTAATTAAACTTATTTCACCAACACAGAGAGAGAGCTATAGTACTTTAAAACAAAGAAAATTGAAAAACACCAATAACAATTAACTATGCTAAGTAAAAAAAAATTTTATAAAAATATACAACACTTTTGTAGCCTAAATATCTTAAACATTTTGTTGCCCGAACATTAAATGAACAAACCCACAAATAAGGGCCTGAGTTTGGCCCGCTCTACAAAACCTTAAAAATTACCTGGCTTGAAAAACAAGTTTTAAGGTACATTAACGTATTTGTCTTTCCTTAGCGGCAAATGATTAATGCTTCGCTATTTTTGATACCTCTAACTCACCTTTTTAATGGACTGTAAAATAACAGCCGTTAGATGATATTATTGGTTAGTGATTCCGTTACTTAGATTTTCAGGATCCAACGATTGAAAAGTAAAAAACAAACCCATGTTAGTTGAGTTGTCAAAATGCCAAACGTGGCGTATGATGTTTCTACTCGTAACTTGTCGAGGCTTGAGTTGTATAAGATTAGGATTGTGACTGTTCTTTTACACCTGATGCCCTTTCTTCTACACTGGTTCGGTATCTCGGCTGTCAAACAACTGATACAAAGGGTGAGTCGGTGTGGAAAGTAATAACAAAATATTCTTAAGAGCTTTCCGTGTGATAAGTTAATTGGTTTTTGATAAATTTTACTCATTCTCAGGCTGAACGTTCGATAGGTTAGTTAATTTCTACCCTGACACAATGAAGTGCGCTGAAGGTAAAGAAGATTGATCTTCCTAAATTCTAAGCATCCTAAACATGGGCTAAAACATGATTTCAGTAACACAGGCTACATGGTTATCTAAATGCCTTGTGACCTAGTGGTCATTGAAGGTAGATTCAAAAAGTACTTCAACATTTTTTAAACTGAACACAGAACTTATAGATTATTGGACAAGCACTTTGCTACTCAGTGACCCTGTCAGAGTCGTGAAATTTTCTTGAAAATATGTTTGAGGCAAAAGCAAACTCTTAACAGACATATGGAATTTAATAATTTGTCCTGAATAAAGGAACAGCTGTTTTTATTTTGTAACAAAGCTGCATAAGACATTTCATTCATCCCACCCTCATCTTGCATGTTTGAGCTAAATATGCCTTAGTTGTGTCTTTTGTCCACATCTTGTAATAGCGATGTTCTCCGTAAAAGTTTTGTGTTGTGTTTTCAATGTACGGTAGCTAACTGGCTACTCCCACATGAACGGATAAATCATATTCTTGCCATCTGATACAGTTGTAGTCAAACATGTGGTAAATAGTAAAGCTAAGGAATTTTTGCCACAAAGGTGAATAGCCTACAGCAGTCCTAATTGTAAATTTTCATCCGTTTTACTTTTTTGCTGTTTCAGAAGGACGATGTTGATTCTGAGGATGACAAAGTGTCTCAGGACTTGTCCAAGACAGTTCCTCAAGGAACGGACAAGGTACCGGACGTCCTGGACTCAGCTTTGAAAGGACTTTCTACCAAGTAAGTTTATAATTCTGAGGAGGAAGGCCAGAATGCATGATATTCACAAATTAGCCGACTCATATTGTGCAAAAATCCACTTTAGCTCATTAAAATTCTCACATGGTAATTTACTATTTCAAATCCATCTAGATTGGTGTGCTTTAGTACAGCTGTCCTTGGTCATCAGGCTTTTAATAAATAGTTGTGACTTAAGAAACCTGCTAATGCTAGTCGGAAATAAAGCTGCAGAAGTAATCTCATTCATCCTACACACCCCTGTTCATATTGGGTTAGAATACACCTTTATAGTTGCGTCTCTATCTAATCATATTGATATAATGATACCTTCTGGAACACCGTGTGTCTCGTATCTTATTAGTTTCTAGCCAACCGGTATTGAATGTTATGTTTTGTTTTCCTTGTTAATTTGATGATTTTAAACATCTGACAAATTCATCCATGATTTTTATGCTAATCATAATACATAAGACATAAGACATATTTTATTTACACAATACGTTCTTTATAAAGTACATTTCATACATAAGAACAGGTGTTTTGTCATAGTGATGTACTATATAGTAAAATTAATAGTTAAAATAATTAAAATAAACTCATGTAGGATATCAGAGAATTTTTATCTACATTATAGGGTTCTCCAAAAATTCGTCAAGTGAATAGTAGGCTTTCTCAATTATTTTATCTTTTATTTTATCTTTGAATTGAGTAGCATTTAAATTTTTAAGATACAGGGGTAATTCATTGTACAATCTAAGTCCCATATATTGAGGGCTGTTCCTAAAAGTCGTCAATTTGTGATGTGGTAATCTGAAATTATATTTATTCCTTGTATTATAATTATGTGTAAATTTGACTGCATCTGACAAATTTTCCTTAGTGTTATGTATCCAATTTAGAATTTCATTTATGTATAATCCAAAAATGGTGTGAATTCTAAGATTTTTAAACAGGTTTTTACATGATTTTCTCCTTCTTGATTTGGTTAAGATTCTAATAATTTTTTTCTGTAAAATTAGTAGGGATTTGACTTCTGTTGACACTCCCCACAGTATGATTCCATATCTCAAGATGGATTCAACGTATCCATAGTAAACTGTGATACATGTATCCTGAGGTACACAGTTTATCAGGTGAAAGAAAGCAAAAGAAATAGATCTTAGTTTGCCTTTCATCTTATCTATGTGAATCTTCCAATTAATATGAGTATCAAGCAATACACCCAAAAATCTATGAGATTCTACTAAATTTGGAATTTTATCAAGAATTACATTGTTTTTTAAAGAAAATTTAATTATATGAGTTTGGTCAATATTCACCAATAATCACCTTGACAATGTTGCCCAAAATTTGCCCCACTTTCTGCAGCACAAAACATCTGTAGTATTATTAACCTAATGGATCTGTGTTTGTGTGACAGATGGCGGAACTGGGTGATCCGAGGGATCTTCACATTTCTCATGATTGGAGCTTTCTGTCTCATCATCTATGGCGGACCTCTGGCTCTCATGGTTACGGTGAGTTTTAACTCCTTTTTGTAATTTCGCTGTCGTAAAAATCTGTGTTTCATGATTCACTCCCTTATATATTTTCTCCTAGAAATGGAGCCCTTTTTCTTCTTAACAACAACACATTAGAAAAGCAAAACAACTCAATTTGTATATACTACATACAGGTTTCACAAAGCTCAATTACACGTCATACGGTGAGTTTACAATTAACCGGCAAGTTTAGAAGCAGGCTTATCGGCAAACACAACATATAACTTTTGCGATCAACCAATCCCTGGAAATCATGAAAACTAATCTACTTGCCATATTCATAAAAGAGGTATTTTATAAACTTGTCTATTATTTTATTGCAACCTCCCTGAATTCAAACCTTATCTTAATACCTAGTTTGGGTCAGAAACACTTCTGACACAAAACCACAATTTTATTTTTGTTCATACATCTCTTGTGACTTGTCTCAACCGAGAAGGCTTCAGCTATGTAGGCGTATGTATTGATTGTTTAGAAGCCTGTAAAGTATATAAGCTGCTGTCTGGTTTCGCATGTGAACTACTGAGCTGTGGCTAATTGTTCACACCTGTTCAGTATTACTTTCTAATTATGAGACACTAGCTGTACCCGCGGGCTTCGCCCCGTTTAACTTCATAAGCATTCGCATGGCTCATTCACGTCCTGGTTGAAGTTCGTTCGCTACGCTCACTCACCTTTAGGTTGGAGCTCGTTCGCTGCGCTCACTTGCCTTCAGGTTTGCTCGTTCGCTACGCTAACTCGCCTCCAGGTTGAAGTTCGTTCGCTACGCTCACTTACCTTTTGGTTGCAAATTAGCTATTGTCATAAATTAAAAAAAAATAATAGTGCTGCACCCTGTTGGTAATCCTTGTAACTTTTATGCTATTAAAGATCATAGAACAGAACCAACTTGTTTAATTGAAACAGCTGTTAAGATTCATTAATTCCTTTTAAATATGAAAAATCATAAGATTAACATGGGGAACTACAGAGCCACTGGGGCGGAGCCCGAAAGGGTTTTTGAGATAAGAATATGCTTTAATGTTAATCGGGAATGTGAGCTATCATCATGCCAAATTTCAGTCCAATCCGTCCAGTAGTTTATGCGTGATTGAGCAACACACACACACACAAACACACACACAAACATACACACAAACATACACACAAACTCACAAACTTTCAGATTTATAATATTAGTAAGAAAGATTAACATTTTTTGTCATTTATGATGGGCCAATGTACAATTAATTCAGTCAAATTTGGTATCTTGTTTGCTATTTTACTAATATTTTAAAATTTGAAGTTTTGTCTTTATTTGATAACACTGTATCTACTGAACTCATTGAGTACTTTTAGGTTAATAATTTTGAGTTCTCATTTAACAATTGGTTACTAGAGGTTAACCAATAGTAGCACTGTGTTTGAATTGATTTTCTAAAATACATTTAATCAGCAGATAATGGATAATACAGTTAAACCTCGTTTGTACGAACCTCAATAAAACGAAATTCTCGATCTGACGATTTTTTTCATCGCCTTGAAACTTTCATATAGGTCAATGCTAAAAACGCCTCTATACAGGGTGTCACAAAAAAGTGTGATGGGCTATACAGGACCTAATTCTACATGCAAAAATAAGTCAAAAATGAAGAATAAATTTTGTTGGATTTCGGCTTAGTTTAGCCGTAATCCGCCATTTTGTTTTTTGGGGAAAATATTTATTACCTATTTCAAAATCCCTTTGAGATATTTTTACGAAACTTGGCAAAATTTTTTACACTATAGTAAGTAACATTTTATAAAAAAAATTATTATTTTAACTTTCCAAATTTCAAAATGGTGGCCGTTTGAATTTTTTAATGCCAAATTTCATGAAAACCGGTACCTAAATCAAAATTTTGTAAGAGACAAAAGTTTTAGTATTTATTATGACAAATCCAACAAAACAAAAATGAATAAAATCGGCTCATAAATAAAGAAGCTGTGTTTATTTTAGTAATTTAGACTGAAATTACTTAATACGTTACATAAATTATTACATTACATTTAATACATTTTAATATTAATAATTTCAGTCTAAATTACTAAAATAAACACAGCTTCTTTATTTATGAGCCGATTTTATTCAATATTGTTTTGTTGGATTTGTCATAATAAATACTAAAACTTTTGTCTCTTACAAAATTTTGATTTAGGTACCGGTTTTCATGAAATTTGGCATTAAAAAATTCAAACGGCCGCCATTTTGAAATTTGGAAAGTTAAAATAATAATTTTTTTTATAAAATGTTACTTACTAAAGTGTAAACAATTTTGCCAAGTTTCGTAAAAATATCTCAAAGGGATTTAGAAATAATAAATATTTCCCCCAAAAAACAAAATGGCGGATTACGGCTAAACTAAGCCGAAATCCAAAAAAATTTATTCTTCATTTTTGACTTATTTTTGCATGTAGAATTAGGTCCTGTATAGCCCATCACACTTTTTTGTGACACCCTGTACAATGTAGTAATTAAGTTAAAACCCTCCATAAGACGAATTTGTTTGTGACATGGGCTAGGACTGATTAACCTCTATACAACGAATATTCTTAGGACAAAACCTCTACAAGACGAACGTGACCTCTATAAGACGAATTTACCATAATCTTAACCTCCATAGTACGTAGTTTTCAAAACAAACAGAAGCTTGTCTCAACATTAAACCCCCACCCATCCCTCCTCCTTCCTCATTCATTGTTCGGAGAAACCTTGGAGCGAGGAGAAACCTCTATAAGAAGAATAACAGCTGCATTAAACCTCGATAAAACGACCCTCTTTATTAAGAATACCTCTATAGTACGTATTTTTCCCGTACCCCTTGAAATTCGTCTTATAGAGGTTCAACTGTATTAGTTTTTACTTTCTCCCTCTACACAAAGTATAAATATGGAGAAAGTAGTTTTTTTGCCAAAATTTTCAAGTTTTATTTTGAGTGGATTTATCCGTCTTGGCCCTTCTTGGTTTTGGAAGTGCTGTGTGTGTGTGTCTGTATGTGTGGATGTGTCCAGAGCTACAGACTACACCTGTGGTCCGATTTTGATTTTTGTCCTAATCCATGGTATCTCCAGGCGTTTCTTTTAATTTTTTTTAATTTTGATTTTAAATGGTGATTTTCCTAAAAACCCATAAAATAACGGCAAAATCGCCTTTTCTCAAAAATGGCCCAAACGACTTTGATAAAAATTTAGTATGCTGTAGCTCTTTAAATTCTAAACAAAATGGTAGAACTCCCATTCCTGTAAAAATTGTTGTTCAAAAGTAAATTATACTATTTTTCCATAAAAAACCCCCCATAAAATAAGAGAAAATCGTATTTTTGAAAAAATACCAGTTTTTATTGAAATTCGCATTTGATAGCCTATCCTTATAATTCTTAACAACATAGTACAACCCCCATTGCTGTAAAAATTACGGTTCTAAAGTTATTGTAACTTATGTTATTTTCCCATAAAAACAACAAATGGTATTTTAGGGAAGAAGCTGGTTTTGATTGTAATTAATTTGTTAATGGTCCTTATAATTTAAAAAAATAGTGCAACCCGCCTGCTGAAAAAATTACGGTTCAAAGGTTATTGTAACTTTTGTCATTTTCCCTGTAAAATATCATAGATACTCGCACCACTCATGAGAAAGGTCGTTTACAAGCCAATGGGAGAAAGTATGTGTCAGATTGCTGATACAATTAATTTTTTTAAGTTACAATACCATGATCTGCCATGTGATTCTATTTTGAAGTTTAAGAAATATTAGTCAGCTGTGAAGGGACCAAGCTATATCAGTTCCTGAGTGGCAGCCAGAAATAACAACCGTCACTTGTTGTTGAAGCTGCAGAATATTCATCACTCATTGTCCAGGGTCGAATAATGGGCTTGTGAATAACAGGCTGTATCTATAGAATCACTTCGCTAATTGATATGGAATTGTACAATGTACATGTAGGCCTACAATTTGTAGTAAACGTTTTTGAAACTAAGTGTATTTTCACATTCGTGTGCGTTCATAGGGACATCGAATGTTGTTAATTGACAATATAAATTTTATTGCAAATGTATCTATAGATATATTCTTACAATGTATGAGAAATGTATTTGAACTACTTTGATTTTTAATAGTGATTTTCCCGTAAAAACCTATGAAATAACAAATTTTCACAAAAACGGCCTGAACGGTTTTGATTAAAATTTAGCATGTTATTGTCCATTTAACTTAAATAAATAATAGTACAACCCCCATTAATGTAAGAATTGTGGTTAAACAATTACTGTAATTTATGTGACTTTTCTATAAAAAATGTAAAATAACGGATAAATCTGATTTTGAAAAAAAACAGCTCAACCGATTTTAAATTTTAATACAAATTTAGTATGTTGTGATCTGTATGATTCTAAACAAAATGGTACAACCTCCATTGATGTAACAATTACAGTTTGAAATGTATTACAACTTTTATGATTTTCTCTTAAAAATATCATAGTTACCTCCATGTTTTACCCATAATAAAGGTTGTTGACAAGCTAATGGGAGAAAGTATGTGTCAGATTTCTGATACTGTTTATTATAGAGTCCAGAAGAGTTGAAAAATCATAATTTTTGTATCCAAACCTAGCTGAATTTCTTCTTCCGTTTAAGCCCCTAATTTCCTTGGTAGAGGTCCCCATTTTAGTATTATAGCTAAGGGCCCCAAATGGTCCCAGTCCAAGCCTGCCTACTATACCGGGTGTCCGAAAAATAACTCCCTAGTTTTGATAAACGATTGTTTATTGTAGAGAATATATATTCTTATATCTAATACATGAAATTAAAGAGGGTTTACTCAAGTTTATTTTGACATTAGTACACCTCGATATGTGACCCATTTGTAGCTCTACAGATATCTAACCGGTATTCGATCTCTCTCCAAGTGTTAGTTAACATATCAGGTGTCACTGATTCTACTGCAGCTACGATTCTTTGACGAAGATGGTCAATGTCACGTATCTTTTCTGAATAAACCAAGTTCTTAACGTAACCCCACAGGAAAAAATCCAGTGGTGTTATGTCTGGGCTACGCTCGTTTCCCGGCAAGATGGATGGGGAGAGCTGGCCCGATCGCGTGGCCTCCAAGAAGCCCAGACATAACACCACTGGATTTTTTCCTGTGGGGTTACGTTAAGAACTTGGTTTATTCAGAAAAGATACGTGACATTGACCATCTTCGTCAAAGAATCGTAGCTGCAGTAGAATCAGTGACACCTGATATGTTAACTGACACTTGGAGAGAGATCGAATACCGGTTAGATATCTGTAGAGCTACAAATGAGTCACATATCGAGGTGTACTAATGTCAAAATAAACTTGAGTAAACCCTCTTTAATTTCATGTATTAGATATAAGAATATGTATTCTCTACAATAAACAATCGTTTATCAAAACTAGGGAGTTATTTTTCGGACACCCGATATTTATAAGTTACTAGCTTTGCAACGGGAAGAGGACACAAAATAGAAACATTTTGATCTTTACATCAGTTGCATATAGTAATTACACATCCGCCAAAGCTTTTAGAAACAAAATTAAACATTTATGGCCTTAATAGAAAGGTTTAAATTATGATTTTTAAATCTCGTAAGTAGTGGATACCACCATTTTGGTTTTGATTAATTTTAAATCTTGTGTAGGCTGATATGAGAAAAACTGACCAAATTTTCGAATTAAACTTTCACATACGATTTACCTTCATCTCCCTTAATTACATATCTTTTTATTTATAATTGGCATTTTAAATTTCAATTTTGAAGTTGCAAAAATACTTATTATTAAATTTAAATGGACATTTTTTTTTAAATTTCACTCTTCTTCATAATAAATAACAAATCCTTCAATCTTCAGTTTCTTCACTCACAATAAATCATGAGCAAAACTAAGTCAGCTGTTATAAACTTTAGAAATATTCTTGTGCCTTATCAATACAGTCTTTTGAAATATTAAAGAAACTATATATATACTATAAAAAATGTTAAACAAATAATTTAGCAATAAAGACAGCAGACAAAACTAATATGATTATCAAAGCGTCGAGGACTAAAAATGTAATAGCAAATACAGTATATGTTTCATTGCATCTCTGATTCTACTCTACAAAAATATCAAGAAACAACTTAATATACAAACCAGTTCTTTTAATCAGTTCCATCATCCATTGCCTTTAAATTTTCACACTTACCATTAAGTAAACATAGGTAGTAACATATATTTTATTGATTTTATAAACAAAAGAACACTGTGTACTGCTTAGTTTTATGATACTTTCCTTGGTTTAATTTAATCAGTGGTGTGGCAAAACACAAATAATAAATTTATCAAATAAAGTAAATGTGAACTAAAAGCTATGTTAAGATAAATAAGAGTATTTTGTATTACCATTTGATAATTTAATATAGTTACACATATACAACAGATTTTAGAACACAAAATCAATGACGTACAATTTTGTTATTGATGATATTCTTTAGTTTAATTTAAGCATAGTTTTAGCAAAAAACAATAACTAAATTTACCTAAATATACATATAAAAAACCATGTGATGTGCAAGTTATGTTAAGTTAATCTAACACATGTAAAGCAGTTCAAATTTATTTAAAATAGCCTCCAAATTCATACAAAACATCTATAGGGATTGTAATTTTCATACTGTATCCATGAAAACATATCAATAACATTATTTTCATAACTGAGACGAAAAATCCAAAGCAGAGCCGGAGTTGATACAGCAACGGTTATAGAATTTTTTTTCTATAATCATTGACAGTTTTAGAATAAATAATCCATGATAAAAGGTTAGATTAAAATAAACCTACCTCATAGTTATGGAAAATATTATATTTAACTTCTTTGTATCAGCTGTCTGAAATTGTGAAATATGCAATTTAGCAGTTCTTCTTGTTTACATTGAATTGAATCAAATGTAAACAAACATTGTTAGTGTTCTAATCGCAGTCATGGAGACCAATCAATATTTACTTTTAAAATCCTCACCTCAGAACTGTAAAAGCCAAAGGGGCAAAGCCTACGGTCAGTATCAAAATGTGAATAGTCCTATAATGGTCCTTGGTATGTTAGCTATATTTTTGTAAAATATAAGCTTAGTTGGTTCAGTAGTTTTTGCACCTATTAGTAATACACATACAGACAGACACCATTAGATTTTTATATAATAGTATAGATATATGCTACATAAGTACGTATATCAATACAAAAGTGGAGGGTATTAATTTTGTTACCCTAAAACCGCCTAAATTTTGCGAGTTGTGGGGGGGGGGAGTGTAGTAACTAAATGCACAGCAAAATATTTTATGCATTTATCAAACACTTTGCATTGCCAAACAGGAAAAACAGCTGATTTCAATAATAGAAATAAATTGCAAACACTAGCACCAGTAGTGAGTAAATGGAGAACTGATTGCTAAAGAAAGTCCCACCCATTAACAGAAGTTTTGGTCTTCTCAAGGGTGTGTATATTTCTTCGCAAGTTAAAGCAAACTTGTTTTGTTAATTAACAATAAGTTTTGATGTACATTGTAAGTTTATAAATAATTTGTTTCTTAGATCGTTGTAATCTATTGATTTATTTATTACTTGTTGAGGATTAAAGATTTATTATTATTTTATTGTTTATTCAGAGCAAGGGCAAATCAGCTGATTGTTGTTTTTCTTGCTCTAAATTAAAGCTTGGGAAACAATTACTTTCTTTGATGTCAGCTGTTATTGAACATTGCAACTTTCTGTAAGGAGTGAAGGAGTGATGACAAAATAGTTCCAACCTGCTATCTACACAGAATCTCTAATGAAAGCAATTTCTCCTTGCGTTTTACAACATAGTTGTTATAGTTTGTTCCCCTCTCAGATTCTCACTCTCTGTTTTTTCCCAGACGCTGATCGTCCAGGTGAAGTGTTTTGAGGAGATCATCAACATCGGCTACACAGTTTATCGTATCCACGGTCTTCCTTGGTTCCGATCTCTCTCCTGGTATTTCCTCATCGCCTCCAACTACTTCTTCTACGGAGAAAGTTTGGTCGACTACTTTGGTGTTGTCATCAACCAGACGGTAAGATCTTGTTTCTTGCATGATTTCCAATAAATTAATCTAAATCTCTGTTCTGAACTAGCTTTTATTTTACATTTAAGGTTTCTAGAAGTTGAGATAAGCACATACTTAAAATGAATGTTCAAAACTGTTAGTTTACTGTTATGTTTTACCAAACTAACCTAACTACCACTGTGATTTAAACACATAAATCAATAGGCCAACCCAGGCATTTTTTTAGCAACAAACCGTGCATCAGGCTTGTTAACAAAGAGAATTATTTATCTCATTAGGTTTACTGTATAAAATAGTTACAAATCCACTTATTATCCAAAAAACCAAACCTAACCAAACCAAACCTAATTGATCGCCTAAGTTAGATCCAGGTTAAGGGTAAAAATTCCTGAAGACATCTAGCACAAAAAATAAAAAGTGGTGATGAACCTACTTACCTAATGTAAGATACAACAAATTTGTCATGGCCATTTGATTGATCGGTGTTGTATATTAAAAAAAACACACACACATGAAATAGATGTACAGTAAAACCCCTGTTAATCGATGGTTGAAATTTTAGTTTAAAAGAATTAAAACATTAGTTTTTTATGCTATTTATGTTACTGGCATCTTAAATTTTATAACCATATACAAAAAATCTATTACTTAGAATAACAAAATTGTTTTCTGAGTTTTATCTTTATTACAGATGATATATGTGTTGTCGTCTCCTCCATTACATTCTGTTGTCTAAGCCGGGCCAACTACCTGTGCTACTGCAGACGATTCCCATTGCCTAGCCAATTTGCCAATTGATTTGAATTTTTTATTTATATTTGAAAAGTTAGCAATATACAGTACCATATCTGTATATTTCAGGACTACCTGAGGGTTCTGGTCACCTATCATCGGTTCATCTCGTTCTGTCTGTACGTGGTCGGGTTCGTGTGGTTCGTTCTCTCTCTAGTCAACAAGTACTACATGAAGCAGTTCTCCCTGTTTGCCTGGACACACGTCGCTCTGCTCATCGTCGTCACTCAGAGTTATCTCATCATTCAGAACATCTTTGAAGGGCTTATCTGGTGAGTAGTTCTAAACTGTTTGCAGTTCATTAATGTGTTTTTCACGCCAAACCCCAGTCTTGATGCCTTAGACTATTGGCAGAACAGGACATCCAGCTCCATGTATAAGTTGTCGCGACTCAAAATGGACGGAAAATAGAGTCCAGAATATGCTAATGTAAATATCTAATTTCTGTCAAATATGTAAATTTTAACTGATGGGGTGCCTTATTGCAAGCTGTAGAATAAAACATGTCACATAAACTATCTCAGACAAATAAACTAAGGGGAAAATATAATTTAGGACTGCAATGCATTCTGTGAGTGACTCATTAAATTATGTTCTTAGGCTCCAACTAGTCCTTATAGATGGCCTGTCTTTCTATTTTTTTAATTTATCTATTACTTTTCTCTTCAACTTGCTCTCTGAAAAAGTTCTACATCTAGACAAATTGTCAGTGTTATGTTGTGTACTTTTATTTATCATGTAGCCCCTGTACTATGATGTTATTATAGAGCTAGCTAAAAATGCCTAGTTGTATCAATAGTCTATATATAACCTAATGTCGACCTTTTGTGAGATGTTATCATTAATGGGTGTCCAGTAACAGTGTTCAAAATATCTGGAATTCTGAAAAGGGATAGTTTGTGTTCAGCTAGATAACCTGAGGAAGAGTCCAAGGGCTGATATGTCCACAATAAAATGTTACAAAACATTAGACTTACAATACATCCTATAGTATAACTATAACATTGAAGAGAAATACCCTGTGAGAAATTACACTTCTTTTTGAGACTATTTCTGATAGCTCAACCTAATGCTTTAAAGACCTGGGACAAATTACTAAGTCAAAGTATAGAAGTGGTAATATACCTATGTCAGCTAATATAGTCAGTCCATCAGTTCTTGTGTATTGCAAAGACAAACAGGCACACTTATTTTTTTTACTGTTAAACATTGCTACCTGTGAAGGCTATGTGTTAAAAAATGTATCTAAACCCTTAACCGAGCAGAGCTGATCTGAATTGTAAATACTAAATGATCCCTTTGCAGCACAAGCATTTAATTAATGTTTGCTTTTTGGATATTAGCATCATGAGAGATGATAAATAAATAATGAATATATTCCTATTATTTTGAAGTTTGTATACCACAAAACAACAACGTTTCTATAAATTGGTTTAAATACCTGCTTCTGTGTAATCCAATAATCGCAATTAATGTCACGCAACTAGTTTCCACTTCATGAAGAAGTCATCTTCAGGCTCCAGTGGATGTCAAAATAATCACTTCATCAGAAGATCGTTGATATACATATGGTACATTCACACACGTCTGGACGCCACATTCACCCGGTCGTGACGCATCATCCTAAAGTTACCATTAATTTGTCTTATTCTCATTGTAAATGTACCTTTTTTATGTAACTATGTCTGTGTTTGTGTGTGAATGTACCATATGTGTATCGACGACCTCCTGATGCAGTGATTATTTTGACATCCTCTGTAGCCTGAAGATGACTTCTTCATGAAGTCGAAACTAGTTGCATGACATTAATTGCGACTATTGGATTACACAGAAGCAGGTATTTAAACCAATTTATATATTCAGCGTAATCCGGAGGCTAACATAAAAAATGAAACGTTTCCTTAACTATCTAAAGGTTTATGATGTTTGTAACTTTAAATCTGTGATGTTCAAGGTTCATTGTACCAGTGTCGATGGTTGTCTGTAACGATGTTTGGGCGTACTTGTTTGGATTCTTTTTCGGCAGAACTCCTCTGATCAAACTGTCACCGAAGAAGACTTGGGAAGGATTCATTGGAGGAGGTTTTGCTACCGTCATTTTCGGACTTGTGGTAAACAGTTTTTTTTTATTAATTATTAAAATACTAGGGAATCTCTTTGAAGATTGATTTACGAATGCAGTTTGTTGGGTCAACCTAAGAAATAAAGATTTATAGATAAAAAGTGTTGCATAATGAACATTGTTTTTGTGTTATCTAATTGACTTAAAAATCTGTCTTTCCCTCCTTAATTGATAGAAGTAAATTTTTTTCAGGTGATAAGTACACCTATAAGGGTATGATGAAAAAGTATAACTGTCTAGTGCTTTGTCCGATATCATTAGTTTTGCATAAATGCTGATAAATAGAAGATTACATGATAAAAACATGATGCAGTCAGGGAAATTTACAACAATAGTTTAGGAAAAGTCATGCAAATCAAATCACTCTTATCAAAATATCACAACATTACTTTGTTTGTAGGTATCCTACTTCATGTGCCAGTACAAGTACTTTGTGTGCCCCATTGAATTCAGCGAGAAGCTCGGCCGCATGACCATGGAGTGTGAGCCGTCCCCGTTGTTTCGTCTGCAAGAACTCAGACTGCCAGAGACTTTCCATAACATCTTGGCGTTTGTGAGTTCATACATGATTTTAAAATTTAATACTAAGTGATTTTGATAGCCTACATATACAAATCTGTTTCAAAAATAAATATTGTTGGTACAGTAAGAGTGCCACTATTCCTGTACGGATTAGCGGGAAGTCGGGATAAGCAGATTGTGTAATAATTGATCAGGGCAATCACGGATGATGTTCACGGTTTTGCTGCGATCGCAGAAGACGATGACGATGCAATCGCAGAAGATGTTCATGATTTTGCCGTGACTGGAAAAGATATTTTCCATTTTTCCATGACCGTACAATTTTGTAGTGACCCTGATTTTGTGGTGATGGTGGTAGTGGTGTTTTGTAACCTCAGAAGACTCTAACAACTATGCCGTTACCGCAACGAGCTTTTGTTTTTGTGATCTTTCGACATGACCACAGAAGATGTTCTCATTTCCACCATGATTGTGGAGGATGTTCTCGCTTTCATGTGTGCTTCGTACTAACTTCTTAAATAAATATAACAGCCTCTAAACTTAAGTTTGAATAGGCGGATTTCCCAAAAGCGGGACTCTGTTGTATTGACATGTCTAAGCCATCAAGAATATTTCTTGTCTAATAGGAAAATTAAAGTATTTGTTTGTAGTTTATACCAGCTATGTTTCACATAATAACATTGTTCAGAAAACAAATCACAGCGTATTGACCTACTTATTAAAGTTATTAAATATAAATACTTATTTATAATACCAATATAGTATAGATTAACTTTATTACAATTTTTTTATATTTTGTTCCAGTTTGGCTACGAAGGTGCAATAAGGATCTATCCCTACATGTACCACTCTTTATCCTTGTCAATCTTCAGTTCAGTCATTGGACCATTCGGAGGATTTTTCGCCAGTGGATTCAAGAGAGCTTTCAAGATAAAGGTAGGTTGAATTAACCGGTACATTTTTTATAGGACATTTTGGTTCTAACAGTGTTTTGTAGACCTTGGTACCATCCCAGCTAGTCTTAGTCAATTAGTGAGTTTAAGTCTTGTTCACCATTATTAGTGTTATACTAGGCGAAACCCGTCGAAATCGACGGTTACTTTCAAGGCTTACGTTAATTAATCTAACTGCGATGAATTGGGTGAAATATACATATTTTGAGCATTTAGCAATAAGTGTAAAACAATAATGATATTAATTGCATTAGTTGCCAAATTTGGTTGATCATTCAATGAATAAAATATTCCCCATACCGTACGTCATCGGAGTTATTATTAGTATGTTATATGGTATCTCTTCCTTTGGAAGAACCTTTAAATAATATTAAAATCGTATTGGTGGATCTTTTGTAGTTAAACACTTCCGTGATTTCATCAGTGTAATATGATTTTATTTCAAAAGAAAATATTTTTTGGGAAGACATATTCTAACTTCAAAGGGAGGTATATCCGTTACAGTGTAAGTTAAATTTTTCCTTCGTCACGTCGCGTCAGTTAATATCGTACTTCTGTGCCAATGAATGAACCCTCTAGCATAGTTTTGAGAAATTGATTGTGGGGTTACCGTTAAAGCTGAAATTCCTTGACATGGGGGATGTCAGTTAGTTTTCTCAGCCTTATCAATAACATAAAATTGTCAATATAATCTCTCTACGGAATGTTAGATGTAGTGGAATAGTTAAAGTGAAGTTGGCTTTTATTCTTTAACTGTTAGGGGCCTCCTAGTTTATACAGGGTGTTGAAAATGTCTGGAACCAACATTATATCTGGTGAGTTGTTAAAGAAAAACAACTGATATTTTGTGTACGGATATACTATGGTTTTACCTATCTTTTGGTGCCTTATGAAATTTTTTACCACTTATAGGGAACATCCTGTGGAGGATGCAGTAAAAAGTTTTAATGGAAGCCTATGGTAAATGATACATCATTTTAAAGGCAATTTTTTTCTGAGTAAGGAGCCACAAGTTTCATCTCAAAAGGGCCACCCTAGCAAAAATGGCGACTGTTTGAAATTTAAAAACCCACTTATAGGGAACGTCCTGTGGAGGATGCAGTAAAAAGTTTTAATGGAAGCCTATGGTAAATGATACATCATTTTAAAGGCCACTTTTTTCCGAGTAAGGAGCCACAAGTTTCATCTCAAAAGGACCACCCTAGCAAAAATGGCGACTGTTTGAAATTTAAAAACATTGCTATCCGAACAGTCGCCATTTTTGCTATGGTGGTCCTTTTGAGATGAAACTTGTGGCTCCTTACTCAGAAAAAAAAGGCCTTTAAAATGATGTATCATTTACCATAGGCTTTCATTAAAACTTTTTACTGCATCCTCCACAGGACGTTCCCTATAAGTGGTAAAAAATTTCATAAGGCACCAAAAGATAGGTAAAACCATAGTATATCCGTACACAAAATATCAGTTGTTTTTCTTTAACAACTCACCAGATATAATGTTGGTTCCAGACATTTTCAACACCCTGTATAGTCTTGCGGCTTCGTTGGCAACAAATAATGCAAATGACATAGCAATGGGACATTTCCAAACAGCAAAAATACTGTAAATTGGCTGTTACGTATATATTGACGTTTACATATTGTCAATCAACGTATCTTATAAAGGATTATGTGATTTAGTTTAAAAGGAATATGACCTTTCTGTCATGACAGTAGCTGCTTAAATAGTATTTTATCTTTGTACCATATTTTACAGCCAAAATGTCGTGTTATTTTCAACAATGTTACCAACCCAGTGCGCCAAAGTTCGTAATATAGGCAGGTGCAAATAATTTGCCAAGATGGGTACCATTTTAGGCAAGGTTTCTATGTTTGGATTTTATTAGACACGATAAGAGCAAATATTGCTACATAAATATTTAGGGATGGACGAGATTGGATTTTGAGTTCGAGACGAGACGAGACGAGATTTTTTATTTCTCATAAAATTTTGAGACGAGATCGAGACGGGATTTCCCTTCTCATACACAACGGGAAGTGCACGTTCGGAATTTTTACCTGATTTTGTAACATTGTTAGATGACTGTTTAAATAAAAAATAATGATAATAGGCAAGAATATTTACAATCTTTTATTAAAAAACATCAGTATAACATTTTTTTATTAATCACGCCTAAATTATTAAAAATGCCTACGATGAGGAAACATAGTGATATCAGTTAGGATAGAACTGAAGACTAGACCTTATCCTAAAATAAAATAAATCATAAAATAAAATATTAATTTTTATAAAATAGTTACTTGTTTTGACTTTTTTTATAGTAATAAAACGTTCCTCACACTGCTAACACTTAACAAAACTTCTCAAATGTTATTAAAATAATTAAAGTAATATTTACATTTGAAGAATTAATTAAATAAGAACGCCTTCACAAAGGAAACGCAACTACAACACGCTCCTGTATTGCGGGTATTGCATTGACTTTCTGCAGGCGTTTTTAATTTTTTTTTTTAATTTTTTTTTTAATTCTCGTCTTGATAAAAATCTCGGCCAAAAAAAAATCTCGTCTCGTGTAACGAGATTTAAAATTTCCCGAAAATTTCCCGAAATTTCGAGACTTGACCATCCCTATAAATATTTGATATGTGTAGAATAATATGATAAAATGTAGGCAAAAGTGGTGAAAAAGGTAGACACCAACCCGTACAATAGATATAAGATAGTTCAATAAGAAATAATTTAATAATTGCTGTGATAGGATTTTCCACTGATTTCGTAATGGAACGTTATATTGCAAAAAAAAAATGACATGATAAAGAAGAAAATCAATTTCTAGATCAGAAAATAATATTGCAAATACTTATTTGGTAGAATTCAGTAACTCCCAATATGTCTGTTGTTTGAAATACAATTTAAAAATGAACAGCTGTTTCATTAAAAAGTATTATTCACATGGCCAAAATGTAAACAACTCTGTGGAGGGATCTTTAAAGGCTTCTGGGGCAAAGTCCTAAGGGATTTTGCTTAGGTTTTTCTTTTGATAACTCATCTACAGACCAAGACCTTTCTTTGGACACCTCTACCAAGTTTATACGCCCAGCCGTTCTCTCAAATTAGTGAAGACAAAGTTTCCAATTAAATATTTAGATTCCCCCATGTTAATCTTATGGGAGAAACTCCAACTTTGATGGCCTGTGGGGCAAAGCCCGAGGATTTTTATTACAGGAATTTGTGAAAGAGGGCGTCTACACAAAAAATATTTATTTTGACACGTCGTTTGTAAAAATCCGTCCATTATTAACGGAGGAGTAGTGTTTTGTAGAAATTGCCTTCACGTATTATATATAAGGATTTTGTTTCACATATGTTCTCATAGTTAGGATCCTAGTGTAGGAAAAGTGTTCTTCCACAAGGTATCTTTACTATGAAATGCTACCATTTAGATTTAGAATAACTCTTACTTAACTCTTCCATCCAAACTGAGCCATTATGAACTTGGCCAAGTGAATAACTCTTAACACTTACATATGTTTCAGGACTTTGGAGACGTCATCCCCGGCCATGGTGGCATCATGGATAGGTTTGACTGTCAATATCTGATGGCGACTTTTGTCAACGTTTACATTTCATCTTTCATCAGAACTTCCTCACCTCAGAAGCTGCTTCAGCAGGTAAGCTACGATGTACGTTTCTCCTGTTAAATTTAGCTTCATTTAAGTGTGTAAAAGATGTTACAGCACATAAAAAGGATCGAAGAAGGAAGCATATGGCTACAATCTGGCTCGAGAAATGAATCGGTAAGAAGTAGAGATGTGTCGAATTTATCAAAACTTATTGATTCTTGATACTGATACCTATACCTGAAAAAAAATTTCTTGGTACTGATACTGTACCAATTTTATTTTATGTTAACAAATTTTCTATATGGATTCATCATACTACACCAACCGCTGTCCTTATGCTTAAACAAAGTAATTTTGGGGCTACTGGGTGTTTATTAAGTAATGAGCAAGAAGAGAAGTTATTGAAATAATTTTTTATTTAGTCTGCAAATGAACACAAGTGTTTAAAGTAAATTATAACATATGGTTTATTGTTTTTATAATGTTTGTTTACTTGTTGTAATGTATTCAGTTTGTGATTTTGTCAGTAAAACTACAAGGAATTATTTTTGTTAAAAGCAGATTTTTATTTAAAGAGAAGTAGTTTACAAAGACATTAGAAGTAACAGTAGATAGTAAGTAGTTATTGTCATCATATACCAGGCAACAGGAACGTTATCGTCTTCTTCCACCATTGCAGCAAAATTCTGGTCATCTCCAGCGACCGTGGAGACAGTAGACTTCATTGTTGTCTGCCGCGGTTATATAAATGGCGAAATGTTATTGTCATCTGCAATTGCGGCAAAATTCTGTTCATCTACTGTGGCGTTATGGGCATCATCATCATCTGCTGGGGTCACGGAAACGTTATTGTTGTCACACGCTATTACGGCAAAATTTTGATCATCTCCCGCGGATGTGTAGACATCTTGGTCCGCTGCAGCCACGGAAAAGTTATCGTTGTCAGCGATGGCGGCAAAAGTCTGAATTTTTCTATAGCTGTTGTCACCAAATGCTGTCAGTTTTACTGTAGTTTGAAGCTGAGGCTCCGCCTATGTAGCATCAAAAAAGGGTCAGAGAACTTTCTCTATATTGGAGAATTCTTTCAATTGGGTTTAACTTTAATATTTAAATGTTGCAGGTATTCAGCCTGAAACCTGAACAGCAGTTGCAACTGTTCTACACCCTAAAGACGGCGCTGGAAGACAGAGGTATTCTGACGACACCATAGACATCTGCGTCGTTCTGGCCAGACACGTCGTCGGCCCAACCACTCATCTTTTGATCTTTCCCTCTTGATCTCATTGGGTATTGCTAAAGAGGTGATTGTGTGTTGAAAATCACACAAGGTTAACATTCTAAACTTAGGTGACTTTTATGTTCTTCCATGACAACCCTGTGGAATATTAGTGCAAAATGTTATCTTTAGTAAACATTTTTTCACCATTTGATGATTAAAATCAAAATGTTTGCTTTGAAAACTAAAATATTTTAAGTGTAAAAGTTTTCCAGTTTTTTAACATCGAATGTATGGATAAGGTAACGTTTAATAAACAATGTTTCTGTTAAGGTTATTTATTTTGTTGGTGTTCTAAGTTAACTTATTTAACCTCGGGTGATTGGAAGTGGTTGGGCGTTTCTCTCAGTATTTAACTCTGTGTTGTTTCTCGTCAATCGTTGTGTGTCCAAAGAACAATCTATTTCCGTGTTAGTCAGCTGTTCACGGACGTATCGTGTCGATGTATATATTAGTGAATATTTTGTTTAGAGACTAACATTCCAGGTTTGTTGGTTTCCAAAAGAGCTTTTGTATATTTTTTAGTTTAAGTTTCACTCAGGTTACCGTTACCGTACATTTGTTGATTATCAAATGTTTTCAATCACTATTTTACTTTTGCCTATCTAAGAAGTTTATTTGTATCAATGTTATTTTATTTTGGTAATTTTTTTAAACACCGTTTGCCTGGTGGGGTTTACACTCATTCTAGTTTTTGTGGTTATGTACCATAGAATATGTATGGTTTCAATACAAGTTATGGCTAAATAAGCCTTTAATTTGAAAACATTATGTTTCTGAGATACTTTTTAATTTAATAAACTTGACTTGTATAAATAAATTTGATAATTCCTTTTCAAATTTAAATAATTTAAAATTAATTTTTAAAAAGTATTTAGATAAAATCAACATCTACTGTTGGCATTCTTAAACAAGGTTAATGTAGATTGGCGAATTTTAAAACCACAATATATTGAAGTGTTTCCATTAAAAATAATATTCCAATGGTGGTTGGAAAATCATAAAAGCATTTGAAAAATGTTATATAGTTCTTGGTTTAGCATTAACGCTCAGGTCGTTTTCGAAGCGGCTGAACTATAGCAAAGTGTTTTCCATTTTATTTTTAGACATCTTGCCTCTTGTTCTTGTTTTGTCCTAAAATAGTTTTGTGTTTGTCACTAACAGAAATATATATGTTTATTTTTTATATTTTTATTGGTGCAATATCGGACTATTTTTTACTTTGTTTTATAAGATTTTTCACTGAGGAGAAAAACTGTTGTGTGTGATTTTTTCTGACTTTTCAAGTGCATTAGAAACTATTTCATCGATTTAATTGCATCCCTTCCCTAATTTTAGCCAATTGTTGCAGATTTGAAGTATTGGATTTACAAATATTTAATAAAATAAAAGATATTTATATTTGTTAATTTAAAACTGTTAATTGACCAGTGCCTAGTTATTAACATTACATATTTTGCATTTAATTTAGTATCCAAATTCCTAAGTAAAGCTAATCTCTTAAATAAAATCAAATAATTTTTTTCAAGAAATAATGTTTAATTAATTTTAAAAACTGTATAAAAGTCTGCAAAACTGATTACTTAAGTATGTCAATGATGATTTAAACTTGAAGTATCTTATAAACCAATAATTGAGTTATAAATAAAACTTTGGTTAATTGTTTGTGAAATAAATCAGCAATAGCGTTTTCAATCACTGTTATATTTATTTAGCACGTATAACAACCTGGATTCTGAAAGAAAAGGTGGTGCATGTGGTAGGCTCTCTGTTAGTGTTATTTTATGGATCAGCTGGAAAATGTCCATGTAGCTGTTGATCGGCTAGCAAGTTTCTATATAGCCGGAGTAGTTGAACAGCTAGCAAGTTTCCATACAGCCGGTGCTGTTGATCAGCTGGAAAGTTCCCATGCAGCCGATGCTGTTAGTATTTATCTCACCATAACCAAATGCAATTCTATATTCCTGTTGTATGTAGATATATTGTATTGTTACAATGTTTAGTTACTTTTGTTGTTAATAGTTACCACAGAAATGATGTATATGTGAGAAAATAAATAGATGTTTTTTGAAAATCATGAAGTGTCAGTTCATGCCTTTAGTTTTGAATTGGTTTATCAACTTTCTGCTTGAAATTTTGTGTCATTGCTACGCCAGTAGCTTATGATAGTATCTAAATCGTACAGTTGTTATGATTTTTTTCTTGTAGTTTTGTGATCTTTTGGGTATACAACTTCAAATTTTACTATAGTGGTTTATATTACATTGTTACTGTCCAAAACAATCCTTTGTAGTTTACTAAGACTATACTACAGCTGTTTCATGCTTTTTTGTTTTGTTGTTTCTGTGTTATGTGTCATGTTATTTGCATACTAAACTTTTGAGGAACTCCACCACGAGGAATATTTAATGCCATTTCGACATTCTTCTGACTGGTGATGTCTTAGTAAACTATAAAGGATTGTTTTGGACAGCAACAAGGTAATCTATAATTAATTTGAAACTGTTTTTCTTTGTCACAGCTAATTTGAGAGAATGGCTGGGCGTAGAAACTCGGTAGGGGTGTCTAAAGAAAGGTCTTGGTCTGTAGATGAGCCATCAAAAGAGAAACATGGAAAATTTCCTTGGGGCTCTGCTCCAGTGGCCTCTAAATTCCCATCCCATGTTATTCTTATGGAGGAAAAACGGGGTTTTTGTCACAGCTAATTTGAGAGAACGGCTGTGTGTAGAAACTTGGTAGGGGTGTCTAAAGAAATGTATTGGTCTGTAGGTGAGCCCTCAAAAGAGAAACAAGGTAAATTTCCTTGGGGCTCTGCCCCAGAGGCCTTTAAAGTTCACTCAGCAGATCTGTTTACATTACGACCATATGGATCATTTTACACTACTACTTTTAATGAACCAGCTGTTAATATTAAAATTGTACTCAAAGGTCTACTGAAACTGTCAAAACTAAATGTTTACACATTATTATTTATGAGTTAGTTCCAACAATACCCCCGCCGCAGCAAACCTGCAGACTAAGCGAATTTCCATTAACCTGATTGGATTTACACTAAAATGCCTCCATAAAAATAGCACATTTATTTCCTATTTGAATAGAATTAGTTTAACGAGTACTTAGGTTTGCTGCAACAGGGAGGGTAAAAAAGATTTTTTTATAAAATGATAATAGCTTAGTAAAAAATAAAAGTATTTTCCAAAATCAATCAAAATATGTCCATAAACAAGCAAACTACAACAGTTGACTTATTCTCCATAAGAATAACATAGGAATTTTAAAATTACAATTTTTTTGAACTTTCTCCGTAACAATTAGGCGCATAATAACGCTTCAATATACTAAATTATTTGTTTTGTTGCTCTACAAAATGGTTTAAAAAGAAATTGTGAAATTTTGTGTTTTTAGGGTCAAAAATGGGAAAAACCTATTTTTACCCCATAAACCCCCGTTCCCACAGTCTGATCATGCTGGTTCGCGAACTCATTCAAGTTTATCCCGCCTTACACCTTCAAACCAAATTTTATCAAAATCGGACAAAAATTACTCAAGTTATCAAGCGGATGGACACATGTATATATATATTTATATTAAATAAAAAAGAATATAAAAAAAAAGGGTACTCATGTTATTTTACATATTATTTATTAAATATTTATATATATATTCTTGAGAAGATCTTGATAGAGTTTATGATGAATGAAACATGAAACATTGCAAATTTTCGTTTAATACAAACGTTTTCAAGCAAAGAGAATGAAAAATGTAAAGATGAACAAAACTTTGATATATAAAAATTTGAACGAATGGTGTTTTTGGCCTCTGGGGACATCAAAATGAAAAAGTAAATCGGTCCCGGGCTTAGGTCTTACCATGAGACCTACGGTAATAGCTACTTCCCTATAGGGAAATTCGCTAAAATGAGGAATTTATGATACGTTTTAAATGTTTTGTTCAAAAATCTATGCTTTATTGCTTTAACGAAATTATGAAATCAGTGCGACATATCAGTTTCAAAGGAACATATAATTATTCCTTATCGGGTTAGCTTCTTATACATATTGTAAGGTTCAAGAATATTATTGAATTCAAGAAAGGAGACCAGAAATTCATTTATTGGTATAAAAGTTTTTGATAATCGGGTTGAAAATTGTGTCATAGATGAGTACGTTGGGAATGAGAGCTGTGTTCAAGTTTTGGAATAGACTAACTACGGATTATGTTTCATCTATGGTTTTGGGGAAGTAGGTAGGCTAAATTAATGTCAATTCAGGTATTTAAAAAAAATTGTACAGGGTTTTTACTTTGATGTACACATCTAGCTAGGTCGAACAACGCATCTAAACCTCAATACATACAAAACATTCGGAAACACAACAGTGCCATCACATCTCATCGCATTTGCATAATTTGTTACCAAGGCTGGACTAGGTTATGGATTTGGTTCCGCAAATGTTCAAGCGTACAATTGGTCAAATTTCCTAAAATTATGGTTCATTCCATCCACGAAATACATGCACAGCTTTATGTGATCGATATGGCCATTGCAAAACTACCCCATAAGTTAATCAATTAGCAAGTAAGTACAGGATGATTAAATACATGGGTCGATGTGGCAAGAGAAGGAATTAAAATTGTTTGGATCGAAGTAAGAATGTTACTGCTTTCTGGAGAATCAGATATTTTTATCAAATACAAAAAGAAAAAAGATTTAATATGCCTCCCGCTGATAAAAGTCTGTATTTTTATGACCAAAGGTGATGATTCACTTATACAATCCAAATACGATCTGAATGATTTTCCCAAAGCAGATAGAACCAGTTATTTTAGTAATATTGACTCTTTCCGTCAGATGGCAGACCAATTATATAAACTCCTTTCCCCATATAGTGAAAGAGGCTTTAACATGAATAAAAGTCATGAACAAGAAACAATTAATTGTAAGACTCCTGAAAATCCTTTTGGGTGACCTAAAGCAGATGAAAGGACAGAAAATATAGAATTCAACGAATTCATCAACCACATTTTTTAAGGTCCACTATCGTCTTACTCATAATTATGTTTATCCTCCCTAAGATTTTAATAACTTCTTTCTATCCATCGCAGTTAGCTGAATTTTTGTAAAAACCTCAAGAGTAACCGTCGATTTCGACGGGATTCACCTAGTATAAAGATCATTAATTTAAAACGATCCAGAGGCCAATCCATTATTAAATTTAAATTTATTTTGCCCACCTGTTCAACATATGTAGGATACTGTAGTTTTAACAGTCATCTTTGGATGCAGGTGTTTAGGATATAAGTGTAACATAAGATCACAAGGGGGGGTTAGGATTGTTAAGAGTATGGATGGAAAGAGTCCGAACTTGCACAAGAAACTCTAAACTTTACACTATGTACACAAAGCATTAGAATATTCACTGTCACTGACAGCATTTTCAACTAAGGAAGGTAGAGTTTTTCATAACAATCTTAGGTCACCATTAAACCTGAAAAAACTCATCTTTAGTTAGACTCTTTCCCATTTAGGTTAGCACTTAAATTTATATTGATTTTACCTTATTATTATCTTGTTACTGTAACTGATGATGCCTATTGTAATCATTGTATTACTCAATGGAGAATAAACTTCTTGATTCTTGAAGTATGCTATCCTCACTAAAAATGACGTTGGATGTAGTTTATTTTATAATGATATCCTAAGATATCCTGACAAAGACCAAATGCCTGCTAAACTAGTTCTAGACAAATTTTATAATCTCAACAGTGTAAAAGCTCAGAGTAATATTAGCTCAGATTCATTAAAAAACAGCGATACTTACAGTAAATTTAATTTAGTAATGCACTACAATTGTCAAGGGTTAAATTCTACTAAAATATCAGAGCTCAATTTATTTTTATCACAGTCCAAATTAAATATTAAAGTCATGTCATTAAATGAACTTTGGTTAGATAATGATTCTATTTCTTTACTCAATACAATAGATAATTTTAGAATTGCTGACTCTTATGTAAGAAATAGTAGCCTAAGGGGTGGTTCATGTATATTAGTTGATAATAATTGTAAATACTTAACTGTACAGGAGTTTTCTTATTTAAATGAAGATTTTATTTTTGAATGTTCTGCTATCGAACTTGTAGATTTCAATTCAGTATTTTTTTCCATTTATACAGTGCCAAATTATAATTCAAGTAAATTGTTTTTGGACAAACTTGAAAAGCTACTTGTTAGTTTACAAAAAAAAGCCAAAAGGAAAAATGTTTTTATAACAGGGGATTTTAATATAAACATTTTAAAGGATGATGCAATCACAAGTAGGTTTAAGGAAATTGTTGAATGTAATGGTTTCTGTTTGCAGTTTAATGAGCCAACTAGAATAACTGCCAATTCATTTACTTGTATAGATAACATGATTACAAAAAAAATGTATAAAGTAGACCACAAATTGAATAATGATTTAGGTTTATCTGACCATAACGCCATATTCCTGAGCCTCCCTGGGCAATATAAGAATATATTGACTACTGGTAATAATAATAATACAAGTTCCTATACCAAAAGAATAATTTCAAATAGAAAAATTGATGAATTTTGTACATATTTAAACCAAAATATTAATTTTACATTTGATCCAGTCCTGAACCCAAATGAAAACTTTAGTAACTTTTTAAGTGATTTTCTTTTGACTTTTAATTCTATATTTCCTCCAAAGTTTCTTAAAAATAATAGTAATAATTCTAAAACCAAGTCTTTCTCTGTAAACTGGATTACTCAAGGTATAAAAATTTCAAGTAAAACAAAACGACAATTGCACATGCAAGCCAAGCTCAGTAATGACCAACAGTTTATTACATATGTTAAGCATTATAAAAACATATTTAACAAAGTTGTAAAAAAAGCAAAATTACTAGCGAATAGCAATTTTATAAAAACATCAGAAAACAAAACTAAGGCAGCTTGGCAAATTGTAAATCAAGAGCTTGGCAATACAAACCAAAAACCAAAAGAAAGAATAGTTTTGAAAGATACAAATGGTTATGAGCTTGGTAATCCTGGAACTATTGCTAAAGTTTTTAACAATTTTTTTTCGAATACAGTAAGTAACTTAAATGTTCAAAAGGCTACTGTTAATGGAGTCCACGCTTCAGTGAAACATATCTGTAATGATAATGGGATATCATTGTGCAGCCTCAGGCTAACTAATGTGGAGGAAATCAAAAAGATTGTTTTGTCACTAAAAAACAAATCATCCGTTGGCTGGGATGAGATTCCAATTAAATTGATAAAAGCCACTGTTAATATCATTGCTGAACCTTTATCTCAAATTATTAACCAGTGTTTAATACATGGAATTTTTCCGGATAAACTAAAACTTTCCCAAATTTCACCAATATTTAAAAAGGGCCTAAAATCGGATATTAACAATTACCGTCCAATTTCTGTATTGAGTAATTTTTCTAAAATATTTGAGAAGGTCATAAATTTGAGATTGGTTAGTTATTTTGAAAGCAATCATCTATTTTATAACAAACAATTTGGATTCAGGAAAAATTTAAGCACAGGTTCTGCACTAACACAGTTTATAAATGAGGTTACCCAGGCTTTGGACGGGTCTCAGGCTACAGCTGGTGTTTTCTGTGACCTGTCCAAAGCTTTTGACTGTGTTGATCACTCAGTCCTTCAGCTCAAGCTGAGTGATTATGGTATTAGGGGAAGTTGTCACTCTCTTTTGAGTTCTTACCTTTCTAATAGAAAACAAAGAACTGTAATAACACTGGATAAGATCAAGTACTATTCGCCATGGGAAAACCTATCGGCAGGTGTGCCCCAAGGTTCAATCTTAGGTCCTCTATTCTTTCTAATTTACATTAATGACCTCCCTAAAGCTATTGATCAGGAACTAATTCTTTTTGCAGATGATACAACAGCCTTGATAAAAAATAATAGTACTTCTGAAATGCTATCTTCTCTTGAAAATGTGGTTCATGACATGGAAGGTTGGTTCTTGAACAATGGATTAAAACTTAATCTTGAAAAAACGCAAACAATAAAATTTTCTGTCAGAAACAATGGTAATAAAATTGAATCCCTTAAATTGGCAACGTCTCATAAATTTCTAGGTGTTTACATAGATGAATCACTTAAATGGGATGTACATCTGAATCAATTAAAAAGTAAACTTAGATCCATGTCAATTGTATTTCTGCACTTAAGGGACTGTGTTCCTAAAGAAACTCTGAAAATGGTTTATCATGCTTATGTAGAATCAGTATTGAGGTATGGTATAATCTTATGGGGTCAGGCTACCGGAGTCAAATCAATATTCAGGCTACAAAAACGCATTATCCGTATTATGACCAGCTCTCATCCACGTAGTTCATGCAAAAACCTTTTTCGAAATTTAAAAATCCACACCCTAACAGGACTGTACATCTTGGAATCACTAAACTACATTCATTCCGCTAAAAACGACCTCCCAGAATCAATTCAAATCAACCATAGATATAATACTCGAAATGAAAACATTTTTAGATTTCCAAGGCACCATTTGACCCTTTATGAAAAAAGTCCACTATATGCTGGGCTGAGGCTGTACAATGTGCTGCCTGCAAACTATAAATTGCTAAATGAAAATAATTTTAAAGATAAAATAGGTGAACTCTTAATTGACAGAGCCTTTTATTTAATTTCAGATTTTCACAATGCCCCTTTAGTTTAGAATAGTTTTATCATGCAATCTTGTTAATTTATATTATCATCTTGATTACTATTTTATTTTTTATATTCTGACAATTCAAACTCTGACAATGCACCTATTCTGTATGTAACACATGTAAAGAATGTTATGTGCAAATAAAATATGTCTATGTCTATGTCTATGTCTAATGTGCATTTAATATTAGATTCCCCCCAGGTTGCATATCTTTGATTTTAAGTCAAAGTTAAGTGGTTAATCAAGGAGTATTTTTGGAAAGGTGAATAAGTTCAGCTCACTTACTTGACACTTCACAATTTTTTCTTAAGTAAGTTAAACTAGACATTTTTCACTATCCCTAAGATCCAAGCTGAATGTTAGCTAATATGAACTATTGTTTAGTAGTCTGTGAGAGTGAGAGTACAGTATATATACAACACTGTCTCCTTATGCTCATATCCCTTCCTTAAGCTTTGCTCAACCCCACAAACTGTTTCAAGGTTTGAGAATAACTAGCCATTAAATGTAAAAACCAATTTATTTTTAAAACCTAAACAATGCACTATAATTTACAATATTTTACAATCACAGCTTTTGATGATATATTCTACTGCAAATTTTTAATTTAACATTACCAAGCAGTGTTAAATAAAAACTTATAAAAAAATCTTAATTTTAACAAAACCCTTGATTTTAAAATTGTACTTAATGTTATCCTTGCATACATACACAATTAAGCTACAATATAGATTGAAAGCAATTGTTTAGGGTGCAATATAGTAAGTAGCCACAGTATAGTTGTTTTTTTTTTAAATAAATAGGATAAAGTTACATTTGAAATTTTAAAATTGCAAGCTTAATTCTCAAAGAATAATTTTATATTAAATTGATTTTTTGTAACAAGTTTATGAGAACATTTTTGTATGTACAGTTAGTAAATTAGGACAGAGTGGTGTTTAACCCAATAATCAATGGTTTAACTTATAATGTGAATCATTACGTTTTAACAAATAATAATCTGTGTATGCCGAAATGGAATGTTAGAGAATAAAAAAGCAAACTGGCAATCATCTAGACCTGGAAAACTTGTACAAAAACCAACACAATACTGAAAAAGTTTTTGCTTATAAAAGTTCATATAGACTAGTTAGAAATGAAATCGATACTCCAACACTGTATACAAATTTAATTATAACATTTTCTGATCTAATAAATATGCTATGTGTGATAGATACTTTTATAACTATGTTAACATGTTGATAAAAATGTACAATAACAACAACACATAAAATATATAAAACAATAAAAAATCAATTGTGCTTTAAAAGCCATAGATATCTCAAGAGCGTAGAAATCTTAAAGTTATAAGCAAAACAATATGTTAAGATAAAATAAGTTTTTAAAAAATCCGGTACATCAACAATAACAATACTTGCTTCCAATAGAACTTATACTTATTTCAAACAAGTACCAATGTAAGTTATAATTTACATAATAACAAAATATAAACTCTAAAACTAGTTTTAAATAGTCAAATTAATGCAAAAGACACATAACGATAAAGGAAATAACAAAAACATATTTTGAACAAAAAAAACAGACAATTAAGAAGAATTATGAGTTTTTTAAGACCCAAACGTTGCAATAAAACTAAATAACAAATTTTCTCGGGAAGTGGAGCCTTATCGGTAAATACAAAATAATAAGTAATAAATATTTTTGAGCTCCTTTACCACTTCTGAAATACCAACCACTTTACAAGGTAGGTAGTTAAATGCGCAAAAAAGCCTGAAGACAAAACACTCCTTGTTTCCAATATTAAAGTGACATTTGATACGATAAGTGCGAGCGTAAAGCATCTACCTAGTTGTGTAAATGCTGGAAGGGAATGTGAATTAGAGATCCCAACACTACTACTACTAAACTAAAAAATATACAGTAAAATAGTAAAATTTTTTTGTACCTCCTGTCAAGATTAACTCAAGTCATTCACAATTAAGTTTGCTATCTCAATAGTAATTCTTGAAAACTATAATATATTCTTATGTCCTAAATATACCAATTTTCATTTTGTCCAACAAAATTCTCAATTCCTAAATTTTTATGTTTTGACAACATAAATTTCACCACTAACATCTCAATTTTGTTTGACGAATCCACACGATTGGCAAGAAGTAGTCAGCGTAAGTTGGTATGTAGGTAGCATTGGGGTCACTAGGTTGTGCTTTAGTAGGTTGATAGCACCAAGTGTGGTTTAGCATGTGCAATCACTGCGATGCCAAAGACCTGTAGTACGTTGATAGAACCTTCCATGCAGCTGGCGCCATGAACCCGTCTGGTGGAAGCTGGCCAGATTTCGCTAAACCTGAGAAAAATAAGAATGGACAAGTGTTGAAAACAATTTGTCTCACAAATTTTACCACTAGATCATGTTGACATTCACACTAGCTTTTGATAAACAATATTAGTTCATTTATAAGCAATGGATACACAACTAACTAAAAAAAAAAAAATAATTCCAAGCATTTGACATCACAAAAAAGTTCACAGCACCATTATTGAATTTATAAGAAGCAGAATTGCTGTAGTTGTCTGAATTTTTTTCTTGGATAAGTACCAATATATTGTGCATGCATTCTATCTTCCTTGATATATTCCGACAAGTACAGTTTCTTATTAAATTTAAATAGTTAATTAACCATTAGAGACGTTTAAATACAATATTTTATACTTTACAGAGATATTTTTCCTTGTAGTAGTTAGCTATGAACGTGAATATAACCAATCTTTCAACACCAAAGACTAGGAAAGTTCAATGAAAATTAAATTACTGTATTGAACAATTTTGTTGACTTGTAGTCACTCTTAACTACTCGTTACATTTTTTTTAATATCAGTTCTAGATTCATCTAAGTACCTCATAAATGTAAGCAAAAAGTTGACACTGAGCAAACAACTCACCCCTCATTTTTGTTCCCGAGATGAACTCAAAATCGTCTTTCCTCTTTGGGTCAAAAAAGTCCATTTTCCTCTTGGTTTTGTCATATGCAGCCACCCGGAATGGGATGATCTCCAGGTCAGCCAGACCCGGAGCCATGGAGAGCACCCGGCCCCCGTGGGTGGGCTCGTACAAGTCCCCTCCCACACTGGGGTCTGGGTGAGGAAGACCCGCCGGGTCACGACCCACAATGTAGAAGTTAGCACCAGCCGTCATCCTAGCCTTAGCATGCCATTGAACCTGGAGAAAAAAATTCTCGGTTTTAGGCCTATAATGTTTGCTTAACAGCAATACCTAGGTATTGTTTGTTTTATGATGAAGTAAACACCACTCTTACAGATGTTTAGGCTGCTGCAGTGGATTTTCTTTGAATTTAGTGAACTTTCAACCGAACGAACGTTGTTTTGAATAAATAGTAGGGATGGTCAAGTCTCGAAATTTCGGGAAATTTTCGGGAAATTTTAAATCTCGTTACACGAGACGAGATTTTTTTTTGGCCGAGATTTTTATCAAGACGAGAATTAAAAAAAAAATTAAAAAAAAAAATTAAAAACGCCTGCAGAAAGTCAATGCAATACCCGCAATACAGGAGCGTGTTGTAGTTGCGTTTCCTTTGTGAAGGCGTTCTTATTTAATTAATTCTTCAAATGTAAATATTACTTTAATTATTTTAATAACATTTGAGAAGTTTTGTTAAGTGTTAGCAGTGTGAGGAACGTTTTATTACTATAAAAAAAGTCAAAACAAGTAACTATTTTATAAAAATTAATATTTTATTTTATGATTTATTTTATTTTAGGATAAGGTCTAGTCTTCAGTTCTATCCTAACTGATATCACTATGTTTCCTCATCGTAGGCATTTTTAATAATTTAGGCGTGATTAATAAAAAAATGTTATACTGATGTTTTTTAATAAAAGATTGTAAATATTCTTGCCTATTATCATTATTTTTTATTTAAACAGTCATCTAACAATGTTACAAAATCAGGTAAAAATTCCGAACGTGCACTTCCCGTTGTGTATGAGAAGGGAAATCCCGTCTCGATCTCGTCTCAAAATTTTATGAGAAATAAAAAATCTCGTCTCGTCTCGTCTCGAACTCAAAATCCAATCTCGTCCATCCCTAATAAATAGGTAAAGAATATATTACAAGTTCATGATTTTAAGCATCCTACCGTACTAACACAATGTCATTGTTTACCTCAGTTGGTCCAGCATACAGCATGGGAGATGGGAAGATAGCCAACACAGTAGACTTAGGGTCCAACACTCCCTCACTGAACACTGCAGCATGTTGCTCTATTCTGGTGTGCAGAGGAACATCATCGTCCTTTGTCCAACCTCCGAGGGGGTGGAGAAGAAGAACTGGGTTTTTGTAGCCTCGTTCCAACAACCGTCTTTTGGTATCCTGCCAAAGGAAAATAAGAATTATTGTAATTTAAATGGGCTGGATTAGCAGCATTTAAATGCAGCTGGACTTTGCAAAAATTTGACTTTTAGGATTTTATTCAAACACTACTAGTTACCTGCATGAGAAGAGCATGCCCGTTATGTATCGGGTTGCGCAGCTGGAAGGCAAACACAGCGTCAGCTCCAATCTCCTTGAACTTCGCCCTCAACTCGTTGGGTGTGAGTCTGTACTGGTCTAGACCGTCGTTCCAGCGAACACGTTCCAAAACCTCCAATTCTCCTCCTACCAGCCAGTCCCCACTCTCGTATATCATCTGCAGCGAACATAGAAATTCATAAATGAAGTACAGTAAAAATCTAAGTTGACAAACAAGAATTAAACTCTTTAATTTAACTCTTTGAATTTAAGTCTTTACTACTGTTAAACTTGGGTGAGGGTAATGACATGGTTGCTAAAGATTGTTTCAACATTTGAAACCTGAATATTGCTCCTAGCATAATTTTAAATCTATTGGTAAAGTACACCTACCACCTAATCAAAAATACTGTCAATATTTTAAAGTGAAGAGTGTCCTAATGTTGAAATGTTGTCCAATTTCTGTGCTCTAAAGTTCTCAATATTTTCATCTTTGTTTTGCTATTTGAACCCCTTAAATAATTGTTGAAAAAAAACGAAAGAAATCAATAAATTGTAACCAATCCATACAGTAGTTTATGAATAAATCATAGACAGTAAATTCCATCTATGAATGAAAAAGCAAGAAACTGATAGAAAAGTCGAACTTATCATTTCAGCACCTCATGCAGTACTACTGATTTATGAAAGAAGTCATACTTTCAGTAACCATCACCCTTATGCAATGCACCCTACAAGCTCTTTACCGTACACTGATCCTCCATAGTGTCATATCTTTACAAAGTATCAAGCAAAGACAAGATGTATCAATCAATTGTTGAGATTGGGATGCCACCTCGGTGCGTAGCCCAATTGTGAGTGAAGGATGAGTGTAGAATGGTGTGAGATGATCTGTGTAGCATTGTTACTGACTAAGATCAGCTGTTTCGTTAGCCAGGATTATTTTTTACAGCCAATGATCAGCAACAGCTGGTAAATTGATTACCAATTTCCCACCCAGATGTCACACTCGTCTGTACATGTAGTCTGTACCTGGTAGTGAATGTGTTGAAGAAAGGGTAAAAGAGTTAAGAAAGTAACTGAAACGTGAATTTTAGACATTTCCTAAGACTTAAGGCATCTCTACAATATTGTTCCAAAGTTCATTAAGCCAACTTATTAACTCACCTTGATGGTAGGATGGTTCCTATTGGTTGTGCCAAACTGTCGAGCGACTCGCTCCTCCTTGCGGTGTTTGTAGAACTGCGGTTGTCGCAGGATGGCTACGGGGCGACCCTCGTACCTAAGGGCGAATGCAGACACTCCGCTTAGTCTCTCCATGTCCTCCGTGCTGAGAGGCAGGACGATGGCAATCGACTGACTCATCTCATCTCCCAGAGTGTTGAAGTGAAGGCTCTACAACAGAAATATTTTTTCATCAGAATTTGAGTTAAGATATTGAAACTTATAGTCAATCAGGCATAATTTCAGTGGTGGCTTGATGTGGTGATAAGAAGGCAATTTGATTGTAAGCTTGATCTTTCAAAAATCACTGTAGGCCATTGCTTGATATGAAATGGGATACAGTTTCTATAGTGTATTTGTTTAAACTATTTGAGTTGAAATTAGGAAAAATGTCTCTTGACTTAGGGTTAGATCTGGTGTGCATAAGTATGGATACCATAGAATTCTCTAAGCTCTGTGTTTCATACTGTAGGCCATAAAAAATTAGCCAATAGTTACCATAATGAATTCCTGGCATAAAATGTACAATGAAACAACAATGGACTGTAATTTAAAATATGTGTAGTCCCTGAGTAATTTAATCAATTTGACTGAATTTCTTAAGATATGACCTAGAAAACTAACAGATTCTTGAATGAAATAACATTTATTTTTTTTAACAGTTAAACCACTGGAGCTTAGTCTAGCTAGCACAGCCCGTAAATTTGTTAGAAAAGAAAAAATAAAAAATAAATGTGGATTGTTGTATTCTTTAACAGGTTTTTCGTCATACTGTAGCAAAAACAGCTGTAATGCATGTGCTGCGGGTATAAAGTAGCATTTTTACTCTCTAGGGAGTTAAAATTAGCTGTTGTAAACAGTTGTAAATTTCGATTGTGGCAATTGTATCGATCAAAATTATTTATCGATCGACTTATTAAGCAAGGTTTTACCCTATTTTTGTCGATTGTTTGACATATTGATGGTATAATGTACTGTAACACAATCGTAATAGACAAAATGATTGAATCACTTACTAAACAGCTGCTTATTTGCATTAGCAGAATTGAAAACAAGCTGGAAGTCGTTTTGAGAAGCTATCATTACATAAAAATAATTTTGTTTTCTAGCTTTGTTTGAATTAATGATGCAATATGACAAAAAATATAGTTCACCACACAGGAAAAAAGTGGCTTTTTAACCCTCGCTTGGGTCAAAAAGAGTCACTTTAAGGCATGGTTTAAGGCAAAGACAAACAAAGATTTAGAGTAGGATGGATATGACAGTAAATATTGAAAAAGATTATGGTTAATAACTGGCACCAATCAGTGGAACATGTGATTCCGGGGCAAATAAATTCTAGAGGATTTGAAAATGACTATGACACTTTTTATCAATGGTGACTTGTTATCAAGGTTCCACTGTATGTACAAATAACTGTGCGTTATGGAAAGTTATTTTGCTTGATTGCCTCACCTGTAGGTACTGGTCCTCCGTCATAAAGCCTCTCAGAGGTCTCGCCCACCCCTCGGCCAGCACTTGTACCCACTGTAGGTCTACTGTAGTGATAGCGAGCGCAGGAAGATGTGACGCCTCCTCTATGGCGCTCGACACTCGGTTCTCCGACACAAACAGCTCAGCTACCTTGTCACTCTGACGGATTTGAGGAGGGATTATGTCCTGCAAAAATAAGTTTGGTTAGGTTCGGGTGATTGCTGCAGGGGGATCTCAAGGGTGAACTACTTTTGTTTAGTTTTGCTTTTATCACTTATAAGTTACAAGTTAATTTGGTCTAATTTATTTTTCTCTTGGCCAATACTGTTAAATTATAGTAGCACATATAGTCTTAAAATATAAGGAAATGACTATAATTAATAATTATAAAACTAAGAGAAGTACAAAATTCAAATGTTCCTACAACCTCAGCTGATTGTTTGCAAGCTTGCTGAACGCGTCTGCAAGATTTGTATTCATTGTTTAGACCAATGAATAACATGGATGACCAATGGTTAATGGATGACATATTTGCAGGGTTTTATGCACTATGTTTGCCTTACTCACATTTTCCTCCAGCAGTTGGACAACCTGCATACAACTCTCTTCCACGGTTTCACTCACAGTCTTCACCACCATGTCAGGACATTCAGGCTTCTCATATTCCTGGTCCACCCCCGTAAACCCTGCAAAACATCATACGTTACATTATAAATGAAGAAAACAGTAAGAATTTCATAAGATTATTTGTTCCTTGGAGAAAGCTATTTATTCCCTGGAAGAGTACTTTTAAACCTCCCTTCTAATTATAGATGAAAATCAACTTAACTATGCCAGAAGGTGTCAAATGTAAATTTTCAGGCCTTTTATAAGGCCCTGTCTTTCTTTTGTATCTAAACTTTGCTGGAGATTTTTATAGCATTACAAAATATGTATCAACATCAACCCTAACTGACACCCTGCCTTAGTTTACAAATATGTATCCAAGCAATATAACCTTTTAAATATCCTAATCTATCATTACAAAGCTATCAACATGACCTTACCTTTGATAGAGCCTTGTCTCGCTTTCTTGTACAACCCCTTGACATCTCGTTGCTCACAAACGTTGAGTGGAGTGTCAACAAATACCTCGAAAAACGGCAAATCATTCTCTCTGTGAATCTTCCTGGCCATTTCTCGGTCCTAGAGGCGTAAGAAGGATTAGAAAAAAATTTAAATGAGGCCTTACTTTTACAAGGAATCCACTAGTTTTGTAAGCTTCGACAGAGTCTGTTCCTGCCCATGCATGGGCATGGTATCTATCTATCGTTGATTTATTTATTGCCACATATTCATGTGTGTTATTTGTGGGTGTGAATGTGTCATGGATGAACCTACTGCGAATAATTCTTGTTACCGACAAAAAGTGTTTGATAGTGGCATACCAGGTGAAACCTGTTACACTATTTAAACAGTTTGAAACTGCAGACGATCAAGTTATTTATAGTTAATATAAATTGTCAGTCAAACTATGGTTTTCAACCATTTACAATATAAATCAATCAGAACGAGTTTTTTAAACCATTTACAGTTGAGCAGGCTAAGCTTCACTGATAGCAAAACTCAATTATTTTGATTTCAGCATGCAATTACACTAAAAAGGTGTGATTGCCAGATTTTTATATTTAACAATTTGGTTAAAACGTATTAATCTTAATGCAGTTTAAATTTAAATTAGTTTAAGAAGCAACATTTTAAGTAGTGATAATGTAATAATATTTTATGATGCACCACTGGCACACATCTATTTCAAAGCACAAAGATAGATTGCATCATCCTATGCATTGGAGTACCGGTACTCATAATAATTCCAACCAAATTTTGATTCTTAACTATACACCCCACTCAACAAACCGTCCAAGGATCGTCTAAATTATCATAATATGGTAGTTTAGAACTTTTATATTATAAAGGTTTTCAGGATAATTAAAACTGTCATAAACTTTGATGTATTCTATTTGCAACCTTCTAAAATGATAAATATTGTTTTTTTTCTTTATCTCAACGGCTGGATTTGCTACCCACAGCACATTGTACACCCTAATTCATAGCATCTTGTCATCGTAAAATACAAAATGTTTTCACAATCTGATATCCTCCACATGGTTCCCTACTCCCCTTGATATCTCCAAACTCTCAAGATTACTAATGGAAATGTGTGAACCACAATACCTGAGAGAAAGGAGACACAAAACTGCACAGGGCAATCACTCCGCTGTCTGCGAACAATCTCGCAACCTCGGCAACTCTCCGGATATTTTCCTCCCGATCCTCCTTACTGAAACCCAAGTTCTTGTTGAGTCCTGTCCGGATATTGTCTCCGTCCAGTCCATAAGCGGGGATACCTCGAGCGACCAGATAAGCCTCCAGCTCAAACGATATTGACGTCTTTCCAGCACCTGACAATCCTGCAAAAGATTTAAAAGTTATCGTATGGATTTTAGTGAAAGGTGTTCTCTATGAAAGTTTGCCTTGTCCAAGGGACCTTTATGTTAACGATGGATATACAGCTAAGGTAGCCCTTTAACCACTGAGTCATAAAATTGCTAAAATCAATTAGTTATTGGCAGATTTTTTCCTGAGTCTCTAAATGAAAATCCTGCGCCCAAACCACTAGACCAGGAACAATACCGCTCCTAGTATCCTACAATTATAAAGCTTGATTTTTTTTGTTCTACGTCACTTTGGTCGCTTAGCCTGCTTAGCCCGAGATCGTTTTCCACATTACTTCAGGCTAGGTATAGGGGTTGTGGCATAATCACTTAGATAAAATCCATTGCTGATTGGCGAGATTTGATCCCAGGACCTCATACATCAAAGTCCCACGCTATACCACTAGTCCAGCTCGCAAACCAAGAAAGGTTGAATTTGAAAGTTACACACTCTACTATAAAAACACGACTTTGATGGCTTGAGATTAAGTACAGCCAATCTCAACTTGGTATTGGTGAAGAGAAATACAACTGCCCGAGTCTTGGTGTCAATAGTTTGTTGAGCAGCAGCTGTGTAATGTCAGCCTTCCCTGTTGAGTAGCATGTAAACAACAGGTTTGATCCTAAACTATCTTACCTTTTGGACAAACTGCTAATACATGTATAAAAAGCAATGAAAATTTGTTTAGCCTTTTTTACCACTCGGCAAGGGAAACATCAAGTAATCAGATCGCCTTAATATATCAATTTTGGTAAAATACACAATAATGTTGTAGATCCATGGGAATTTTGAGAACGCCTCCTAGCTTTTGAAAATGCACCTTTATTATGTCTAGAAAAAGATTTTTTCTGTCCCCAAAATGATATCTCTCACATACCTTCTAAAAGTGTTCTACACTAAAACACATGAAAACAGTTTAACCAGATTTTATTTTAGCATCCCCCATTTAAAAATTAAAATACTTTCAGTGGAAAGTTGCCTCTCCTATTGTAAGCCAATCATTTTGACAAGATAAGAAGAGAAAGAAAGATAACGGGTTCTCACAATGAATACCCTTTGTGCTCACCTATTCAGCCAAACAAAGAGTGATTTTGTTCATCATCCACTGGGTAATTAGGTTCTACATTGAAAAGGATCGTGTAGAGGAAGTGATACTGGACAATTGCGCTCAAACACATGGACATTTTATGAGTCAAAGTTCAGCTGTTTGATAAAAGTAAAAAAAATATGCAAAACACACCTGTAAACCAGACGGTGCAACCTCTGAAGCCTCGGACATTTCCGAGAACTTGTCCTCGCTTGTCTCTGGACACATGGTGCTTCTGCACCGTCACGTTGGTAGCTACTTGAACAGCCTGAAAATGAGATAAGAAAACATAGTAAAACTCATAAAATGCAGTACAAGTCATATGTATAGCAAACAATAACAATTTCCATTGGTATGCTGTATATGCTTAGTGTCAAGGAAAATCTTAACTAGAAGTCCCAGAATCCCTCGGAGGCAGAAATTGTTAAATTGATTAAGATGATGGTAATAAATTTGTATAGGTCAATTAACCAAAGGTGTTATAAGTGCTTCATTAAGGCTAATGAAACTTAACTATTGTGTAAATTTAAATACTTTAGTTTAAGTACATTGAACAACATCCTTTCCTACTAGGATAATAGCATGGCTAAGCAGAGAGAAAAAAAAATATTGCCATGAAGCTTTTGAACGGAGCGGTCGAGCAATAAGTTAAAACGGCACGTGGTTGATATACTGATTATCTACAGTTTTCTGGTGTAGTATAGCTCAAATTCAATAGAAGTTTTCTACAAGTATAAATTGTGTAATGTTTGAAGAAGACTCCATTAGAATTGAAACAATAGACAGTGTGGCAACACCTAAACAAGAATAGACAATGCGGTAATAAACAAACTCTACCTTACAATTAATTAGAACCTACAGACAAACACTTTGACAAGAAATTCATTAATTTTTTTAACTTCTATTAATAATTCTTCAGCTGATGAGATAAATAAAGTTAAGTCAGTAACGGGTATATAGTACAGTAAATTAAATTTTAAGATTGTTTTAAACGAGAATGCATTGCACATCGTTAATTATCCATACAACCAATAAAATTTAAACATTTTAATTGCAACACCTTCAAACATTCATTTTTTATTCTTTACACTTGTTATTCTAGATTTGAATTTGTACACAAAAACCTAATCACATGCTCTAAAAATTCAACAAAAAACTTCAAGTTATTGAGACGTGCAGAAACGGTAAGTTCAAAGGGAAAACTAGTGTTTGAATTGGCAGGCCAATAAATGTTATCTTCTGTACCCATAACGCATCGACCTTGATCTAAATGGCTGGGAGCCAAACAAGGTTAAACTTGGTTAACTGCTTCCTCAGATGAATGACAACGTAATTACTCGTCCATTCATCTAAATTGAGCATTTCTCGTGTTGACAATACTCCTGTGATGAGTCCCAGTGTATATATTTGTGGAACTAGAATTTTAAATAATTTTACAACATGTATGATATCAGTTATATTGTTGTTTGATTATTTTGATTTAAGAATGATTTAGATGTTGTTTTTTGGAATCCCCTACTTGATAAAATCATAAAATAAACAAAACACAGTTTGCCGCGAAAAGAAAAATATCGAACATTATGAGGAACATTCTGTACAAGAACCTTTCCCCACCATTTTTCCTTTTGTTATTTTCTACAGTCATATGAAAAATTAATTGCCTTTGGATTAATAACCCCAGTAGCGTCTGAGTGGTGTAGCTATCAGTGTTGTTGGGAACCTTTCCCTTATCACTCCCTTCGTTATCCTAAATTGCGTTAAATCAATTGTAATGCTTAAGAGCAAGTATTTTAGCCTACGTTCAAATGGTGGACTGCACAAAAATGGACCTCTAAAATAGCAACAACATATTAAAACGTTCATTGGACCACTTTCATGCAGTCTAATCTAGTTGAAATTGAAATTTCAAACTCAAACTGAACTAATTGAATCTTAAATTGGATGATAACATACCTCAACGTAAGTTCAATAAGATGTATGAACAGAAAAACTTATGAAAAGAAGATGTTGACACAGCTAATGAGTGTGAGAGATAGCAAAAATAGGTCATTATGTTAAATGCTGCTGTGATAAAAAATTTCCTCTGATTTATTTAATTGAATTGTCTATGATTACCTCAGAAAGTCTTACGATGGCTGGTGAATAGTGTTGGTTAGTGTTGCCAATTTACACAAGAAAGTTCTGTCAATACAAAAACTAAAATTCATCCAAAATATTAGCTGCTCATAAATTACTTCCTTAACTGTTAACACAACACCTAAAGCCATTCAGAAATTAAGAGCTTACATAAAAAATTAGTTCCCATAACTCAAACTAGTCACGGTGCATTTAAATTTTTTCCCATTAAAAAACCAAGAAAACATGAACCTTCTGATGTCAACTGGTGTACAAGGAAGAAGTTGTTCCAACTGGTTGTGGTAATTCAAACAGGTTTTAAATAATTAAAATAATTACCAAACTCTCCTTCAAACAGAAATTGTTTGTACTCTGTACAAATCGAAACTATTACAGTATATCTGACTCTGAAAAGTAGACAGACTTCCCATTTCTATCTTAAAGTTGTGGTCATTTTTAGATTAAAATGTGATTAGTTAGAAATTAGCTGACAGAGTGTGCTATTGTCAATTAATTATTTCTGACCTACCACTAACACAGTGGTTTTGACTTCTTAACCAAAAAGGACGAGTTACTGTAAACTATAGCACCTCAGTCACATTAGTTATAAAAGTATTGAAAATAAAGAGAGAAAATAGAATGAATACTTGTTGAGCGGTTCATTAAACTAATTTCTATGTGAATGAAAATTTTATTACAGCAGGTCAATAGTAGATGGTATATCAACTCTAACCTAAAGTCAATGCACCTACTTATTTGGACTACAAAAAGGAAAAAAAATACCAGCTGGATCTAGATCACAAAAGTTAAACTGGTAACAATGACGTTTCTAGATCAACGAAAACTTGATAAGGCAATCGAACACATTCAGCAAACCCAAACTTGACCATGACTCTTCCGTGGGTCACCGAAACAAACCATTAAACTGATAAAATTTCTCACAACAAAACTGATAGTTTTAACTGGAAACACAGAATTATCGGAAGTGATGAAAGGCGGAAGATATCGCTTGACCCAGATGTGAGCCATAGTTGAAGTTCATCAGGCCACATGGTCAAGTCATAAGTCTCGACCTTGACTTTGTTGCATTCAACACTTTGCTGTTTGCGGTTTGCAACTATAAGTGTTGCGATTTTTTTACCTTTCCGTGAGTCATGCAAATAAATAAGTTTCTAGAAGCTTGAAGCTTCCATTAACTTTGAAGTAACAAAGTTGGATAGGTATTTCCCTGAGAATAGAGTAAGCTGTTGTACAGTTTTTACATTCAATATTTTTACAATTTTTCTCCGTTTTCAAAAAATTAAACGTAGTGTTTTAAAAAGTGTGTATTCCAAACAGACTAGTTTTCCCCTTACTATTACTTTTGGGACAGAAAATAATTTACCATTATTAAGCTTCAAAAATATGAAATTTCTACAAAATAGTAGATTGTTCTAATTCACATTATGAAGACATTCTGGGAAAAAAGGACACATCTTAGCAAGTTTGACTACGTTTACAGTAAGTTACTTTTCTAAAACCAAAACAATTTTTAAACCACCTACAAATAAGAAATACTCTTTTCCCACACATAGTCAAACAAAATGTCTTTGTAAGCTAACAACTAGTACCGATCTTACCAACAATTATAGAATTGAGTCTAAATACTATACAATCCGATGTGTAACTGACTGGGGATACAAATTCTAGACCACTTCTAGATGAGCTAGAGACTTGAAATTTTCGGTGGTTGTAGGTCTAGTGCCCAAACCACCCATAAAATTCCAAAAAGTCGCATTTTCAAATTTTAACCCCCCCGAAAATTCGAATTCCCCCCCCCATGTTATTCTTATGGGGAATAACATTAAAAATGGCCGACTTTCGTGTTCCCATCTGAACCACTTAGAAACGTGCTAGAGACTTCAAATTTGCGTAGTATTGTAGTAAAAGATCTTACATTACCGGTGGAATATGCAAAAGTCCCATTTTCAAATTTTAACCCACCCAAAAATCCAAAACGGCGGACCTCTGAAAACGAAAAAACACTTTTTTTTCAACCGGATGTAGCTCGAAAACGGTAAGAGCTAGAAAAGATTTGACAGTATATCCAGGAACAGGAATTAAATTTTCTACAAAACCCTCTTAGGCGTTTTCAGAAAATCGCACTCCTTAAGCTTCAAAAAACGCCCTACTTTCAAAATTTTGTAAATTTTTTTCAAATTTTTATCGGTTTTTGCTATGTTTTCGTACCTAAATAATTATTTTTTGCAAATATTATTAATGTTTCGTATTCTCCTTAGTTTACTTTACATTTCACCCTTTACATGTATTTTCGTAACTTTACTCCTTGACCCCCAAAAACTTAATTTTAATGTGAAAATTCGATTGGTTTTTACCGGTTTTACCAGCCCCATGTTATCCTTATGGAGAATAGCTATGTAATTTTAATACTTTGGTATGCTCATCTGATTAGTTTAGAAACGTTCTAAAGACTTTAAATTTTTGTAGTATTGCAGTATGGGATCATCCGTTAATGGTGGAATTTGCAAAAATGCCTTTTAAAAATTTTAACCCCCAAAAAAATCCAAAATGGTAGACGTATAAAAACGAAAAAACACGGTTTTTAATACCGACTATAACTAAAAAACGGTAATAGCTAGCAAAAATTTGAAAGAATCTTCATGAACAGGAATTAAATTTCCTACAAGACACTATTACGCGTTTTTAGAAAATCGCACTCCTTCACCTAAAAAAAACGCCCTACTTTCAAATTTTGGTAAATTTTCTTCAAATTTTTAACGGTTTTTGATAATTTTTCGTACATAAAAAATTTTTTCTTCAAATATTATTAATGTTTCGTACTCTCCTTAGTTTACTTTACATTTCACCCTTCACATGTTTTTTCGTAACTTTACTCCTTGACCCCCAAAACGCGTAGGTCAGTAACGCTGTATAGTCATTTGGTTCTCGCTCTAATTTTTGCTAATGGATTTGGCTACCCATGATTAAGTTTCACTGTCACTTCTTCCTATTTATTGGACTTGTTATTTTGGCGATTTTGCTGCAATTTTCTGTAAGCATGGAATTCTCTTGCGTTGCTGCTGGGTCGTTCCACCAGGGAGATCCCAGATTTACCGAGAGCAACAACGCTCAATGCATGGCAAATGCAACCTG